GTAAAGTAAAGATTGCCTTTCAGCCTTAAGAACATAAGAAATTTACAAACGAGAGGAGGCCATTCGGCCCATCAAGCTCGTTTGGGGAGAACTTAACTAATAGCTCAGAGTTGTTAAAATCTTATCTAGCTCTGATTTAAAGGAACCCATGGTTTTAGCTTCCACTACACTAGCAGGAAGACTATTCCATACTCTAACTACACGCTGTGTAAAGAAGTGCTTCCTCAAATTTCTTTTAAAATGTCCTCCCGCTAATTTCCACTTATGGCCAAAGAGTTTGACAATGAGTTCTGACAGCCTCGGAAGTATTTCCATCTTTGCTATCTGAGGAATTTCCTTTTCCCCCCCTCACAGAAAGGTTGGCGTCACTAAGGGTTATTGTAAAAGTCGGCCTTTGTTGTGCCAGCGATTGTTGCCCGGTTGTCCTGATAAGACTCCTTTGGAGATGTTGGGCTTGTTGTGGTGGCAGTGAGTTTGTGTGCACAACAGCAGAAGGGACAGTGTACTTAAGACAGGACTACCACCTTGTTGAGGTGTCATGTGACTCCATCTTACTCCAGTTACCTCTTCATTGACGCACATTGTGGGGGGGGGGGGGGCTTGTATTTTCTTATCCTGTACATTTTAGGCTAGAAGTAGAAGTTCAATGCCCCCATTTCCTGCCAAAGGAGGCCCAATTTTTTAAAGGGTTTCCTCTTCCTCTGGACTTTTCCCCCACCCTCTGCCCCCTGGAATTTAGCCTTTGCTTGCAGAAGCCCACTCTTCTCCCACTGGGTGTCCCAGAGCTGTGTGCCTGTTTGCTGCGGATGCACTTCCTGTGGGGGTGTGAGAATCTCCCAGGGTCACGCTGATTGGACACATTCTGCTTCTAACATTTTTACTATGAGGTGCCCTCCCCAGCACTTGGCCTCTATTTTTGCATCCTCTGATGAACATCCACGGAGTGACAGCCTGGATCAGCATTCCAGATGCCCCAGTTTGGAATTCGGCAAGGGTTAGATTATCTCTCCTCTGTCCTTGCATCTGGGGTCGCCCAAGCTAAACATAACCCAGGAACGGGTATCCAGCTCACAACAATTAAAACCACCGCAGTTAATGGCAGACTGTCTGTGATTGGTCAGCACACAAAGTATATGAACTGCCAAAGAGCACTAGAGTGCATGTGAATATCCAGCCAAAACTGAAGCAGCTGAAAGCTCTATCAGTGTTAGTAATAGCTGGCGCCTAGAGTCTCAGATGTCAAGGTGTTTCCACATCACGACTAAATCAGCTACTGCCTTTTTCTGAGTGTTTATCTTTGTCGCAGGTTTCTCTTAGAGCCCCAGTTCTTCTTTTTGTGTGTCTGTATATCTGTGCTTTAACACTACTCCCTTTTCCCTGAGTGTTCTGTGCCCTCGTAAGGTCACCGTGTTCCTGAGCCCAAGTTTTCCCCCAGGGGGCAATGGGAATGTTAAGGATGGTGCTGTTCTCTGAGGTCCTACCACTGACCTCCAGGATGGCAGGACTGAAATCGCAACTCCAAATAACTGACTTATGGTGGCGGGGAGGGTTGGATGTGTGATGGAGGCCATATGGCAGAATACTGCCTCCAACGTAAAATAAAATGGAGTCAGTTTCTGCTAACTGTGAATATGTATCGACAGTTTGGTTTTACAGTCCCACATAGAAAGTGTCCTGCTTGGTTCTCTTGTTAAAATGGCGTCTCTGTAGCGTCCCAGAATGTTCTCAAAGCCGTCCCTCAGTGTCGTCGGGCTGTTTGGTTTGTTTGCTTTTCTCATTAGCATCTTTTGGTGTGTGTGGGTGTGTGTGTGTTTGTACCTCCCACAATTCCTTGTCTGGAGTGTTTACATGGCAGGGACAACGTGTCCCGTTGTTGGTGCTGGGAGCAAAGACAGACTGGTTTGTATGCCTTCGCACGAGCCTCTGCCATCTGTGGGCTGTGTCACCCAGTGACCTGCTTGTATGGCCCCCTCCCCCTTTACTGCGACATGGCATTTGTCATCGCAGTGAACATGCAGCCCGTGGGCAGTCTGATTCTGTTCCGAGACACTTGCTTTCGGCTTCGTGTTCTGTCTGCTAGAGACTTTGGTCGCATGGGGTGGATGTGAGTGGAGATGGTGGTATCCTTATTCTGTGTTTTTTTTTTGTATGATGTACTCAAATTGGGGGGGCAGCATTGGCCAAATAAATTGATTTGTGGTTTGCATTATTCTCAAATGCTCAGGTGGAAAAAAAATCTGGAGAGGTAAACTTTTTTTTTTTTGGCCAGTTTAAACAAATCTCATATATTACTCATGTCACCATATTACATTAGCTTTTCCATTCTCTTTAACAAGAGCAATTTGTGTTGCTATTAATGGTTGCAGATTTGAGTCATTTAGTGAACTGTCACGAGAGCTTTTATGGTGAAACCATATATAACTTGAATGCAATAAAGTTCACCCACATTTGGAAAATGTTTGTCACTCGAATGCAAACGGTGCCTGCATGTGTGCACTCCCAGGTGTGAGAATCTCCGTGTGTTCAAGCTGGGCCTCCTCTCTGGCCTGTGGTGGACGCTGGCCCTCCTCTGCTGGCTTAGTGACAGGATCTTCTGTGAGATGTGGTCTTCTGTCAACTTCCCATACCTGCATTGTGCATGGTAAGTACTCTCCTTTGGAGAGTGTTTTGGCCTTATCGGGTGTATGCAATTTATTAATCGGTTATGTCAATTCTATACCTGCTGATGTCTGCATGATGCTGTATTTATTGGTCTAAATGCTATGTCTAAGAACACTGCGGCTGGCTGTCACACGTGGTCACTGACCTGCCGACTTCCTCTCCGGCTGCTCGCAGGCACATTCTGATCTGCCTGGCGTCCTACCTGGGCTGCGTGTGCTTCGCCTACTTCGACGCAGCGGCCGAGGCACCCGAGCAAGGCCCCGTCATCCTGTTCTGGCCCAGCGAGAAGTGGGCCTTCATCGGCGTACCCTACGTCACCTTGCTGTGCGTCCCCAAGAAGTCCTGCGTCAAGATCACTTAGGCCCAGTGTGGACCACTGAGGACCATGAAGAGCCGCGCATTCTCATGCAAGAAGGACTTCCTAAAAGCGACAGGTTATGTGCTTGCTGTGGTCCCTGGTGGACGAGGAGAATAGTACAGATGTGTAGGTGAACCAAACCGATCTTTGCAGGACAGACTTGCTGGAGGATGAAGGACTTCCTGAACTGTGATCCTTGTTTTTCCAACCCCCTTGCTTGGATTGGTGGAAATCAACGGTTCTGTTCTCAGAGATGTCAACCTCTCCAGTGAATGGTGAAGTGTCACTGGCGGCTCTCTAAGCCATTCGTAAATCGAGCTGCTTCTAACAGTTTCCTTGGGTGCTTGTGGCCTCTCACTTCAGTTTGATAACACCGTAAGGTGTTAACTCTAAAAGACTTCAAAGGAGTAAAACTTTTCTAATTTACTTTCTTTTCTTTTTTTTTGCACATTATCATTGAACTTTTTGTATTTGGCTTTAACGTTGATACTGGAATTTTGAGGATAATTTCTGTGCTCAACATGAGCATCCCTCATGTCCGTATCCAACTAACCGACGGGTGAAGCGATAAAAATGACGTAGCCCTCAGACCGTGTATCAAACAGTGTATGGTATGTGTTTTATTCCTGTGACAGGTCTGCTTTTTGGGCTTTGGTAACTTTCAGTGGGCTGAAATGAGATTTTAAAATCTGGGGGGTTTTTTTCTACTACTCTGCTGCTCTTTCAGTCTGTGTTCAACTTGGATGTGCGGACTAAGATGCCATTAGCGTCTTTATTTTAGTGTGTGAAGAGAGGACCCGCTAAGATTTATAAAGTTCTTACGAATGTGTTGTGGAGTCTTTGAGGTACTCTCTGCGTTGTCAGAAACCCTAGTATCTGCGACTTGTTGACGTACAGTAAGGTCTGGCAGATGGACTCTGCTAACCTACAGTAAGATAATCACCAGCCTGGTGCACATTTCATGGTCACTGGTGGTTATTTAACCAGACTGTACGGCCTTGGAAATGTTTTTTTTACATGATGAACTGTCTAGGACACAAGTTGGTGGGTTCACAATTAGGTTGAGGGTAAGCTCATTTGCACAGAATATTTTTTAATCCTTTTTAATGATTAATAAGGATTTATAATTAAAGGGCAAACCATTTCATGAAATATTCACATTTGCCTTTATTCAATAAACAAATCCAATATTACACAAAGTTATACCTTGATGTATATCCCTCCAGGTTCATTTAATGTTTTATTTTGTGCTGTATAAATACAGCCGTCGATCTGTCTTAGAAGGTGGTATTTATAACATTGACAACATCAAACCCCGCTGTGAGGAAGAAGCTGACACAGAGCCATATCACACACAGGTGCAAGCAAATGTGACGTCGTTTTGGACATCAGTTATAATGAACAATCTGCTACAGGAAATACAGATTTTGTCAGGGTACATAAAGAATGATTCCCCCCTCAGATTGTTTTTTTTTTTTTTGCTCAAAAATTGTACAAAAATGTGGAAAGGTCTGGCAGGGAGCTGAGGGGGAACAAAAACACAGACCGTCTGAGGGTCCTTTACGGCAGACTATCCATGTGGTGGAACAGCAAATAGGGGCGAAATGCTATGTTATAAAAATGCCCTGGAAAAGGACTCCAAATGCATATCATTCACCCAGGCTGCTCAGTTAATCCTTAACAACCTTAAGTGCACTTTATGCCATACGATGTTCCGGGACACCAGATCACTATCTCTTAACAGCAGCTTCATAATATAGTTATTGCTATACAGGACATTTAATCGAAGAGGTTTGCACTGAGGCAGCTTGTCTGTAACCAGAATATACGGAATAAAGCTTAAATCATTAACTTCTACGGCGTTTCATAAAATGGTGTTTTAGATGTAAAAATCAATGGACTTGCAGTGTGTCCTCTCCCAGACCTTGGCTCTGTGGTGGGCCTGTGGCAGGGCCTGATGATACCACCAACAGTCTGAACGCATCCCGTGCAGCATGGCTGTCGAACCTCCAGGTCACTAGGGGGCGCACTTTCACAATGTTACTGAACCGTACCTAAAACAAGTACGACTACGAAATGACATACGGTAAAGCTTGTTTGTGTCAATGACCAGACTAGTCTGAATGTAACAGGTGGGGCCGGAGTTCAAAAGCTTTTCAGTGACTAGGAAATGACTAGTGCGGATATTAATGTAATTATAATCAGAGGTCATTAAGTAATGAAGCAAAATTGACTCATGACACCACCCACAAACATGTATTTTGTATGCAAAAGAACATTAGTCATTTTTCTCTGAATGACTATTGCAATCATTATGATGAAACGCATACTACTTCATCCAGTGAATATCCCCTATAGGTCAGCGGACAGACACTTTCACCATCTTGCATCAGCTTTGCAGTAGAGGTACAGTACATCTCTACTCAACTTTAACTGGACAAAGCTTACGGCCCTTCCTGCTCTCAATATTTACACACACGAAGGACTGTGAGCCATGTAGAGATTAAAGGAATTATACATGAACTATGACCTAATTTTGTTTGTTGTCCGACCTGATTCTGTATCAGTTCTTTATTCTGTTTGCCTTAGCTTTTTAAGGCCTGCCATCCAGTCTTGAAGCCTCCCAGATTTCGTTGTCATTGTGCTCACCTGCGTTTCTCCTTTCATGTGAAGCCTCCCCTTAAGGGCTTCAATTTGCCTTTCAACTGATAGTGGCTCTGTGTCCTTTTCCTTACTCCAGAGGGGAGAAGAACAATGAAAAGGACAATAAGGATCCTCACAGCACAGGAAAGGTTGCCGGAGGTCAGAGTTCACCACTGAACCTTCATCCCCAGAGCTCTCCTCATCTTCGTCATCGGACCAGTCTGAATCTTTCTTCTCTTCCAGCTCGCTCTCAGGTCAGACTGGAAGAGTTGTTAAAAAAATGTCCAGGCAGACAGGTCCCTCCTCCAGTTGGGGATCGCTTTTCTCAATGAGAAAAAAATGTTTTCGTTAAACAAACTGAACAGTTTCTCAGTTTAGAAAAATGATCCGTGTTGGGCTTCCATGGCGTTGGTAGTAAAAACATGCCGCCGTTATATGGAAGTTTTTATTAGACTTTATTAATTGTAACCAACAGAAGACTATCCACAAATACGTACCATGATCCAGTTTGTGTGACACTGTAAACAATGTCGGTACATTTATAACATTGAGTTGAGGCGTATTTGCAGTGATATATTAAACGCACGCTGTCAACTGTAGATCCCAGTTCAGTTTCGAGAGCTGTAAGGAGATGTCCTGCTGGGGAGGTGAGTAAACAAGACATGATTGACAGAAGGACGTGCACAATTAGGCCTAGACATCTGCAAAAATGTTGACGCTACTAAATTAAGTTAAAATAATTTTTTTCTAATTAAAAAATAGACACTGTTGGTTCTTTGAACAGTTTCCTTCTGGCCAACGCCAATACTTGTTGAGCAGAAAAACTCTACTTCGATACAAATTTATTTATTAATTTAAAAGTAAATACAGTTAGAGAATTATTTTTGTTAAAAAAAAAAAAAGGCTTCTGATCCCAGAAGACATAATGGATTTTACACATTTTAAGAGTCACTTTGATCGCTTGTTATAAAGCGAACAACAACACGTCCAAGTTAAACAATAAAACTGGCAACGTCTTTGCATATAAATCAGGCAACTGCTGCATGAGTTCCAGCTGATGCATTGAAGCTAAAACAATATATAAGGTATGTGTCCTGAGCTTGGTTCCCGCAGAATAATGTCGGTGTTTATAATTTCTTTGCGTCACTGCGTGTGTTATTTTTGACACCCCAATGGGAGAATTTTTTAATCAAGACCTGACGCTAGCGAGCATATTTTAGGATAAACATTTTTAAATTGGGTTTTTTTGAATATGCATTTTATTTGGCCTTTCAGTCTATATTTTTGTGCCATATTTTGCTTGGAAATTATATTAATTAAAATGCATTTAAAAGTTTGTGGACATGTATAAATGAGAAGGACCTTGGCGGAACAGCCCAGTAGTCATGCCGTCTATGACTTCTCTCTGTGGCCTCTGTAGCACAAAAATAGGGATCCAAAGAAGGAGTTAACAAACATTAAGATTATAATTATCCGGATCTTGTGATCCAGCGTTGTGCCATGAAAGTAGTCTTTTCATGTATAAAGTGCACTTCTGCTCCGCAGTGTCAAACTCCCTGCCCTTGACCGCAAGCAGTCAGGTTTTAGAAGCGGTAAGTCGACAACCGGTTAATACGGAAAGAAATAAAATGCGGCGCACAGAAGATATTTCGTATTGATTTGGTGTAACGTATTTTGGAATCATTGTTTTGATTCCCCCATATAATCCGCCCGTAAGGATTGCAATTGTTTGTTTCTGCTGATCTCAAAACTGATGAACCGCTGCAAAACAAGTTTTATTGTTTGTTGTAATACTACCCGATACTCAGCAAAACTAGATCAGAACATGAACGAAGAACTGTACGAATAGATTTTTTTTAAGTAAACTTTGGCATATTACATTAACAGACGACATTCTGAATGCGTTATCGCTTTCCGACATTTTTAGTTATATAACATAATCATTTAATACATTTTGAGCTTAGAGGTTAATACAAGTTTAATTTTATGTAAAAAAAAAATGACAGAACAGTAATCTATTGTTTGTTTCGGTCATATTTGAATGGTGGCAGTGAAAACGTTGTCCTGAATTACTTTAATATAGGCCATGGGGCAATAAGCTTTGGTGCTGGATCACATGCATGCAGTCCTTTAACCACGGAGCTTGTTTTACAAGCTTTCGGTGCCATGTTGTTCTGGAAAAATCAAAGTAAATATATGACAGAGATACAACTTAATTGGTTCTATGATGACTGAGACGTTAAAGACAAAGGGACATCAGTACAATCATTCAAGCAGCAAATGTTTATTAAAAATAATGCTATATTTGCCAGTTGTAGAGGTACATTGGAATGCCAGTTTTCAGTAGTACCTCAGTTCTCGAACTCATTAGAACTAGAATTTCTTAAAAGTCGAACCAACCAGTTCGAAAACAAATTACCTAGAATTTGATCTTGATCTCAGAAGTGAAACCGTGAACGCCGACCTAAGATAACTTGTACAGAAATGAGTCAGTATAGTATATGATCCGGAGTTCTGAACGGATTAAATTCGAGTTCTGAGGTACCACTGTATATTATAGTTTCCTAGTTTGGTGGTAGAACATAGGGTCAGCCATTTTTAGGGATTAAAGGCATTGTTTGTGGGCTTAGCAGTGATGCGACTATTCTGCCCGGTATGGGATTTGAACCAGTAACCTTCTTATCATAAACACTGAGCCATCAGTCAAATAGGACCACATACAGATGATGGTAACCGAAAGAACATACAGAATTTGTCCACATTTTAAGCATTGATAATTGGAACTTGAATTGATAACTGCATATTATGAATTCCTGTTATATAATTCTAATGTCACTGCAACATTTCTGTATCATGACAGAACAGAGGAGACCACCCATGCTGTGTGCTGGTTCCCTCTGGGGGTATGGCCACGAGCACTGAGGTATGAGATCTGACAGACATGTGAGTGATGACAGAGCTTCCATGGTTTCCATGGAAACGGGAGCATCAGCGGGTACACCAGGGCCTACGGAGCTAGTACTTGGATTGCGGCGGCTCTCGTTTGCATACCAGGACCTGATAGAGATACCATATGACGTCATTCTGGAGCAGCGGGACACCTTGGAGGTCTTGGATCTCAGCTATAACCTACTAGAGGAGTATCCTTATGTTTAAAACTCACACGTGATGAAAAACACGACAGGGCTCAGAGTTTTGGCGCTCAGCTGTTGCACCCTATAGAATCGACAGGTAGGGCCTGTATTTTCATATAATATAGGAAGAAACCCTTTTGACACGGGGAGAACATTCAAAGTGGGGGCTTCATGTAGGACCTTTAGCTCAAGGTTGTTCTGAAGAATATTGTTTTATGAGACATGTAGTTTTCAGATGAAATGTATAGAAGAAAGTATATTTAGTTATTTAGCTGAACTTTTTGCTATTTTTGTTTACTCATACAAGATATTTTTTACCGTAACAATGTCTATTCATCTATTCACTTTCCAACCTTGTACCCTGGACAGAGCCACAGAGAGGCTTGGAGCCTCTTCCAGGCAGAATAGGACTCTAGGAGGAGGTACACCCTAAATAGGATAAGAACAATTTGTGCTAAGTATTTTCTCAAAGGGAGTCTCCGTGCTCCCTGTCCTCCCTGTGTTTTGTACACATTTCCTCCAGCCTTTTCCACAGTCCAAAAATACGCAGTTGGCTGAATTGATGTTTTTAAATCCCCTTACTGTGTATGTGTGCCCTCTGATAGACTGGCATCCTGCCCAGGGTCTGCCCAGTGTGCTGTGCTTTATGGGATGGACTCCAGGCTCACGTTGACCTTGTACTGGGAAAGCGGCCATGGAAAATAGATGCAAGGACCTCATCCTGGGACTTGAACCAGGAACCACTGTGTTAAGAATTGATGTCTGTGATCTCAAATTACCCTCTACACGTATTTAGGACTTATGCATTTTTTTTTATTGGGGGAGAAATTGTATTTTATAAACTAGGGGGTATCTACCTCATCCACCCATCTGCTATACCTTTGATTAGTTATAAATGATCTATACACAAAAACAAATGGAAAGTATTAGGATGTCAAATGGGCAAAATATTCCTGTTAAAAATCAATATTTTGACTGTTTTAGGGTTTAATATGGAAACTCCAATAGTGTGCTTATTTTAGAAATGGTGCAGTTTTTGTGGTGAGACCTTCCTTAATACAGGTAACAACGGAGCCCAGCTCTGCTAGGAGAACTGGAGAAGCTAGCTACCCTTATCCTGGACTGCAACAACTACAACTCTCATGTCAAATTTCCCTACTTGCCCAGCATCACCACCATGTGCATCAACAAAAACAGAATCAGCAACCTTCCCATCTTTGTCGAGGAGGTACGGAGGAAGTTCCCCAACATCAGGTGAGGCGTGAAGAACTGTAGGTCTTTGGATGAAAAGCAGACATCTAAGTATTTCATTCAGTTTGATCACATAAAGCAGTCTTGTTCTTTTATCCCAGGATTCTCAGCATGATGAACAATGAAGCTGCTCCCAGCTACTTTAATGGAGGGAGTTTGACTCAGTATATTGATTACAGGTGAAAATCAGTTAATATTCTGTTTTCACAGAATGAATGTGTATGTGTGTGACCTGCAATGGCATTTCAGCCCAGGTGTTCCCTATCCTCCTGCCTTGTGCTGCTTCAGATAGGCTGCAGGCAACCCTCAAGTGGTTAGATGATGCTTCAATATATGTAAAGACAAGACATTTTTTTCAGTTTCCATAATTATAATAAATATATGAAAGCTGAGCAGTATATTTTTGACATTTTGTGGATATTGATATAAAGAAGTATCCATGCAGTGTATTTCTAAAAAGAAAATTACTATGATGGTATTTCACTTAGCTATTTCCAAAAGTAAAAAAAAAGTTCTTTCATATTTTAAATTTCATAGATAAGTCAAAGTTATTTTGGGGGGCAGGGCTGATCAAGCATTAGTTACACTAAACTGGTCAGTCTCACCAAGTGTGTTTATTGAGCTTGAATTTTATTAATGGGGGAACAAGAGTGAAATTGCATTTATGCGATTATAGATAGATAGATAGGACTTTATTGATCCCACAGTGGGGAAATTTGTGCGTTAACACAGCCTGATAAGAGTACAAGAGTAATACCAAGAATATAAAAATACAAGAATAAGAATATGAACAATTACATTCTTCCAGCACCAATTTATATACAGTATAGCAATTACTGGTCACAGTTAATTGTCCTTCTGGTCGAAATTTCAGCTTTATTTCTGATGCCAGAGCGATAAGATTGTTAACACAATAATCCATGATCAAATAAAGCAGATCTCAAATCAGCTCTTAACTGAAAGTCGTCTCCAGCTTTAATGGGCACTGCTATCTGTCGCCCCCTTCAGGCAGTATGTGATCAGCCAGATTCCCACTCTGGAGGTGCTGGATGACACAGAAGTGCAACGCGCTGAGCGCCTGCAGGCCAAGAAGACGTACCGCAGGCATGGAGTGAGGGGAGCTAGCATGCGGAGGAAGGAGTTCCGTCACTGAGTAACTCCCAAGCTCTGACCTTCCTCATCAATTCACAGACTTTTCCGGATCATGTCAGAGACACCTGAGGACTTCTCTTATTACACAGAGTTTGTTTTAGAGTTTTTTTCCTCTTAGGATGTATCAACCAAGAAGCTGTGACATGTAAGACCTGCTGAGAAGGTGATCAGTGACAATGACATCTCAGACTTACTAGGCATATTGAAATGTATTTTTGAAATTTTAAATGTAATTGTTTTTATTAGTCAGGCATTACGTGCTAGCATTTTATTTAGGGAACATGAATATTGATTTGACTCTGCTTGCTTCAAAAGCAATTATAATTCATATGCATTTAATGATTTTAAAAGCCACGCGTTCATCAGTCGGATCAAATAATGCAACTGTCCACATCACTGCAGCTTTATGTGTGCCCAAATCTAGAAACCTCAACCATAGTCATATCTATAGCCAAATCCCACCTTCAGTAGGCCTTGATAAGTATAACAGAAGATGACTTTTTTTGAGGTTCAAACCATCCATCCATTTCCTGAAACCGCTTGTCCTACTCATGGTCGCGGGGAGGTCTGGAGCCCATAGATTCAAACCAGCAGTTCTGAAATCCACAGTTAAAGTACATGCTATAATACAATTTAATGACCCAAACATTCACATTTTCAATAAAGCAGGTTTCATTGATTAGGTCATCCATCCATCTAAAGGCCATTTTTCCCGCTGAAGGTCGTACAGACCAGGCCCCTCATTTCAGGCCACGGACTAATTTCCGGGAGTTTCCCAGTCGTTCCTAAACTGGCGAGGATTTATAATCCGTCCATCATATCCTGGGTTTGCCCTGCCGCCTCTGCCCAGTGAAAAATGCCCAGTCTTCCTCCTGAATCCTTCATTCAGCCATCAGTCTCCTCTCTATTACGCTCATGCAGACTTTCCCTTTGGAGACTGAGAAGTGTGGTGTCCCTGTTTAAGAACAGAGCCCCCCACCCTTGTCTGCCAGCCACCAGGTACTTTATTGACCACCATATATCAACATTAACTGCATAGACTCTGAGCCACTAGATCTTTACAACCATTCCAACTTAATAAATATTTCCTAACATCAAAGGTTTGATTGGGTCAAATTTCCAGTCACATTCTTTAGCATAGTAAAAAGCAGCACATCAGTTTCTTGAACATTAACATTCAGCAAAACTATTCAGCAACTATTGTGTATCATTACCTATAGGATTCAGGATGTCATAGTTCAAAGTGCATTTTTTAAATTGTTTTTTGCCATTCTTATTAATTACAATCACTTATATTCATTTGATTTCTGAGTGGCCCGCCTAATAAACCGCTAGAACTTGGTTGCTATTTTCTGACCCCCGTATCTTGTTCTATGAATAGCGCAAGAACACTGCTGTTCTCATACTAGGCCTATATTAAAAATCATGCGGTAAATATATTTACTGAGCAACTGGTATCTTATATGTCATGATATCTATCTGATACAATCATCCTAATCCTCATCGTAACTTAATCTGTGCTTTGGGATTTCAAAAATAATTACGGTAATATTGATATTATTCGCGTTACATTATTTACAGTGTATCGTTTGCATTTCGCTTTTTGACTCGCAAAAAAAGTGTAGTTGTTTTATTGAGGAAGGTCTTCGGTTTGAAAATCCAAACGAAACATTACGTTTCTCGAAGGAAGTGCTGGTTTTATTCTACAAACTTTTCCAGAAGTAGCTGTTATTAAAATCTTCTCAATGTCGCGTATATCACCAAATGAAAATGTCAACCTATCAGTTCAGTCTGAGCTCATTATAATTGCGGGTACCCTGAAATTTATAATTTAGTTCACCCTAAAATCTTGTGCAATTAATTAAAAAACATAAAGCAATCTACCAATTGAACTAATAAATTAATAAAAAGTACTTTACGTGTGTAGAATGTTTGTTTGTATAGGCTATTAGTACTTTACGATATTTAAATTTGCGCAACATCAGAGATTAACCCTTTAGGAACAGCAAAAAATTAAACGGTTCTAGTTTTTTTTGTAGAAATAGGGTATTTACTGGAAAGAAATACGCTGGGAATTGTACATTCGCGTTTATATTCTTACCTTAAACGATATTAGTAAATCGGTTATAGATTGGCCGATATTGTGGTTCGTTCCTTGCACCTTTAAATGCCGTGTGCCTTTAATTATCCTCGCGAGCGTAACTCGCAGTTCGTAGCGCTGTGCGCCGTTTGTACAGTGCAGCGCGGGGGTGTCCGGTAAGTACGGATTGTGGGTGTTTCGTTGCCCTTTCATTTCAACTGATTTACACGACTTTCTGCTGCATCTGGTGAGGAGATGTACGACTTTATCCAGCTCTCGTCCTTTGCCACAGCCCCACCGTTTGCTGGACCTCTCGGCTTCAGTTTTTTCTGCAATTTGATAAGCTAGGCCAGCAGCCAGTGCTCAGCGCTGTTTTCCAACATAACAGACCGATTAGCGTATAGTCCCGTTTATGTTTTTGCAGTTGCTCTCTTGTGGGCTGAATATATATATAAACTTATTGTTATTTAATGCGCCAAAAAGCGAGCTGTCGTAAGGTAAACAGCCTTGTTAAGCCCACTTAATGGTGACAGAAGTCTTCTCGTTTCAATGAGCCATTACGAATTAGCCAATAGTAATACGCCAAGGCAGTTTGAAAGCTTAAGGGTGTTTTTTAGTTTTGACAATTTTAGACAATTCTAAACTTCAGTAAGATGCATGTCCTGTGTATTAAACTCTGACACAGTGACAGAATGGAGTACCAGGAAGATGACATGAAGCACGGGGCGAGTCCGACAGCGGTGATCATGTCTATGTAATTTTAAGGAGATAAAATTGTGTTATTTTAATAGCTTTTAAATAAACATTATCGCAAGTGTTATACAATCCCGCAAAGCTTCAGGCAGCTTTGGTTTGTTTAATTAAGTTGGCGATATGGCAGTTGATCTTGCGTAATATGACCCCCTTGATGTCAAATAGGAAGTCAAAGTCTCTCTGTGCATTTATTCACCGAAAGTCACAATGTGTGCAGATTATATGAACTATTGTGATCTCAGATGTCTAAAGGTCGTTTTAAAATCCCGGAAAGAACTGCCGGTTTCATGTGAAAAACATGCACTTTGATGGAGTCTTAATTGTCAACGCATGATTTTGTACATAATGAGCTTGTGTGTGGGTTGGAGTATGCTTTGGGACTACAAGTTTGGGGTCAGAATTTTTATAAAAAATAGCTGTGTACGTCTAGCAAATATTGCACTTGAAGTATTCAATCCCTGACTTAAGCTGCCGAGAATCCACGGCTGCCTGTTCTTTCAATAAGTCATGAATGCGTGCATTGTACCCGCTCACCTAGAAAGTCGTGTTTTTCCTGGTTTTGGCCTACATATTGCGTGCATACCATCCATGCACGTCAGCACTGAAATCGAAGAGGATTTGGTTATTTTGTATAATTCGAATTAAATCGAGTTTTGTATAACATTGCTTTTTACTTATTGGTTAGATACAGAAATATTTTATAGGAGGAGAGTATGGTGTCCCCCCCCAAGAATAGATAATTAATGCCTGCATGGCTAAAAATGACAAGGCTTCCAGTAAGAGCACTTAATAGCTTATATACTGTATATCTTGTTTTTTTCCCTCATAGTAGGTTATACAGTTTAAAATGTGCTTACTGCTCATTGGTTGAGGCTGTGAAGATGATTTCATGTATCAAGTTCAAGAGGAGAGCATCAGGTTCATCTACATCATTCTTTGTTTCCCCCCTGCATGAACAGTGTCCTCACGACTGTTCTGCCGATTCACAAAAGATGCTTCATCTTTGTCATGTTATTTGACTATGGAATTCCAAAAACTTGTATCTATTCCTGGGGGGCATTTTATCTTAAAAATTCTTTAAGGATTTCTTATATCCCTGTTGACTTATTCAGACTGTGTTTCTTCAGATCAAATGTTTTGATCTTGATGTGTTATCCAGTGCCTTTTCTTCTTGCATGCGGCCCCTAAATAAACTTCTGTATGGGGGCTGAGATAAGACCTTGCCACCCTCTCTGTGAAGGGGGTATGTCGTACCTCCTCGGATGGTGTGATCCCAGATGTCACGTACCATTTCAGGATCCTGGCAGCGACTCGAGGCTTTCTGGTGTTAAATAGGGGCAGAACAGGAGCAATGTCTGTCATTTAACGAAGGTTGATAGCGGTCTTTTCTGCATGTGGTGTTCCTTTTGGTGGCAGTACGTCTGTGCCGTGAGTGCTGTTCATTGATGCGGTTGTTTTTAAGGGGAAATCACTGAAGTGCTTCAGTTTCGATACACAAGCTGTCTTAGTTGAGGTGAGCTGTTCTTGGAAAAACATTCTCATAGGAATGTTACTGGGTTAGCTATTAGCATTTGGCTAACACATTAAGGGAGATTAAGGGTCGTGATGCTTGGGTAATCATGGGCAAAGTTTAGTTTTTTTTTTTTCTTTTTCTTTTTCAAATGTGGTTTCTGATAATTTGCTGTCGTTCGCAGGTGACTGAGCAATAATGTCAGCAGCCGTGGAAAGTCCTTATGCACGTATTAGGGAGGCCCTGGACGCACAGAAACCGGATCACAAGTTCTACAACCTGTCTAAACTTGAGGATCCTCGATACAGTAAGATGAGTTGGGCTAAAGCTGTAGCCGGCTATCACAGTGTAACCTACACTGTTCACATTTTGTGAGGTTTAGAAGTGTAATACTATGAAATGTCGTCTTCATATTGTTTGAGAATTTCAGTGGTTGATTTCATAGAATCATACCTCATAAGTTATGCAGATATCTCCACTCTATTTGGGGCAGCAGTTGAAGAATAAGTCTTGTAAAATGCAGTTGAATTTGTGTGGTAGATGCCATGACTGTTGAAAGTACTCCAGCAGTTAGTTCTCCTGTTTACCAAAGGGCAATCAATGCTTTTGAAATGGCGGACAAAGACATTGTCACTCTGTAATGTGTGATTGCCCATCGACGGCCAGTGAGCTCATGATCGTGACTCTCCCTGCAGCACGTCTTCCCTTCTCCATCCGTGTGCTGCTGGAGGCTGCTGTGAGGACCTGCGATGAGTTCCTGGTGAAGCAGGCCGATGTTGAGAACATCCTCAACTGGAACCAGACCCAGTGGAAGAGCGTAGAGGTCCCTTTCCGGCCGGCTCGGGTCATCCTGCAGGACTTCACGTGAGTTTCAGTGTTCATCCTCTGCTTGGGTTCCTCCTACCAGTGATATATATTGAGGTACATTTCCAAACCTGTACCCTATGAGTTCATATACCTGAAGACTAATATTTAAAGTTATTTTTTTTGGACATAATGCTTCTAAAAAGGTACTTGCCTCAAACGACGCAGTCCTTTTTTGTTATATAATGGTTTAGGGTTTTTTTGTGTAAGTGTCTTGTTCCTTGCCACCCTGCGCCTTGCCAGTGGGGTTCCTGCAGTGGTGGACTTTGCTGCCATGCGTGACGCCGTGAAAACCCTGGGTGGAGACCCTGAGAAGATCAACCCCGTGTGCCCAGCAGACCTGGTCATCGACCACTCCATCCAGGTTGACTTCAACAGAAAGTAAGTGCTTTTGTTTATTTTATGTTGGCCCATTCTTGGACCCAGAACAATATAATATATTCCATGGGTGTAAAAATAGTTGCATCCATCTCGGTGTCTTGTTCAGAGGTACTACAGAAGGGATCTTCCTGCATGTTCAACCAGCAGCTAAATCCCCCTTGTTTACCAAAGTAGCTTTTCTTTTTGTTTACATGCTAGAAATTAGTTTAAATTCTTCCCCCCATCATTTGTTTGCTTGCCAGAAATTGGTAGAACATATTTCTTTTGTGATCAGTGTCTTAAATCACTTGGGATGATTTTATTTATTTTTTTAAATGCATTGCACGTGATGAGGGGCATGCGAGCTCGCATGAACAGCTGCTGGGGTGGAGAAGGCCACACTTTAATGTTGGTTCCAGCAGTGTTGACTCCCAGGAGACTGGCCTGGACAGGAAGTGAGGGTTTTCTGACCTGGAGGTCCCAGCTGGGCAGGGTAGTGGTGATGGTGGTCCGGAGGGGTGGGGGGAGGCTGAGAGGGTATCCGGTCAACAAAGGACCAGAGCAGGACCATGGACGTGGGTTGCACGCAGCACATATGGTGCATGATAAATACTCCTCTTTCTAGTAGAGCCATGCTCTTAATGAAAGCCTTGTTCACAGCCATAAAGATGGAGTCTGTAATTAGCCCCTGCCTGGAGGCAGTGGCTTGCAAAATGACAGTCAATTAAAAAAAAAAAAATCATTAAACTCCGAAGAAAGCCTGTTAGATGATATAGGTAGATGAAGATGTAGAAGCCACATGCAGCAGAGTTGATTGCGGCTTGACTTTGAGATCACAGAGGCCAAAAATGCAATGGGCGGCACAGTCCTCTTGCCATTACCACTCCTAGCTTCTGCTGAGAGTGATTGGTTCTGCGGGATGGACTGTTGTCATGGACTTTGTTCCCATGGTAATGTCGACACTTGTGGCTTCAGGACAGTTGTCCCGTGCCAGAGAATTTGGTCCTGTGTCTGCAAGAAGGTCAGTATTGCAACAAAATTCACACTTTGATCTGTAAAATCAAGCATGGCCTTTTTTATGGTCCTGCTCCAAACCAAGCCTGCCTGTACTGCAACACCTGAAATTGGTATGTAGAAGTGTTGGTGCACTTGCCCATTAACCATTTAAAAATACATTCACTAGTATGTGTTAAGCCATGGGATGATCTCTCTCAAACTTCTACCAGTCAGGGTAGCAAGTAGAGAACTGAGTATAGACTGAACTTAACCAGAACCTAATCAAAACATTACTGGTTTAAATCTGAGCTGGGTAGCTGTACCTCTGAGTGAGTAAATGGGTTTATTCATAAACTTATATTTGGGTAAAATGTTGTTTCCCTAATAATTGCTATAGTCAGATTAATAAGAGTGTCTGTTTTTCCAAGGTCTGACAGTCTACAAAAGAATCAGGATTTGGAGTTTGAAAGAAATCGGGAACGATTTGCTTTTCTAAAGGTATTCTGTCTTTATCCAGTATCTAAGCCAGTATCTTTGTTGTGGAGTGTGTGGGGGAAAGCCTGTGTTCTGTCATAATGTATGCATTCTGTGGAGGAGTGAGGTGTCTTTCATGCCCATTTAAAGACTTTTGGAGCTGTTGGATGGGTTAGTGAACGTACTGGGTGGTGAATGGTGACATCGTCTCCCTACAGTGGGGCTCCAAGGCCTTCAAGAACATGCGGATCATACCTCCAGGTTCCGGCATCGTGCACCAGGTCAACCTGGAGTACTTGGCTCACGTGGTGTTTGACCATGATGGCTTTTACTACCCCGACAGCCTGGTGGGCACAGACTCCCACACCACGATGATCGACGGCCTGGGGGTGTTGGGCTGGGGTAAGGCCTTGAAGCTCTGCCAGCCAGTCCTCTGCTGGTAACTCACTGATACATTGTCCTGTTGTCCTTCATTGTCAACTGTTAGCTTCCCAGTGCTATCTGATTTGCCAGTTGTGTTGTGTGTTTCGACCACAAGCCGGATCTCATTAAGACAGGTGAACCAAGGATATGAGATCAGGAGCTGGCTTTGGGCTCATTTTCTGGTCAGATATACATGAGTGTGATTCCTGTGACTTCCTGTGCAGGGGTGGGCGGGATTGAGGCGGAGGCTGTCATGCTGGGCCAGCCAATTAGCATGGTGCTGCCACAGGTCATTGGCTACAAGCTGTTGGGCGTTCCCGACAAGTTCATTACATCAACGGACATCGTACTCACTATTACCAAGGTAGCCGGAAGGGTCCCATGCATGGGCCTATGTGGTGGGGTTGATGAGGTCATAATCTTAGAATATTCTTGCTTATTTTTATCTTCATAATAGTTAGTGGTGGATTTACCTGTTTGTCTGCTCCCAGCACCTGCGACAGGTGGGTGTAGTGGGGAAGTTTGTGGAGTTCTTTGGGCCGGGCGTGTCCCAACTGTCGATCGCCGACCGAGCGACCATTGCCAACATGTGCCCAGAATACGGTGCCACGGCAGCCTTTTTCCCTGTAGACCACATCAGCATAAAATACCTGGAGCAGACAGGTAAGGTCCCCTGCAGTGTGAGGCAGCTGCAGTGTGAGGCAGCTGCAGTGTGAGGCAGCTGCAGTGTGAGGCAGCTGCAGTGTGAGGCAGCTGCAGTGTGATATCACCTTGGAAGCTTCACTCTCTGTTCCGTGTTGTGTCTGCAGGGAGATCCGCGGAGAAGCTAAACTACGTCACTCAGTATCTGAAAGCTGTGGGCATGTTCAGAGATTATAGCAACGCTGACCAGGACCCCGAATTCACCCAGGTGCCACATCAAAGCAATATTTGTCTCATTATGGGCACGTACACAGGAATGCAGTCCATTACGTCGTTTGCAGATTCAAATTAGACACTGCTTATGTCAAATGTCCTGCTGTGTTAGTAGGTCACAAGCATACAAAATGAAGCCATACATAATGATAGAAGTACCCATAATGCCTTAGTGATCGTGTGCTGTGACTGCCCCCCTTCAGGTGGTGGAGATGGACCTGGGCACGGTTGTCCCTTGCTGCAGTGGCCCCAAAAGGCCACAGGACAGGGTGGCTGTGACAGAAATGAAGAGGGATTTTGAAGGTTGTCTAGGGGCTAAGGTAACCTTTTCCTCTGATTCCACTGAAGTCCTCCCATCTTGTGTAATGTGGGAAGTGAACCATGGTAGCAGTTGGGGAGATGAGGTCATCCAGATGGCTACAGAGGCTCTTTCAAACAAAAGCCTGCCAGGACCTCTAGGAGATGTGCTGCTGCACTTCTGAGCAGGATGGTGTGAAATGATCATAACTGAAAGATGTTAAAGTGATTCTGCTCAAGTACTGCAGCAGTGTTACTTGCAATTTGTGCTTGGAGAAACGGAAGTGGGTGCTGGAGGTGTGAGCTAGGCTTTATCCCTCGATCGCCTGGTGTGGGTGGCAAATACTGATCGGAACTGGCCAAAGATTGGGGATTGGATTGGAGGCGTTTCTATAGGTAGTGCTATAGCACTCAGCACCATACTGCTATGAGACCGTGTGACCGCAGTGTTTCTCTCCGCTCCCCTCAGCAAGGCTTCAAGGGCTTCCAGGTGCCTCCGGAGCGCTTGAACAACACGGTCTCCTTCCAATACAGCGGCACAGACTTCTCTCTGAGTCACGGGTCTGTGGTCATTGCTGCAATCACCAGTTGCACAAACACCAGCAATCCGTCTGTCATGCTGGGGGCGGGTAAGATTTGTGCACTGCTTACTTAAACCCCCTTTGTGGCGTATAGCCATTCATGCCAAGTGAAGGAAGCCAGAGAAATGGGGGAGGGGGATTGCTGTTAGAAAAAGGTTCCTGTCTGTGGAACAAACAAATTTCCTAGGACAGTGTTTCCCAATGTGGTCCTCAGTGACCCATAGACAGTCCACGTTTTTGCTCCATCTCTGCAAAGGGAGCAAAAATGTGGACTGTCTGGCAGGAAGCTAGGAGGGAGCAAAAACATGAACTAACTGTGGGTTGCTGAGGACTGGATTGGGAAACACTGTCCAAGCAGAATGATGTAATGCTTTAAACTGCTGTGTCAGGGGGCTCTTCCTTTTTCAGTTTGTCGCTTCCTAGTGATTACTATGTATAATTCTGGGGATCCTTTGGTCAGGGCAGTGACAGTACCTCTCCCTGTGTGCCTTTCAGGGCTCCTAGCAAAGAAAGCTGTGGAGGCGGGTCTTAGTGTCCGGCCCTACATTAAAACCAGCCTGTCCCCGGGTAGTGGCGTGGTCACGTCCTACCTTAAAGAGAGCGGGGTGATGTCTTACCTCTCCAAGCTTGGGTAACTCTCTGATAAATTTGTCCTGTTGTTTTTCACTTGTTACCTGGTAGCTTTTCAGTGCTGTCTGATTGGCTAGTTTCAGTTGGGATCATGGAGTTGATAACCTTGATTCGCTTCTCATAAAACATTTTTCAGTCCGGAAGAGGTACATATCTTAATGACGAAAGGGTTTTTCAGACTTGATTATTCTATTCTCAGTTGACCTCAGTTCCCATCGCTCTCCCTTTCAGGTTTGAAGTAGTGGGCTATGGCTGTATGACCTGCATAGGGAACAGTGGTCCCCTCCCTGACCCTGTGGTGGAGGCCATTACTCAGGTATTTCTTACTGCATTGCTATCTTGCTGCGATTAGCATGGCAGCCACTAGACCCTGCTCTCCCCTCATGTCCTCAGGGGGACCTGGTAGTAGCCGGAATCCTGTCTGGCAACAGGAACTTCGAAGGCCGAGTCCACCCCAACACCCGCGCCAACTACCTAGCCTCACCGCCCCTGGTTATTGCATATGCCATCGCGGGGACCATCCGCATTGATTTGGAAAAGGAGCCGCTGGGTAAGATCTTGCATGTGAGGTGCAGCTGGGAGGGGTGTAATTATGCTGCCAAGGGTGGGGTGTAGGCAAGGGGGTTATAATTACGCAGGGTGTGTCTTACTGCTGCAACAGCCAACGCTAGGAGCTTGTCAGACACTTGAAGGTTGCTGTTATCATTGCTTTATATTTCTACACATTCATCATCAACAAAGTTTTACACTATATGGAAGAAATGAGGATTCAAACCCATAGCGGGTGGTTTATCGTATACTGGTTTAACACCATAGGATAACTGTATTGCAGTAGATGGCTATAAGGCAGTGGGCATGCTTTGAGTGCTTTTTTGAACAGAGCACCATCTAGTGGTGTGAAAAAATACAGCAAATGGTTCATGAAGCATCATTTGGCCATCACTACTGGATCCCTTTAGACAGCAGTTGGCAGCATGAGAAAAAGGAAAGACCACCCTGAAACGCACGGCCTAAAACAGTGCCAGAGCTCAGGCAAAGGAATGTCAGGTGATGTCTCTGTCTTGTGTGTCAGCGGTGACCCCTGAGGGGAAGGAGGTCTTCCTCAAAGACATTTGGCCCACACGGGAAGAGATCCAGGAGGTCGAGCACCAGTTTGTTATTCCCGCCATGTTCAAGGAGGTCTACACTAAGGTGGAGGTACATCAGCTCGCCGTGCCAGCTGAGATTTGTAGACCTGCTCTATTTGGGTAGCCAGTATGCTTAGAAAAGTATCTGTTGTAAACGTTACTTCATTTTTAGGTAAATATCTTGAATTGGGTAACACTTTTCTTGTAAATAGTAGTTGGTCATTGTTCAGGGACCTGACTGATGGGTGTATGGCTGCTCTATCTGCAGAATGTGAATGAGCGGTGGAATTCCCTCAGTGCCTCCTCTGACAAGCTCTACACATGGGACCCCAACTCCACCTACATCAAGTCTCCTCCCTTTTTTGATGGACTGGTAATTCAAACAGCGGTTGCCACAATGTCCTCAATTTCCCTACTTCCAGAGAGCTTGTAAGAAAATGATGGGAGTTTCTGTTCCCCAGACGAGGGAGCCACAACCACCCAAGTCCATAACCGATGCCTATGTACTGCTGAACCTTGGGGACTCTGTGACTACAGACCACATATCACCCGCTGGGAACATAGCCCGGAACAGCCCTGCAGCGCGGTACTTGACCGGCAGGGGGTGAGTGACCAATCCTGCCTCTGAATTAACCAATCAGGTTCTGATGTTTCTTACATATTTATTAAAAATGACTTTACGCCCAGGGATTTGGTAAAATCTGATTACCAGGTGCCTGTTTTTTTTTTTTTTTTTCTCTCTCCTTCAATTCCAGCATAGGACTGGTGTACACTGGTCCAAAAATCCATTTGTAAACCCAGAGAGTTCTAATGAAGAATATCTAAAATGCAAATGAGTTTGGCTGTCCCCGCAGCATTTTGAGGTTGTTACCCAGCCAGCTGAAATGTGGTCCTTTCGCCACATTGTGCTTACACATCACCTCACTCCCCCTCTCCCCCGCAGCCTGTCCCCGCGGGACTTCAACTCGTACGGGTCACGCCGTGGCAACGATGCAGTCATGGCCCAGGGCACTTTTGCCAACATCCGTCTCTTCAACAAGCTGCTGGGCAAACCAGGGCCACAGACGGTGTACCTGCCCTCCGGAGAAACGGTAACGCTCCCTCATGGCTGTGCGGGGCCTGCGGCAGCAGATTTGCCCCCAGCAGGTTTCCCACTGCGGTGCTGCGACTCCTGCCAGGCTGATGCTTGCAGAGAGGGAGAAATCCTCCAGTTGAGGGCAGAATCCTTTGAAATCCAGTATGAGGTTTAATGATGGAGTGTTGGTTGTTTCTGGTGTCGCTAAAGCATGAATAAAGTTTAACAATTTGCGTTACTTCCTGTATTTTTGATATTTATGCTTAAAGATCTAACTGACAGGAGGTCACAAGGACAGCCCTTCTCATGTCTAGTATTCTGGCCTCTCCTCCATCTCCCCTAGTTTTGTCCTGCTGTGTCTTGAGTTACAGGCTGCTCATTTTTAGTGCTCCCCCCTGTGGTGGCACTGTGCCCTGTTGGCTCCGGTGGGGGGGGTAACCAGCCACTCTCCCTGTTCCAGATGGATGTGTTCGATGCTGCTGACGAGTACAAAAAGGCTGGCCTGCCTCTCCTGGTCCTGGCCGGGAAGGAGTATGGATCGGGCAGCTCCAGAGACTGGGCTGCCAAAGGGCCGTTCTTGTTGGTATGTCCAAGAATCCCATGGCTTAGGTTCTGGCCACACATGGGTCGCCAACTAACAGTCCTCCTGTTAGTCGGGGAAGGGCCTCCAAAGGCAGCCTTGGCTGTTCATCTGTTCATAACAAAATGTACAATTATAGTTCTTAAGAAGAATCATGCTGTTGATGCCCACACCCTCTTTCATCTGCCCCCAGGGCATCAAGGCGGTGTTGGCCGAGAGCTACGAGCGCATCCATCGCAGCAATCTGGTGGGGATGGGCATCATTCCGCTGGAGTACCTACCCGGCGACACGGCCGAGTCATTGGGCCTGACGGGCCGCGAGTGCTACACCGTTGTCATCCCAGAGACACTGACGCCCAAGATGAACGTGGTCATACAGGTGTGTCCTGTCGCTGATGCCACTACACTCCAGAGCACACCTCCGCTAATTGTCAGAGACACAGATGGCGCAGCCCTAAGCCCTCAAACACGGCTAATGCTAATTCTGTGAATAATAAGACCAACAGTTTTAGTGGCACTAAGTTTTTTCCAGAATGTGATGGATTAATTGCTGTCTATCTCACCAGCTGGACACTGGGAAGACCTTCCGGGCTTGCATGAGGTTCGACACTGATGTGGAGCTCACGTATTTCCAACACGGCGGCATCCTCAACTACATGGTCCGTAAGATGTCAGAGAAGTAGAGGAAGGAGGGGAAGAAAGGTCACCTGACGCATGGTGATACGTCAGGCCTGCAAGTATGGTGGGAGTTACCTTGTAAGGACAAGGACCTCCCCTAAAAACATCCAGTCCCAGTTCAAGATGGGTGGTAATGCAGACTTGCAGTACATCTGTTGCAGTGGTGTTAAGTAGAGGTTGCAGTCTGGATTAAAATCAGTTTTGTAAGTTTTGGGACACATCTAAAGCGCATGTATGTCCAGTTTGGCTTTGACTAGGACAAGAACAAAAACATCAAGTCCTACTTAAAATGATTCTGCTTATAATTAGTAGTTTAATCAAATATGTGAAATGTATATTTATGAAGTAATTTTAATACCCATTCAGTGAGCACCACTTGCCTTAAACTATTATAATATAGCTTACTGTTTAGAGAGGACTGATTGTAAGTGCCCATAGTTTTAGGTGAATGACCTTGTCATTGACTATAGCTGATATGCAGAAAAGTACAACCTAATATAACAAATGGATTTTCCCCCTTTATTTCATTAATTGTGTAAAATAAATCTAAGTACACCATACATTATACTTTAAAACACCGCTACACATTAAAATGTCATATCTGTACCTGTAAAATCTAGATTATGTTGAAATAGCCAGATGGGTTTTCATCTGAATAAATTTCACTTGGGGGCAGATTTTCACATCAGCTTGTCCAGGAATTGGTTTTTCATACCTCCCACCCTCAACTTGTGGACCAGATATGTTGCTGTTTGCTCAATTCCACAATAAACCTTTTTTGGACCAAAGACTTCTGTACATGTGCCTTTCTACTAACCCAAAGATTTAATAATCACTAATCAATCAATGTGCTAGAAGCAGTGATTAATTATCATTGATCTAAGTGTTTGTGATTTGATGCCGCATAAAGAATAAGGTTGGGTTTTACTTATTGTCACAAAGAAATATATGCAACTTTTCAATAGTTAACTTTTGTTTTGGGGTGTTTAGCTGTAAATGGATTATACTTGACACTATTATACACTACAGTCTTGCCTGTTCAATTTATATTGTGTCATACGCAATTGGTAAGACACATTTGTAAGCTGCACAAGATGTGATTTTTAGCAATTTCCTCATCAGGGGAGCACGTGGTCAGGTTGCAACAAACTTGACCAAACCACTTCAAAATTCAGGAAGCTTATTTCTCACAAGGTGTCTCTTGGTCTTGTCCTGATGACATGTCTGCTTTTGAGACTAATGTTCCTGGTGAGGTGCTGAATGGGGTAACGGCAGCCACTTGGAGGTAAGCTCTGATGGTATGGATGTATTGTGCTTGTGGCTATAATGTATGGCTCAAACTGCACAGGGAACAACTTACCATATACACAACATCAGTGCTACCAATGAACAGCAGTCTTCCACTCTTGAAAGGCTCTTAAAAGTTAAATTCATGTTACAAAGTTATCTAGACAAACACAGAATAGCTGTTTCCCATATGAAATAGAATATCGGGAATACTGACAAGAAATTAAATATAAAAAGTTATCGGATATACATAAGATTCAATTTTGGCAATGTTTGTTATTTTGGTCTTGTTGACCACACCCCTTTTAGCACTGATGACAGACATCGTGGGGAAAGCAGCACCTCTGGAGGTCAGTGTCCGCCTCAGCTTTGGTTGTGAATAATGCAGGTGGAGACCTGCAGCGTCCCTCTGCGGGGGACTCACGTTTGGGTGTAGCACACATAGTGGTGACCCTTGCCCTTGCTGCAGTCCCGAGTGTGCCATCTGGCTCTCCGGAGGACCAGAGCACAGCGCCTCACATTGCCTTTCCTCTTTGTGCGGAGAGGGTTCCTCTTCCAGTTGGTGTAGGTGACTGGTTCCCCGCCAACCCACTCCCAGTGTTCCCTGTTCTCACGATCGTTCAGTCCTGCAGGATGAAGGTGACAAATGGCAAAATTAGCAATTACAGTCTACATCAGGGGTGGCCAATCTTATCCGCAAAGGGCCGGTGTGTGTGTATATTTGTGTGAGCGTTGCGGAGGACCCCATAATCCTCTGGGCCGGTGTGTGTGCGGGTTTTCGCTGCAACTCCCTAATTAGATTACTAACTAGAGGAGTAATTGGCTGAAAGAGTCCTCACACATGGGTTTGAACAGCTGACCTACAGGTTATCCCAAAAACCTGCACACACACCGGCCCTTTGCGGATAAGACTGGCCACCCCTGGTCTACATCAGTGTTCTCCAACTCAGTCCTTGGGGACCCCTTGACGGTCCACATTTTTGCTCCACCCCAATCAGAGCATGTGAGCGGAGCGGAGCGGTGAGAATTTCCGCTCCTCGCTCACGAGGCTGTTGGCTCCGCCCGCTCCTCCGCTCTAATTCGCACTAAGCCGCTCCGCTCAACACCGCTCCTCGCTCCACTAAAACGTCCTTCCGCTCCAGTCAAATCGCTCCACGCTCGCTCCAATTTAAAAGAGGGACAAATAATCTGCATGCCTAACAAATGTCATCTTAAACCGAAGCCTTATGTCATAAAGAAATATGAGCAACGGCAACATTGCCAGTCAGAACAGAAAATATTTATTTTTAAGCAACCTATCGGCAACAACGGACAGGTTTGGAAATGGCATTCCACACAAAAATAGGTTTAAAAATAAAGGAATCAGTGGGCTTAATAGCCTAAAGAATATACAGACACGTTTTAAATTCCTCAATTTTTTTCTTTTGATGCAGCGCGTCTCTAAAATAACATTTTACGTTACGTGAAATTTAAAAAAAAATCTTATTAGACCTACTTTGAATGACAAAACGAATTTATTTGATTACCAATATGTACTTTATAGGCTTTTATACTTTAATTTACTTTATAGACTTGATATGCTACAACCATATAAAACTTGCACGCGTTTTGCTCTGGCTTCCGCTTGTTCGCGTAGCACACTCATGTTTCTGAGAAAAGTGATTCCAAAGTGAATCTTTACTCACTGAAACAGTTTCACCACATTGTTGTTCTTGCTGTACATTCTTGTCATCTATACGTTTGATAAGAATAATACACTTGTATGATTTATCAGTTTCCTTTGTGAAATACTTTGTGAATTCCATTTCGGCCAATTTGTGTAACAGTCTTGATAATTGTACAGATGAATTCTGGGTAGATTTGGGCACGCCTCAGAATTGTAGTGTGAGCGGTATCGGAGCGAAATTGGAGCGAGACAAAGCGACCGCTCCAGCCTTAATTAAAAAACCGCTCCGCGCTCTGACCAAATTCTGCCCGCTCCGCTCCTCGCTCACGCTCCGCTCCGCTCACATGCTCTGACCCCAATCAATCAAGAACACCGAATACCTAGTATGGGTGTGTTGGTAGCTGGGAGTGAGCAAATATGTGGACTGTCTGGAGGTCCCTGAGGACTGGCGAGGGAAACACTACAGCGTTCAAGTGAGTTTTTACCAAGTCTTCTGTAAAGACACCAGCTCTTCAGAGCTACAGCATATTCATAGTTTTGCCCCTGAATTATGCATCTGCATAATGAATAACTTCACCTACACTGATTAACTGCACTTTTAAGACTTAAAAGCTTATATATACAGCTCTGGAAAAAATTGAGACCACAGCGCATTTTTTGTTTCACTCATTTCTCAATTTATGGGTGTATGTCTATGTACTGTAGCCTGGTTCTTCTCTGTCTCATTAATGAAGGGCTTCTTCCTTGCTTTATGGGACTTCAGTCCTGCTTCTAGGAGCGTGATATGAAGTCTCCTAGCAGTGAACTTCACACTTGATGTTATCCTCGGATTCATGAGAAACTGTTGGATAAGGTAACAGTCATCTCTGGCATTAGAAAGTCACTTCCACCCTCTGCCTGGCTGGTTTTTTGGTCATTCCCATTGTTTAGTATACTGTAGTCTTAGAAATTCTGAGCCTGGAAGCAGCCTGCTGTGCAGTATAGCCTTCTGCCAGTATTAAACTAGGATTTAACAATGCAGATGTAAAAAAGAAAAAAAGATGGAGTGGTCTCTCAATTTTTTTCCAGAGCTGTGTATGTAATGTTACACTCTTCAAGTACACAACAGAAACGATGTATCCCCTCACTTCCCAGACCACAAAGGTGCAGTCAGCTGGTTACAACAATTTGAGGCAATAGTATATGAGGACTACAGTCATTAAAAATGGAGCTTTACCAATCCAGAATGGCTTTCTTCCACTGAAATCCCACAGCCAGTCCATATCCTGCTCTGACAGCACACTGACGAGACTCCCATTGTAGCTACAGAATTAAGGAATTAAGAAAAATGGGTAATAGGCAAGGATTGACACAACTGGTCCGCAAGTACGCATTCACCTTTAAAAGTAACGAGCGGAAATCGATTGTTTTAACAGTGTGAATGCGTACGTATTTTATGTGCATTTGCGCTGATATGACAAAAAATTATTATGCATTTTAACCTTTATATGCTAAGTTGTACTTCATTTGTGGCATAGAGGTTAAAATGCATGATAATTTCTTGTCATATCGCCGCTAATGCACATAAAATACGTGCGCATTCACGCTGTTACAACAATCGATTGCCGCACGTATCGCTTTTAAAGGTGAATGCAAACTTGCGGGCCAGTTATGTCCATCCCTGGAAATGGGTAATAAGTCATAGCCACAGTTGCCTGATGTTTGTCAGTGTGGATCCAGATGACAGCCAGTCCATACTTACGCCTCCTTGCAGGTTCTGGCAGCCAAAGCCCAGGTCAGCCTGGGGCCTTTGCTCAGGATATAGCAGCGAGCGCTGTGGTACGTCCACCCCTGGGGACACTTCTGAGCATCGATGGCCTGTGTAATGGTGAAAGGAGACCGTCATGGTGACACAAGTACGACTGTGCACAAAGCCATGAGCTTTCTTGAACTTGTGCTTGAACGTGTTTCTTCTTGTCGCATAGTCAGTCAATCTCGTGCCAGCTACTGGTTTGTTCCATACAGTGACATAATGATTAAGAAACTAGACTTTTGACTGATGTGTTTTCGGTGTATGTATCAGGGTCCGAGCTGCAGTCCTGCTTTCGAACCCTCGCAAGCCAGCTCCCCTGAACAGACTTTGGGAGACATGCATCTCTGCAGTCTAATAAGCACTAAGCCAGGTCGGAGCGTAGGAGTCCACCTGGTGCGAGGGAGTCCAGGGTCTCCAGGCGGCGCCGTCACAGCGCCACAGTGCATTGGAGCTCTGGTTGAAGTGCAGGAGCCCTGTCAGCTCCATGGTGCAGGTTCTGGGAGAGTGGTACTGTGGGACATCCTGTCGTGAGGGAGACCCTCGTGACTGAAAGCTGCGTCACACTCAAGCTTTAAGAATTTAGACGATTAAACTGTATGTTGTTGGTAATTACTTAAAAAAACAAGCAATTGTCTAATAACAGTATAACATGCGGCCGTTACCGATTTGAGTTTAGTGGCTTTACTATCTGAAGTCAGGGCCTTGCTTCTTTCCAAGGAATCGGGGATGGCTGTCTGCTGCCCCCTGCTGGCTACCATCACCTTGGCATTCCTCCCCACTTGGGAGGGAGAAGAGTGGTCCTCCACTCGCAATGACATGATCCCATGGTACTAGAGAAACATGGAGAAGCAAGAGGCGGTGAGGTAGCTTCTCATGTGATTGCTAAGCAAACATCAGCACTGTCCACTTTATACACAGGACAGCCAATAGAGATTTTCTTACTGTGAAAACGGTGTCAGATCCATTCTTGTGCGATGAAACGGGCCGAACCTGTGCATTAAACATTACATCATGAATGGCTTTTCCATGTGACCATTTTTTTCCCCCCAAGTTTATCGTACTGAAAAATGTATAATGGTCAGTACGCTTTACGACACTGTATGAAGGTGTCAAACAGAGACCCACTGTTTTTCCATTGTCCACAGGCCTCAGTCTCTTGCCAGATGACTTATACTGCATGTCTCCATGTGTCCAGACGATGGGCAGGGTCTCCAGCTGGATGGCCCCATGGCGCGGAGGGGTTAGCCGTGAGCTAGATTTGGTGCCTGGTGAAGGCTGGCTGTACCTACACTGGCCTGCAGGGGGCATGAGGAATACACAGGGCTCAGATGTATGGAACTGCGGAGCATACATACATACATGGATACATATTAACATTCAACCACTGACCTGAGACTTTCATTCACAGTTACTGGTATTTTAAATCAGATTTGACACTGTTTACTAAGAATGCTACTATTTTTTGAATACTTTCTTCGAAGCAGTTCAGGTTAAGCACCACGGGTCCCTGTCCTGGAATGATAAATGGACTTTAGCTTTTAACCACTATGCTGACTCACCAGGTGTGGAGAGGTGGGCGGGTTCTCACCTATCCCGGAATCGATGATCGTCACAAGTGCACTGGTGTTGCAGCCGAGGACAGCGCCCTCTGGTGAAGCCAAAGACACCTCAAACGTCTCGTCCTCTTCCTCCAGCTGGTCCTGAGTGATCTCCAAACGCCAGGTCCTGCTGGTCACACCTGAGGGCAGAGAGGTCAGGGAGTTTATCCTCTACAAAGCAGTGATGGCCAAATGACACCTCATGAACCATTTGAGGTATTTTTTGACCCCAATAGATGGCGCTCTTGGCTTACTTTTAGTCATGCTTTGAGCTGTTGGTTTTTTTTTTTTTTTAATAGACATCACAGCCTAGTGGGGCCAAAAAACACCGCAAATAGTCCATGCAGCGTCACTTCATTTCTATCACTACTACTTAGCATTTATATACCTGGATACCATTTAGTCACATCATAGCAGAACAAATTTTACATAAGAAATGATTAAATGGGAAACCTTTATAGTGGTTGAAATGCTTAGATTATAATTTTTTTCATTGTTCAACTAAAAGTATTAATGTACCAGGATCAAACTGAAGTAAACTTGATGGACTTAGGGTGAAATCCTTCCCTCTGGAGGCTGTGATCTCTTTGACCTGAAATAGACAAACAAATCAAACATGAATACAATACATCACCGACATAACAGCCTTTAAAAGCTGTCCCTGATCTCCAGGGTCCAAATGCAAAGATGCAGAGACTGTGTGGGCAGAAGAGCCTGGTACCTTGATAGTCACATAGGACGACTCAGCAGTATTGCCACTCCTGAGCACGGTAAGCAGCAGCAGGTCCTCCTCCTCACATACCCTGTACTCAGCTTGGGAGAGCTCCAAACTTGCCCAGCGGAACTCGAACCTACAGGAGCAAGGTATTGATGGCTAATGATGAACCATTTAGTTTATTTTCTGACACCACTAGATGGTGCTCTCTGTTCAAAAAAGGGCTCAAAGCATGCAAAGTAAGCCAAGAGCACCATCTAGTGGGGTAAGAAAATACAGCCAATGGTTCATGAAGCTTCATTTGGCCATCACTAGAGCCAAGGTTTTTTGAGGGGGAGGGGTCACATGACCCTTGTGTGTGTGGAAAACCATAAGCTGTCAAAAAAAGAGACTGGAACAGTTATAAAAGAAAGACTTGGAATGGCAGAGGCAAAGGCAGAAGGTGAATGATCAGCGTTGTGCAATCAGGCAAGTATTGTCGGGAAGTGTGCTATGCAGAAAATCTGAATTGAATAAAGACAAACAGCGATGAGACAAACTGAGAGAGACTAACTGTCAGAAGAGAACCTTACGTGTGGGTTGGGTTGGCATTCCCCAGGGGATCTGACACCTTAAACTCCAGGCTGTCCGACAAGGCGCTGCTTGCGGGGTTGATGACATACAGGATGTTCCTCCTATTCAGGTCCCTCTGGGTGAAACGCTGGCGGATAAACTGGCCTTTGGAGTAGACAGGAAGTGCATGCTCACACACAGTCGTGTCCAAGAATAACTATAACTTCAGTTACAGTTTCCTGAAAAACATACAGCTGCTGAATGAAACAGTCAATCCTTCTGTGACCTTTTGTCCTGGTTGATTCTGTAGCTGGTTAAATTACTGTAAGAGAGCATATAAAGTTTCACCACCCAGCAAGATGCCCTCACCATGCCCTACCACTGACACACAGTCTGTGGCGATTTTAGTAAATACTGAATATTATATTACAGCACATTAAGTATTATTTACTAACAAGCCATTCCCAATTCAGCACAAACACAAAGACAAAAAAAAACACATGAGCCTTCCTAAACTAGCCATTGCATAATGAAACTGAATGAAACATGCTTTGATTCCACCCAATGCCCTCTCGCCCAGGCCTCACCTGAAGTAACGTTCTCCAGGTAACCAAAATGAGGCGGTCGAAGCACCTGGAAGACAAGCTGCTCGCTGTGGCAGTCGGTGCCCTGCGCTTTCAGCTCTCGCGACGACACAAAGATACCGTAACGGCCATCCTTCAGCACTTCCGCCCTCCAAGCCACCTTTAAATGCACCAGCCGTGGGGCTGGAATGCCCAGGGGCTCCACCTAGGGGCAAAGCGATGATCAGCACCAGTATGCAAACCCACATCCCAGCCTGAAACGTTCTCACACCCTAATTAGTATGTAGGGTATTAAGACTCTAATTTAACAGACTTCCTTTAGTGGCACTCTTCAAAAAAGGGCATAAAGCATGCCCTGAAGCAAACCAAGAGCACCGTCTTATAAACGCTTATATGGAAATCTGTTAATTACTGTAGCCTGGAGAGCATCAGTGCATTATTTTATAACTGTCACAGATTCTGTGATAACAAGGCTGATGTTAAGGACCAGTGCATGTGCTGTAATATAGGCCTGGTTGTTGTCAGTCCGCTGACAGTAAATCACTATGTATGGCCTGACGGCAGCCTGATAGCCTCACCTGGATGGTGAAGAAGACAGGCTCAGTCTGGAGCTTCCCCCCCATCAGGAAACCACGGTGGCTGCTATCAAGGGCAGTGAAGCTGAAGCGGTCGATCTGGGCAGGGCCCCCGCCATGCCTATAGGCCAGCTGAAGGTCCAGCAGGTTCTGTTGAGTGAAGTTGCCCTCGAGAAATGGAGCCCCCCGCAGGAGCAGCTGCCCATACTGAGGTGGCTGCACCAGCACAAAGAAGAGTCTAGATGGGGGGGTATCGGGGTCAGACAGGCTCAGGACGTCAGGGGACAGCACCATGGTGGTGCCTTGTGGCACCTGCAGGCCACTGTTATGGAGGATTGAGGGCAGCTCCCGGTCCACTGTGTCAATAGCGATGTCCAGAACACCTCCGCGGGTGGATTGCCCATTGCTGACCACAAACCTGTCAGAGAGAAAGGCAGCACTGGCCTTAAACATGCATGAGAAGACACCACTCCAACTCCACCCAATTAAAACTCAAAAATCCAGAAGGTCCCGCCTACCGCAGCGTCTCCTGGGGTGATACAGCGCTGTTATCGTGGATATAGCACACCAGGTTGGCGGCCACGTCCATCTGGCTGAAGGAGGTGATAGCCATGCCTGGGTGGTGGATGTACTCCACATGACCATGGTCGGGCGGAGTGGTCACCACATAGAGGAGCTCCTCTGGACGGTCTGTGCCATCCAGGGCCAGGAGGACTTCGGTGGTCAGCACCACACGCTCGCCCCGTCGGGCCTGAACGGGCTTGACAAACACGGCGATGTCTCCTGGGAAATCAGAGTGACATCGTTGGTGTGGTGTGATCCGATCTCAGCGAGATGCGTTAGAAATCACCCCCCAGGGCATGTGGCGATTTGCAATATGCTCAGTGAGGAAACAGTTTAAAAGGGTTGCATACTCAAAAAAGCCACACATATGGGTAATTGAATCAAATCTGAGACAAGCCTGAAAAACTTATACCCACCCATTTTCTATGCCTGCTAGCCCTATGCACAGTCATGGGGGTCCAGAGCCTATCTTGGGAATAATGGGGGCAAGGCAGGGCGTAACCCAGGACAGGGGCACCAACCTGTCATAGGGCACACTCACACATACATTCACACCTATGGGCAATACAGCATGTTTTTGATCTTAGGGGGGGAACCTGGAGTACCCTGAGGAAACAACAAGACAGACTGGAACCCCGGTCCCAGAGGTGTAAAGTGACAGTGCTAACCATTGCGCCACCAGCTTGATAAACTTTATTTACGAATGTAACTCAGCCTTGGCATGCATATTCTCATTACATATGCTTAAAGGTGGCACATTCGGCTTTTGGGGAACCTGGTATCCATGAATCACCAGGAAGGCCTGCACTGACAGGCTGGTGCACCCAGCCCCTGAGTTGACCCCGCCACGCTAACCTTTCTCCATCGTCTTCACCGAGATGCGGAAGTGCTGCACAGGCGAGCGGTTCGCCCCATCCTGCAGATGGAAGATGAACGCATCCTCTCTCTGGAGCCCAGTGGACCCAGTGTGGAGGTATCTCAGCAGGTTGCTGTCCAGGTCCTCCTGGGAGCAATTCTCCCCGGCACTGAGCGATACCCAGTGCAGGCCCATCTGTGCAATGACAGAGGTCCTGGTGAGCACCAGAACAGCCACTAAACACATATGGGCCATTGCTTTTATTATGTGTCATGTCAGGTCTCTTCTCTGAGCCACCTAACCCCATGGCTTACATTCATATCTTCCGGCACTCGTTACTTTAATATCTTAGACTATGGCTGCCATTTGGTTGTTTGTTTACAGTGCATTGTTTATATTTATATACTTATGCCCTTTCATACTGTGCTCTTATGTTGTGTGTATAGTCTGATCGTGTCTATAACTGCTACTGTAAAATCATATTTTCCCTTTGTGAAAGTTTCCCTAAGTTCATCTTAAAAATCTTGCTCATTTAAGTGTGAGTTTGTATAACATGAGATCGGTTGAGGGTCTTTGCTCTGTAGGTTGTGCTCTGTCTGATTTACATTCAGGGAAGGGAATGGAGGGGGCTAATGCCTACCTTCATCTGCAGCAGGCCTTCTGTGGGCAGGCTCTCAAACACATACAGGACATCCCGGGCAGGTGTGTCATCGTCCCACGCAGCGAGGACCACGCCGGAAATCAGCCTGGACTCTCCCATATCTACCTCTATGCCAGTGTTCCTACAGAGGCAAAAAGCGCACAGCCTGCATTTCTCTTTCACGCTCAGCATGTGTTTCTCTTTCACTCTTAGCCCCCAGCCTGTGATTCTCTTTCACTCTTAGCCCCCAGCCTGTGATTCTCTTTCACTCTTAGCCCCCAGCCTGTGTTTCTCTTTCACTCTTAGCCCTCAGCCTGTGTTTCTCTTTCACTCTTAGCCCTCAACCTGTGTTTCTCTTTCACTCTTAGCCCTCAACCTGTGTTTCTCTTTCACTCTTAGCCCGCAGCCTGTTTCTCTTTCACTCTTAGCCCGCAGCCTGTTTCTCTTTCACTCTTAGCCCTCAGCCTGTGTTTCTCTTTCACTCTTAGCCCCCAGCCTGTGTTTCTCTTTCACTCTTAGCCCCCAGCCTGTGTTTCTCTTTCACTCTTAGCCCCCCAGCCCATGTTTCTCTTTCACAGTCTGTTCTTCTCTTTCATTCCCAGCCTGTGTTTCTCTTTCATTCTCAATCAGCAGCCTGTGTTTTTTTTTTAAAAAATTTTTTAATAAAGAGGGATTTCAATGGCGCCTTCTACAGGCCAGCGTGTACAGGTTTCTCAGACACCGGGCAAAGATGGTACCGTATAATGTGGGGAAGCTCATCGTTGATGGGCAAGACCGTCACCTCCACACGCTTCCTGAGCTGGTGCTTCCCATCGGTCAACTGAATGGTAAAACCGTCGACTGTGGTTTCAGAGTCATCATGCGCGTATGTGATCGTCATCCCTGGTTGGGGAAATGAGACTAGTTTTCTAGTGGATTTATATATGTACCAATAAGCTCACAGGACTACATACACTGACATTAGTCTGATCGGTAGGGAAATAACACTGATATACACATAGTAACACAAGCACAAGACAATTGTAGTTCCTATAGCAACAAGTAGAGCATTGTGCTAACAATGCAAATCCCATAGAACACTTACAAATTGTAACACTTCCCTCTACTGTGAATTGCCTTGGCTAAACATGCCAGATAAATTAGTGAAGGTACATTTTCAATCCATGCTAGAAAACTGAAAAATACTGTACTGTGCTGGGTAATCACATTCAGCATGACTGGTGCTGAATCAGAGTGATTCACAGACTGTAGCCGGTAGGTCGTACCATTCCGTAGCTCATCCATGGTGAAGTCATGCATCGCGGTCCCTGTGTTAGCCGTGAGGGCCCCATGCAGGGGCTGTTCAATGATGCTGAAGGACAGGCGGTCCCGCGGGACATCCAAGTCTACTGCATCGAGGATGGTTGGGTCCAAACCTTTCGAGTGGCCCTCACCTACCTCAAAGGGAGCATCAGCCATCTGTTCTTTAATAACTATTGTCCTCTCTGGGCTGCATACTTCACAGATTGGTGCCTCTGATCCTGACCTACCAAGCAGCTAAAGGCCCATTATCTGTCGGAATAGACTCTCCCATACAGTTCCCATTCAGAGTTTTACTTACACAAAAATGCTCTGCGAGCAGAACAAAGAAAGAATGGTTCAGAGAGATAACCAATTAGATTGTAGAGAAGGTGGTTCCAACCAGTCAGATGTCTTGGTTCCGCCTCCTCAATTTGCTTGGACCCACCTCCCCTACAATCTGATTGGTTATCTCTCTGAACCAATCATTTTTCATTCTGTCTTCAGAACATTTTTGTGTAAGTAAAACTCCCATGAGCCCCTTTACACCTCTGCTGAATTGTTTTGCTAGAAGCAGTACAGGACTGTGAAGTCCTTGGGCCACAGCTGGCAGTCATCAAAGGTGTGAAAGTTACAACACTTTACAATATTTCTCACATGTGCTGCTGGATAATCCATTTCTAGCAAACAGTACAACTGTGGTTCTGCTCCAGCTTACCGTGATGTTCCTGGTGAGGAAGTCCGGGACCTCATCATTGGTGGGTCTGATGATGATGTAGAATGGGGTGTCAGAGGATTGGCGTATCCCATCCGACACACGAACCATGAACTGATCTGCTGTTGGCTCTGTCCTCTGGTGTCTGGACTGCACGTAGTTAACATGGCCATTTTTCACATCACCATAGGTGAAGGTGGCTGTTGGACAAAGAGTTGTGCTGGGCAGTTCACATTTTTATTGTTGTTGTTCACTATTATTTGCATTTTACTGAGGCCATATAAATGACACACCTGGCTAAAGGGTACGACAGCAGAACTCTTGGAACAAGAACCTGAGGCTTTTCTTCCAGGTACTTCACTACTATTCTACCTGCTGATTTTTCCGTAACCCCGGTGATGCCAAGTGCTGTGAATGGCACACTCACCGATGCTGATTCCCATATTACTTTTTTCAAACCCAGGGCTGGGCAAGATATTCTCAATATAGCCAAACTGCGGAGGAGAGACCAAAATGAACTCCAGCTCTTCCAGCGGGGTGTCTACGTCAGATACCCTTAGGTGGGCCACCGTGATAGATGCAGAGGCTCCCTCGTCCACCACAAACACCTCACCTGAAAGGGAGAGTTCATATTTCACATGGACTGGGTAATGGCACAGCAGAAGGCAGAGGTAGGCCCAGAAAGTACAAATCCAGTTCATGATTTTGTTTCAACCAACTAGTTGAGTATACTGTAAGTGTCACCGTCACAAAGTACTCAAATGGTTGGCTGAAACAAAATCTTGGTCTGGATTTTTACTTTCTGGACCTGAACTATCCACCTCTTGTAGAAGGATATCTGAAATCCGTGATTTATGTCTGTATAAATGTATGATTTATGTCTGTATAAAATACACAGATTAACACACCGCACAATTGTAAGACGCAACCATGATCTGTTACAGTTCTACACCAGCTGTCTCCAAATTTGTGTTCAGTGAGAGCTACTTCTACAAAGGAAATAATCTGGGGAGCAAGGTGTTCGATATGTAAATTATATCAACCGGAGGATGAAGGTAAAATTAATTTGAGTCCACTTTGTCATAACAGCACGGCACTGATTATAAAAGACAAAAGTGAAGTTCCTTGTAGTGCTACAACGTACATGTGTATAAACAAAATAAAAACAGACAAAAAAAAAAAATTCACATAATTAATAAGATTTCTAGAAAATTTTGATGTATACTACTCATTCGCACCCTGCAAGCCACTCGTAGCTTAGGGGCAACGTGCTGGCAATCACTGTTCTACACAGAGCCACAAAGGCACACAGGGTAGAAGAGAAGAAAGTCACTGTCACCAGTAATGAGAGAGGGGGCTTGGTTGTCCACAGGAAACACAGTGACGTTCATGTCATAGATAGGCAGGGCCTTCTGGAGCCGAGCAGCAGGGCTCAGGGGAGAAGGCTGCCCATCAGAGGTGCATGCTGGGAAGTTCTCTGCCTCTTCATCTGAGATGACGAATGTGATGATGTCATAGCGTGGAGTAAATCCAATCTCCGCTCCTGAGAAGTACGTGAAATTAGCATCCATATCCAACAAAGTAAACATCATCAAGGTTAATAGCCCAACCAGAAATCTGGATAAAACCCTTCCCTGAATACTACACTCAATCTCAAAATCCCAAAAAAACGAAAGCATCCAAAGTACAGTAAATTATCTGCATATTCATTGCAGCAGACTAAGGAAAACTTGTGCCAATATGGTGTCATCATGTGCCCCTACCTGTGTGCTTGTAGGTGATGAACCCAGAGATTAAGTCTGCCTGGATGAACCTGTCAACCACCACGCCGTTTTTACGCACAACCCCATGATACGGTTGGCGGGCGATCATGTAGGACAGTCTGCTGTCATTGGTGTCTCTGTCTGTGGCATACAGGTACTCTGTGGTGATAACCACTTCCTGTCCCTCTGCACAGTCCAACACAAGCCTCAAGCCCGGTGCAAGGACCGGAACCTCGTCATTGACCAGCGCCACCTATGGATGGCATGAAGAAAAGTTCCAGAGAATAAAAACGTGGAACGGTCAGAATTAACTCCCAGATCTTAGTACTGAAGTAAAATGACTCATCGGTTAGTTATCTAGACAAGGAATAACAGATTAGTCAGTTTGTGACCCTGACTCACCTCCACCTGCAATACAAATTCGGCAACATTGATGCCATCAGAAGCTGTTAAATAAATGCTGTCCTGGACTGTCTCAGAGCCATCATGATGGTACCTATGAGGGTTAAGCAAAGCACAGCCAGTACTATGATAAGGTTGCTATGGGAAAGGATTAAACATAATGGTTCATTAGAGTAAAGAAAGACATTATAAGTAAATGATTTGCATCTCAATATTAACAGGTTATGCTCTTGTAAATGCAATTTATAAATGCAATCTCATTTTTTTCAGTGTCCAGTTTCCAGTAAAATTAGGCACAAACGGACCTCAACATCAAAACTGGGTTCATATAAACAGCTTCTGAATTCTGTAAATATTTTCTGTGAAAATTCAAGAGTGAAGAAATTAGATTTACATCTCCATGCTAGTTGTAATTATCCAGACCTGTCAATTGCTGTCTATTGATGGGGGTTAAACTAGGCAGTGTTTGATTGCATGTGATTATCCCACCTCCTATGGGAATTAGTATTATTTTTATGATGATGAAAGCTATTACCTGATTTGGTAAGGATTTCAAAATAAAACATTTGCAATAACTGAACTGGTAGAGGGATCCCTGTACTACATACAAATCAAGCATGAGGTGGCACTGAGAAACTGAGGCAGAGGCAGAATGTGTCTAACCTAACTTTTAGGCTGGTCAGGTCGCTCAAGGCGAACGCCTGCCCTGGATCCACGGGGAACCCGTCCAGGTGGAGTCGTCCATGCTGGGGCCCTGCCCTCAGCTCCACTCTCAATGCTTCCTCCGCCGTGTCCGGATCAGTCAGCCACAGGTGGTCCGAGTCCATTGGGCATTCCCCGCCCTCCTCCACCGTCAGCGGGTTCATGTGGACCTGAGAAAACAAGGTCGGGGGGGGGGCGGTTTCATGAAGGGCTTAGGAAACAACCGGCGGCTTGCATCAATGAATCAGCGGCGGTCAATGGATCACACAGCGTCGGTACCTGAGGTGGCTGGTTGTCCACAGGCAGCACGGTAACGTTAAAACAGATACCGATGAGTGTGCTGCCCTGCTGATTGGTCACGGAAAGCACAAACTGGATTGGCTGGGGGTGGATCCCGATCTCCTGAAGGGGGGGCATATAGGCCACCTTCATGTAGTTGACTGCATGCTGGGAAAGCAGAAGCCAGCTGGGTTAGGTGTCACATGGTACTCCAGGTAGAAAGTTGATGTCAAGGGTAGACTGGTAACAAAAAGCAGCCTGGGAATTTACCACTGATTGGGGGCGGGTCCCCTTGGTGCATTTTGCCAATCATGATCAACCGGTTGGCCACCAATGAAATAAAGCATCATCTTCTGCGATAGGCCGAGGGGTAGAACACCCCTGGCATACAGACCATACAAAGACCGGCCCTGAAATCATCGGCCAATCATCGCCAAAATTCCTGATGGCCAGTTGTTATTACCCCAAGCATTACTCACTTGTGTGAAAAGTCGTAAAACTGGTGCACTGGGGTCTTTGGTAAATTTGGGGATGCTGTCCACTAGGAACAACCTCCCGGCATCTCCTCTCCTGGCCAACACAAAGAGAACAAGAACATTCTAAGCTTTTCATGAAGGAGCATTCATCCAGTTTGAGCAGCTGAGCCAATATTTAGCAGCTGTTGGACAAAGTAGTCCATGGGCTGTATGCTTAGCTTCAGCAGGATTCTGTCCTATGTGTCGATTTGCAGCTTACCCATGAATGGAGCTGAAGAAGGGTGGCGTGGTGATGGTGTATGTCAACTCACTGTCGGGTGACTCTGGGTCAACGAAATGGAGTTGCTTCTTAGTTATGTGGACTACCTCCATCTCTTTGACAACTATGTGTCGTGTCACCCCAGGTACCTCCTTTGGAAGTTGGTCATGCACCGGAGTAATATGCACCACAATAACCTGTGCAAATCATCAGTGGAGAGAAGGTGAGACCACTAATGGACCAAAACAGTAAAGCGGAAATCCAATCTGGAGCTGGTATGACAGCCGGGCTTGGGCTGTCCCAGCTCAGGTGCAGAATAAAAACAAAAACACGAGAGCATACCTGATGTTCTGAGAGATTCGGAGGATCGTGGAAATCTGAGAGCACTACCTCAAAGGAGTCATCAAAGATCTCATTCCCCAGGTGGCGGTAGTATATTACAGAGTGGAAAAGGTCTCTCTGGAGGAAATGGCTGACAGGGTAACCTAAAAAGAGAAGCAGGGAATTTTGGGATTGTCTCTGGTGAAAAAGAGTGCACTCTTAACTGCAAGCATCTACTCCAGAAACATTAAGATCTTGAACCTACATGATCATGATTTAATGCATTCTTTTAAGTCAACTTAAGCAGATGGATGATCATGAGGCAGCCTTCAGAGAGAGGGGCTCACCTGTCTCTCTGGGGCCTGGTATCTTCATGAGCACTCCTGCCTGCGGTGGGCGGGTGACATTGAATAGGATGTAGTCGTCGCTGGAGTCCATATCAGAGGCTTGCAGCACAGACCCTTGCAGTAGGGCGATCTGGCCTTCTGCAAGTTCCAGCACCATGTTGGTGATGAGGAAGGGCGGGCTGTCATCCTTTGGCAGGATGTTGATGGGGAACTTATGCCGTGTCTGGTGGTGGCCATCGGTGATTCGGAAGACCACGAAGTCTTTGGTGGTGTCGCTGTCATCGTGGTGATAGCGTACCACGCCTGCCTGAATGTCACTCACGGTGAACATGAAGCCCTTACCACCTAGATGTTGCATGCAACCCAGGAGACCAGGGATAAAAAAGGTTAAGAAATGAAGCACTGTTCTAATCAAATATCTAGCTTCTCTTACCAATTAGTTCTGACACCATTCCAAGAATTACAGAAGCACCACGATGACTTTCATGAATTCTGTATATGACAACATATAAGATGCTAATTGAAATGGTACTCTTTCAACTTGTCAATATATAACATGTAGACTCTTGAATAATACTTAGACCCATATCATTTTACCTCTAACGGTAAGTCTTCCGTGTTGTAGCCCATCCACAGTGATGATGCGTACCAACTTCAGGTTGTCATTGTCTACGATCTGCAGCTGCTCCCATGTGATTGGACGGGACTGGCCTTCCAGCAGACTCAAGCCTATAAGGACCAGTGAGGTTGCCATGAAGACTGCGCTCCAAGCCAGCCTGACTGGTCAACGTTATAACCCTGTGTGAAGATGCAGTCCTTACCCATGTTCCACGACACACGGGGCGCGTTGGTGTCAGCTGTCCTGACAGACACATGAACCATGAAAGGGGCGCTTTTGGCAAAAAAGTAGTCGTGGACGTCAAACTCCACCTGCCAGAAAAGATAAGTCATCAATATCATGCTTGTAAAGGGCGGCATCATGATGACAGGAGGAAGGCTACCTCATCTCAAGACTGAAGCATATCTGCAAACTTATGCTTATTTAAATGAATCTTACTTATGTTAAGATACACATTTTCATGTTTTCAAAACATTCCCATGTTTCTACAGCATTCTTAGGGACATCTGAGACGGAAACATTTTTTCAGATGGTCTCTACCTCGTAGTTACGACGTTGGGTGTGGCTGGAATTGGGAGGCTGGTAAGCGATGAGCATGTCATGGAGGTCTGCCCAGGTGAAGGAGATGATGGGTTTGGTATGGTCAGACAGGTGGGTGATGAAGCCTTCTTGGGGTGGCTTGGTGATATTGAAGACTAGTAGGGACCTGGGGGACTCTGCATCTTCAGCATCCACAGCAGCAGTGCTAAAGGGGGTGAGGATGAATTGGTCCACCTCCAGGATGAACGTGGGCATGAAGGCCGGCTTAGGAGGTTGGTTTGGGATGCCATTCTTGATCCGTACCGGAATCCAGGCACGCTCAGACTGGGCATTCAGAGCAATTTCAAAATCAATCAATGATTCACTGGGTTTATATTCAATATTCAGTTTTTTATCACAGATTTGGTAAATACTATTTTCTTATTGGTCCAGAGGTGTCACATGGGTGTTGATAATGATGATTTAATCGCACAGGTAGTTCCGGCAGCCTAATATTAATGTGCACTAATTTCAATCCATATTGAAATACCTTTACGATGTGTGACATTTTACTCATAAACACGCAGTCATACTTTTTAGCATAATTATCCTTGTTTTTCATAACGCAAACACCTTAACTTATATAGATGAGGCTTTTAGCTATTTTCACAGCTAGGTCATTTATAGAAGTGATCAGGCTTGAGAGTAACTGTGACCCCACTCATTCTTTGCATCACAAGTTCAGTTCATTCACCACACTGCATCCTGATGCCTACAGTGAAGTAATCGATCTGAAATTCAGAAGTGGAAAGTTCGGGTCAGAAAGTACAAATGCAGACCAAGATTCTGTTTCAACCAGCCAGTCGAATATAAAGTCAAAGTCACAAAGTACTTAACTGGCTGGTTGAAACACAACCTTGGTCTGCATTTGTTCTTTCTGGACCTGACTTTTCCACCTCTATCCAAATTCAAATAAAATTTAAAGCATTTGTATGCAAAAATGTGATCCAGAAGGAGAAGGCACCTTGTATATGCTCCTACTCCTTGTATCTCTGAGATCCAGTCGTATGGCGATGTAATCAATATCTGGAGATGGTGGATCTGTGTGCTGGTATTTCAGCCCCATCACCAGGAATTCCTCACAAGGCACCTTGATGAACTGTACCAGTTTCATTCCATTGAGGCATGCAGACTCCTTGCACATTGCTCTGGCCTTGTTAACTGCAAGAAAATGGTCATAGGGTTAATGACAGCAAGAGGCAAACTGTTCAAATTTATTCAACGTATTTCTGACAGATCTAGAGGAATGAAGGTCTCCTCTGATGAGTCTGATGAGTGTTCTGCTTCTCTTTGCCCTAAAGCAGTGTTTCTCAATCCGGTCCTCAGGGACATACAGTCAGTCCATGTTTTTGCTCCCTCTGAGCTCCCTGCCAGACAGTTCACATTTTTGCTCCCTCCCAGCTCCCTACATGGACTGTCTGTGGATCCCTGAGGACCGGATTGGGACACACTGCCCTAAAGGATAGCAGGACATACTCAGCTGTTGCTCTGAGGGCAGAAAGCTCTGTGGTTCATCTCCACGAGGCACAACTTCCTCAGGTTCGCCAGTGACCAGCTGGCCATGGGCAGGAAGGTGTGCTTCTTGCGTGGCTACTTGCACAGTACACTCCAGGTTGGATCGCCGCTCGTAGTGGAAAGACACCGCATTGCCATCCAGCTTGTCCGATAGGCTGTAGAACTCAGGTACCTCCAGAGACTTAGGGCCAAGGTGGATGATGCTGCAATCGGGTTCCAGGACCTCAACACGCAGAAAGAACACCTCAGTGTAGGTCTCTGTCTCTGTGAACCTGAACACACACCAGATTCTTCACTCAACACGCAGCAAACATAAATATGCTGAGAAAGCATTACCAGAATCCCCCCAAAAAAATATTTAAGAATTTCTTTAAAAACACAAGATTTTGAGAAGTCTCAGTTATGTTTTTGTTCATTTTGAGTTTTTTTAAAACCAATGCCAAGCACAGGTGAGGTGAAGAGAGGAAATAATATCGATGTGCAGTCCACCTCTGAATGTACCGAGCATTTGCAGAAGGCAGCTGAAAGGCACCAGCTATGAGAGAGCTCTGCATTCGAGATAAAGATGCTGAAGCTCTAATTGCAGACAGTGGATTCCAGCTGCAGAAGTGGCACTCGCATGATTAATAACCATCCAAATCTGTATACCTGAACAGCCGAAGCATCACTTTGTCTTCTTTTAGGATGGGACAGCCGTTATGGACATATTTCACCTCGTCCGCGTGAAAGTAGCAGTCAAAGACCTTAGGACGGTAGGGACAACATACATCAAACCACATTTACCCACAGAGCCAGTGGATAGTTCAGGTCCAGAAAGTAAAAATCCAGACCAAAATTTTGTGTCAAACAACCAGCTTGGTCTGACTTTTTACTTTCTGGACCTGAACTCTCTAACTCAATGCATAGAACAACTTTCTGTTTGTAAGTGTCAGATAATGTTTTTATTTCATATACTTCAGGGAGGGTGGATGAATTCCTTGAAGTTAGGAAAGAATGCTCAACCCATGCCAGCTGTCACGATGAAATGAAAGGGATCCCAGTGGTCTTGCTTTTTTTTCGTGTTTTTCTCTTAGTTTGTCCTTTTTCTCTTCCCCCGTTTAATTACATGACAATCAAGGCCACTAGATGTCAGAATGAATGTCAGGGGAAACCACATCTAAGACTGCAGCTTGGCTTGAGAATTTTTAATTTAGTCATTTTTTTCTTCCCTTACATGCCAGCCTATGGTGGTGACTGGCCTTGTCAATGGATGCCAAATATTTCAAACCCAAAAAGAAAACCGATTTTAATACAATACAGACCTTTCGGATTTAAGAAAACATGATATTATATATGTCACAAAGTTATAAGAATAACAAAAGGTCACAGACCTCTTGATGCAACAAAACCTTTCAACTAATTCATGTTTTGGGTATCTGGATTAATTCATCTAAACAATAGCTGAACTGAAGATATACAATCAAATGATATGCCAGAAGCCCTTGTGGCACTGGAGGGCATTCCCTATGAACTGCTGTTTATTATTTGGGTATGCATGGCAAAAGTTAAGACAGAGGCTGTAACATTTGTAAAATCACCAAAACCTCCATTCATTAATAAGCATTAAAAATGGGGCGCCTGGCCCTTTAAATAGCAATGACTGACACATATAAAGCTAGAAAATGCTGAATGGAGGATGCAGACCCACCTGAGGTGTGAGCACACCCACTCGCTGTGTAATGGGCTCGTTGAGGACCACCTCCACCTTGCAGGCGTCCCTGTCTTGGGGGGCACTGAAACGCAGGTCTTCCTCCTCCAGGTAAGCTGTCTGGCCGCGCTTCACCTTCAAACCCCGGTTCACTGTCACCAGTGAGTCCCGGCCCCTGTCGGCCATGCCACTCAGAACTGTCACCGCAATCATTATTATCATGGGTGGGGACAGCTGGAATGCCAACCCCATTGCTTGTGTTAGTCAGGAGGGACCTTGCCCACCCGAGGTAGCACTGTATGCCTGTCCGTTTGTTGACCAGCGGGGACAATGTCCCCCCCCCCCCGCGTAAGCAGCACTCAGACAGTTATGGGCCAGCAGTCTCTCGGCCGTCCAGAGGCGTGAGATGACATGTGTGTTACTGGTGTCCTGCTGATTGTAGGTAATTCTGGAGTGATTCAGATTACTGCACTTTATAGGTATTGTTCATGTTAACTCTTCCCTGAGAAGAAAAAAACAGAAATGGAAGAACATGTAGAATTCTATATTACTAAATCAGACAAATCAGGCGACAACAATCGAAAGACCAGAATTTGAATTGTTTATACAGAAGACAGAATATTAAGAAACATTACACAGAATAAAAAGTTTCAAAATGATGCCAAAGATTAAAGACAATCATTCGTCTCCTCTGAATTACTCAATTAGAATTTTTTTCTGGCAGAAACGCGGCTGTACTCTGCCAGTCTTAGAGTCCTCCATGGGAAACATCTACCAATATGGGCCAATCCACATTATCTAAAGCCGCCCCCAATCTCTTAGTATGGATGGTGCAGCAGTAAACCCAGACTGCTTTGGGCTTGTGCCACCATGCCTAGCAGTTCTGGTATCAAAAACAGAAAATGTCTGAGGTGGGGAAGTTATGGATCTTCTGCAACACCTCCGCTTCTAAGCAAGCCCAGAATAGACTTATAAACACAGCTGAGAAGGAGTGGAGGGGGGAAACAGAGGAGATATTACTCTGATATGAAATTAACAGAAATATGAGTAAAGTGTCAAGGGAAGCTGAGAAGATACTCCAAAACCTCCACAGCTTAGCACTGTAATCTGAGCAAACACAGAGATATACTCTATCGTGGTGACCCAAGTCAATAGTGAGCCAGGCTTGTACTCTGAAATAGTATTAATGACCAGCATTATCCAACGCAGCCCAACAATCTCACAGCACATGCATTTAAGATTACATTACATTTATTTGGCTTTTGTCCAAAGCAATGGACAAGTGAGAAGGCAGGGTCAGCCAACTGGGGCTGGATCTTCCTCAAGGACCCAACAGTGAAATCAGACGCAGGATTTGAACCAGTACAGTAAGTATCCAAACAGACACGCGGAGTCCTAATCTTCAGAGCCACACGCTCAAGATTTCACAGGCCTAAGCCTGGCCTTTGCAGGGGAGATTGGGTCCTGAAAGATGACCTACGACCTCATGCAATTAAAAAGATCTAAAGCAGCAGGTTAGTCATGGGAGGGGCATGACGACTTTGTTGACATGGCCAGTTCGAAATGACACTTACAAGAGCAACTGATGATGCCATTGTTGGGCTGTTGATATAGGGGCAAAAATGTTCACAAAGAAACCACACGCCCGGTGTCACATGCAACACAGATCACACCACACACACTGTCTAACAGATGCATGCAAACTTCCTCCAGAAATAAACAAGTACTTGCCATCCAGAATCTAACAAAATGGCAGCACTGACTGAGGTGCTTGTAGCAAAAGGCAGAGAAATGGAGGTGAATAACCCAGCTGGAAGCTGGCTGGCTGAGGAGGAGTGCTCCTGAACCCCGGGGAGGGGGATGGAGGGCGTAGTGTAAAGTAACAGAGGGACAGCGGCAATCCCAAAATGGTGTCAGATGGGTGACGTTCAGCAGAGCACCAACCCGTACCAAGGCACACATGCAAGCCTGCACTCACACACATATACAACTGAATATACTACTCATTCTTTACATTCCTTACAAACATACGTCATACAGACTTGACATCCTCGTAAGAAACAAATCCTGAATTACAGGACTTTAAGCTATAATGCATAAAAAGGCCCGACATCTGAAGCGGGGGTCCCCAATTCCCGTCGTGGAGGGCCAGTCTACAACACAATTTACACATTTCCTTGCACAAACACACCTACTAAACGTGGAAATTAGCTGAGTACGATGTGTTCCAGCAGGGAAACTTGCAAACTGTGGGACAGACTGGCCCTCCAGGACCGGAACTGGGGAACGCTGATCTAAAATTTACAGTTTTTTTTATTAGCAGTGTTTCTCAATCCAGTCCTCAGGGAGCCACAAACAGGGAGCTCAGAAGGAGCAAGAACATGGACCGGCTGTGGGTTCCCGAAGACTGAATGGGGAAACACTGGTTTGCTTTATCAAGCAAACAAACTTGAAAAAGCAGCAGTATTAACCTAGGCTCTAGGCAGCAGAGCAGAATGGGGACCACTGAAAAACACAGTGCACTAAATAAACGATTATCTTGAAATGTCAATACACCACAGTTTTTGCATATCACTGCCAAAAGTGTGCTCTGGTTTTTAACAAGCAGAAACAAAAGTGATAAATAACCCTGGCTGGGCCAGCCTCAGGTCATATTCATCCAGAATAACTCACTGGTCATTTTTAGCAGAGCTCCCACATCCGGCCCTTAATTGTAACCTTTCAGAATAATGCCCCCCAGGCAAGCTTTGCTGTCGGCTGTCAAAGTCTGTGAAAACCACTCTGCTGTCAGTGGGCCCGGTGATTCTACTAGTGACCCAGAATTCTCTGGACAGGCTGGGCTTGCGAGCTGCAGAATACCAAATGAGCCCTTGCAGTTACAGATGACTGTTATTGACTATGGGGGCCTGGCACCATAGATTAAGGGAAAGAAATACTGTTGATATTCTAATTGTACCCACAAAGTTTGGCATCGTCTACTATTGTTATACTAGTCCAACTGAGAGTTTGGCAAGCACTATATAAGTCGCCATCGAAAGGGACTTCAGCACAGAAAAGTAAAACTCTAAAGTGCTGTGAAAGTGTGTAGAAATAGTTCAGTGTCAGGGAGACCAGTCTCCTACAAATCAGTAGATGCGTAGAAGCAAATGACTTTGTGTTGAGTTTGAGAATTTTAGAACTTCTGAGCCACCTGGTTAAGCAGAATCATAGATGTTCTTCTGAGATGTGGCCTTATCCAATTACAATTTCATTCAGAGGGCCCAAACACCAGGTTAAGTTTAATATGTAACATTAAATGGTCAGCACTGATAGGGAGTGAACTTACTGAAGCAAAAAAAAAAAACCTGTACCAAGATCAAAAAAGAAGCCAGTCATTCCATAACTCCTGTATCTGTGAAGCCCTTTGAATGCAATGGGTGAATACTGTCACAAAGACACTTCATATGTAAGCAATCATGTTAATTTTCTTTTGCTATTTTTCATGAGAAGCCATCAATCTTACTTTTCTTAATATGTCAAGTCTAAATGCAACGTCAAGGCCTAAAGAGACAAACTATTATAAGACAACTGTTTCCAGAGAATGTATCTCAATCTTGGAATCAGAAAAGTGCTTGTTATAACAAGACTTTGATACAATTGTACAATACGTTTGAATGACAAGAAAATTAGACAAAAAATTCTGTCTTCTCTTAAATGTTTGCTTCTGTATGGCATCCTTCCATCTATGAGATATTTCAATACTTGAATATTCTGAAGCTGATACACATTAAGCATGTGATCAGTGGCTTGTGTTTCCGACGATGGCAGGCCGGGCCTCATATTGCTATAACTGCTGCCTCTCACACTAATAGCCAAAGTCTGTAAACGGTTCTCAGATGGCATGATGCAGGATGCAAGTGTTAGACTTTTCTGCCATTCCACTTGACTTCCAGCAGAGAATATCGATCATGCAGTTAGTCTTGGCTTTGCTTCCTGAAAAGCAAAGGTTCAGATTCAGTTCCAGAAAGTAAAAATCCAATCCAAGATTTCATTCCAACCAACCAGTTGAGTATAAAGAGTTACAATTACAGAGTATTCAACTGGTTGGTTGTAACAAAATCTTGGTCTGGATTTTTACTTTCTGGACCCGAACTATCCACTTCTGCTGATAAGCTATAATGAATAATTAAATACCCATTCCGCTCTGCTGCTTAGAGTCTAGGTTAATTTTGCCGACTCAGTAAGCCTTTTTAAATTTGTTTGCTTAATGCTAATAGCAGTGTTTCCCAATCCTTGGGGACCCACAGCAGGTCCACATTTTTCTATACATTTTTGGGAGGGAGCAAAAACATGGACTGTCTGTGGATCTCTGAGGACTGGATTGGGAAACACTGCTAAAAGGAAACTGTAAACTCTGTCCATCTCTGCTGAATGAACACCCCTGGAAAATTTTGCTAGTGGTTGTCTCTCCTGTTTGTAACACACTCGTGAAGGCACACACATGTACACACACACACACACACACCAGAAATATGTTCCCCACAACGGCAAAAAAAAAAGTTTTTTTTTTTTTTTAACATTGTGGGGGACATTTGGTCGCCACAATGTAATATAAACCTAATCCACTTACACACACACACCTGCATGCACACATACCAGCAGTTCTATACATATTTGTTAATTAAGCCAGTTCCCATTCCTTAATCATCTCTCCTTCACCTTTCTCTCTTTGAGACCACTATCAGGGGAGGGGCCAGGGGAGGGGCCATAGTGATGACAGGATACTCAGGGTCAGCCGTACTGGCTTTGTTCCCACTCTCTGGCCCGTAGCATCTATTGTGCTAGCACTAATGGCACGTGGGGGCGGGGGGTGTGACCCACGGCCCATTTCCCGTGATGATGGATAGGACTCGGCCTGGCCGACCTAATGAGGGCACCTAGGGGCCCAAGGCAGGATTGTAAGGAGACATGAGTGTCTCACTCCAGCGCACACATTCCGGATTTTTTTTCTTCTATCGATTCGGATTTCCACTTTCATCCATGTATCCTAATGATCTAATCGCGCCTAGAAAAGAGGCCCGAGTTGGGAAGCCCCGTTGGCTTTAACAAAGCCCCGATTGTCTGTCTGTGTGAAGACGCCTGTGTGTGTCACGGTGAGGGGAGGCAGGTACACAGCCGCCCGCAATTCACTAGACACACTTACTGTAACACGCACCCCCAGCTTGCCCAACAGTCATGTGAATCTGCCTGAGGCCGACACGTCCAATCAACATGTCAGGATAACAGAACGTTGGCAATGTTAGCAAACCACAATATGTTTCTCAGCTGGCTGGGTTGCGTACAAAATAAATTTTATTATGTAAGATTTTTCCATATTTACTGGTTTTAGTGTCCCTTACTGGGTTGTTCCTTGCCCTGCACCCTCTGACCCACCATAACCCTGAACAGGATAAGCGGTTTCAGAAAATGGATGGATAGATGGATGCAATCTTTTTTTGTGCACAGTGTCCTACCATTAAAGCTCAGATCTAGAGACCAGGGTCCAGTCCGTACCCAGTAGGGTCACAAGACACGGCCCCCTGGACCACAACAGACGTTACTGCCTCCCACAGAGGTGTAGGGGAGGCAGATTAACGGCAGTGTAGGGGACGCCTTGTAGTAGGCCTACTCATAGCATCCAAGGCTTTTATTGTCTGTGCAACCTAACCTGCTCGTGACTAATCACATTCGCCGGGTTTCTCTGCTCTGCCTGGAATGCTTCAGCGAGTGGTGAACTCCTCCGACAGCACGTCATTCCTCCATCTCCAGAAAAGCGACCTCTTCCAAGAGCTTCTCTTCTCAGAATCACTGATGACGGCACAGTCATCGCAGGACGTGCGCTGCATTCTAACACACTGCTGCAATTCTTCACTGTCAGCTGAGGCAGAAGGTTCTCTTTTAGCTGGGGTGTGATTTTTTTTTTTAAAGCTATATCAAGCAGATCAACATCCGCTGTAAATATATGCCCACACTTCCCAAGGAAGTGATATGTAATCAGGACTATCACAGACAGTCGCATGTAATGGAATCTAAACATGTCTGCTGTTAAGTGAAGAAACGGCAGATGTATGGGAATGGGGTAATGGAAGTCCAGCTTTTAACAGTGCTAAAGTGGTTAACGGCATAAACGTTTAACCTTGAAGGCCTGGTGCCTCCTACTGTGACATTCCTTCTGTGAGGTAATAAGCGTGACTCAGAACTGGAATAGAATGCCCAGATGCATAAATGTAGTATTATTGGAAGCCAGGCACTCAGTCAGATAGAACAATTTCAGGTGTGTGCCCTCACTCCAAATGTGTTTGCTTCCAATTAGACATGCAGGCAATTATGAAAATTATGAGTCTGAACCCCCTTTGAACCTCTGGTTGGCGACATCTACCCTCCCCACCCCCCGGAAAATTATTTCTGGCTACAGGCCTGATGTAAGTTAATGAATTTGTGTGTGTGTAAACCAGAGGCCCACACAGAAACTCCAACAAACGCCCTGAAGTCTGAGGAGCATCGGCCTCAGTGACACAGCGTGAGAAAGCACCATGTGTGACCATCAGTCAGCAGCACCTCGAATGCCATAGCAGTGAGGCGGCAGAGGCGCAAAGCAGCAGGCCGATTCATCGCCTCGAGGCCCAGATATGATCTCCCACTCCTGCTTTTGTGGGATAGCTTCTTCATCCCTGGATTCCCTGAGCTCCCCAATCACCCAATAACAACAATATAGCGCACCGTTTCCCAATCTGCTCCTCTGGGACCTGCAGACAGTCCAAGGTGTTGCCCTACTGGGAGCTGAGAGGAAGCAAAAATGTGGACACTCTGACAGGGAGCTCGGAGGGAGCAAAAATGTGGACCGTCTGTGGGTCCCTGAGGACCGGGTTGGGAAACACTGATATAGACCAACCTAATGAGGGGACCTCACACTGTGTACAGTCGTGACACCAGTTATTACATAAGCAGGACTGGCACCCCTCCAAGAACACAAACTAATCAAATGAAAACACTGGTCTGAAATTCTCGGCCGGGATTTATGGCTGGCACCACAGGAGCGTTTCCAAGGTTTCTGTATTCATGCTTTCCAGGTGCCCTGGTTCACAAGTAGACATACTGTACTAGGGGCACCGTGTGAATGTGTTCCCCTGTGACATGCTAGCCTCCTTTCATGGGTGTCCTCCCGCCGCCACAGCATGCCACGCCAGCTAATTACAGGAGAGACTGTTTTCCTAACCCCTTCTTAGCGTGATCTCGGCACCTCGCGAATGCCGGCAGTGTTACGCAAAGCAAGACACAACACGCTGCACAGACCCTGATTCTGCTTACACGCTCGGCCCCTTTTTCTCAGGTTCACAGCTAGGCGTTCTCTCTCCCTCTCTCCCTCGCGTCTCGGAGTGTCGACAGGGCTTCGTGAGGACTTCAATGAGCAGAAAATACCACAGAATAAAGGATTCATGCAGGGCTGAAATAAAACACTTCAAGGGACAGGTTTGGCTGAGTTAAAAGCGGCGAGTAAAATGACTCCCCTTGTGGAAATCTCAGTCCCAGGCTGAAGAAATCCTTCTTTTATGCGATCATGAAAAATCTCAGCCGGAAGCCTTACGACAAAAGCTGCCCGTTGTTTTCATTTTTCCACAGCTGGCTGGACACTATGTAACAGATAAGCAGCATGTAGCAATCAGTTACATGATGGAGAGTCATCTGTGACTAGACAAGGCCTGTGGTCCAGCTGTCACAGTGCTGCTTGAGGAAAATCAGATCAACAGCGATGCAAGTAAGTAAATGCATCAATCCACCATCATGAACTCCACAGGGCAACGGAAAAAAACTCAAGCTCTGCGATTTACCTTCTGAAGCCTGCTAAGTGATGCAGACAATGCGAAGAACTATTTCCTTCATTTTTTTTGTGCTTTTCTACATAATTCCTATAGTCCTGTAACTGGCTGCATGTAATCCCTCCCACAAAGTCAGGAAGTTTGCAAGCCCTTATATTAAAGTCCTGGCAAATGGACAGGGGATTGTAGGCACAGAGGCAGGACAATCATCTCTATAGCAAAAGTTCACTTAACTGTTTATGGGTCACTGCTGTATTTCCAAGGAGTTGAGTAAGAAATGAAACAGTCATCCCACTACGAATCGCAAGTCACGTTTTGTTTGGAGAGGAAATGAATGGGGCAGGAATTTAAAGAATGACGACGTTCATCCTTTGTTTGTTGTTCTTATTAAGGAGGGGGGAATCGCAGTTTAATTGCCTGGGCGGAACTGTGTGGACGGTGGGTGGCGGACCCATGCTTAGTCATGTGACCAATGGAGGACCCCCAAAAACAGGCTGGGTGGGTGGCCCAGCTGCAGGTCTGGAGGAAGATTTCTGAGGGAGCGATGAATGCATCGCCCCTGCATGGCAAACTTGACCGTAAAATTGGGCATTTGTTTGAAAACAAGGATTAATTGTAGAATCACTGAACCCAGGCAATAAAGGGGAATTGAACAGGTGTACCAGGAAACTAGCACGTCTGCCTCAAAATGATAAATCAAATCAGTTTTTGGATGAATGAAATTAGTCTCACTAAATGTCTCGCTTTGCCAATGTTTGAGGCTTACTATTTTGCTTCGATTCTTCTTTATATTTACCATTTCCAGTAATTTGTGAGCCATGTTTTACTTCCCGGAATCACGTCAGAAATAAGCTCTGCTACTGAGCATCCCTGAATATGCTCCCATGTTTAATTGGTCCCTTCTAAGATAATTTGTTCTCATTACAAAGTTTATTTGCTGCTGTAATGTGTAGTGTAATAGTGTCTATGTTTGCAAACTACGCTTGCAAAGCCATTTGTGTAAGAAGTGCAGCTCAGGTCTTGCCAGAGAATTCTGTGTTTTCCTTTGATGAGCAGTGAGTCCCAGATGTAGATGAGAGGGTTTGCAGGCTGAAGACTGGGATTGATTGCAGTCACCTTCGATCCCCTAATCATAGGGTTCCAGCCAGTAATTTCAGCAGCACCAGGAGGAGAATGGAGCATGCATCTTAGACTCCTCGCCCAAAATATTTATACACACACCCGGAAGACTCCTGTACAAGCACTGAGAAACATGACCTCAAATCAATTTTCAGAGCAGTTTAATTCAGTCAAATGTGATTTAAAACGTACTTATTCTGCGTTTGGAACAGAGCAGTACATGGGAGCTAAACGCAATGACGTAAAAAAGGAAAATCTGAATATGGATGGAACAAATATACCTGGTGGTTGCTCCTCTTAACATCAGACTCTCAAACTCGTTAGAAAGAGACTGCATTGAAAACACGACGATAAACACTGTCGAAAACACTGATCAACAGCTTTCACAATGACGGTTTAGCCCTGCCTGTACAGTGTTTTAGTTGATATGTGAATAGTGAGCTCATACAATCCACATAATTGCATAGCTCTATTGCTCTATTAAAAAAATATTTCTCTGAAACCACAAGTAGATTCTGGAAAAAGTCCGGTTTAGACATAATGGGCCCGGCTACCTTCATGAGTCTCAGAGAAGGGCTGTAAAACACATCATCCACAGCAGACTAATCTGACTAAGCATGCTTACTCTACACGTTCATTCATGAGCAACTTCAAGTAAAGGTGGGGTTTTCCCACAATATTCAGACGAAGGACACAGATGGATCTCCTCACACGCTCCTTCGCAGTGCCACAGACAGACAGACACACACACACACAGAGGGACATGCAGGCGGTTGGCACTTACCTCGTGCCTCCATGTCCCGTCAGACGCTCCCTGATAAGTAACCACGCTGCCTCTGCACCTCCGCTGCTCCTCCGCTACCATCTGATTGACGGGGAGCCAAACTCCACACTCCCGCCCCGCGGCGACCCCACACCCACCCCTGAAGAGGGAGGGAGGAGAGAGGAATCTGGTGAGTGCAAGTATGGCGGTGGCAGGGGGGGGGGATGTTCTGCACACTCAGAGCTTCTTTTTTGTTTTTCTTTGAGGGGGGTGGAGTTCGAGGGACTGAAAAAAAACCAGCTAATTCAAGTGGGGAGAGGTTAGGATAAACATGGAGGTATGAGATCAAAGGAGCCTCAGGCTGGTCCCACTTGTGGAGGTTGGGGGGGGGGGGCAGTGCCTATCTCTTTGTATAATTACAAGCTGGAGGCTCTGCAGGCTTTTATCTGATTATGTTGTAGACTTCCCTAGAACGGGCAACCACTTCATCAGTGTCTGCATCTCTCCAATCACCTGTTTCGAAAGCTTGATTGACTGCGTCTGGCAAAATGTCATTATGATTAATAACTGATGGCTGGTTGATGGTATAATGACGTAATCAATTCATTCTCATGTGCTCCTGAATTCAGATCATAGCACAGCTATGGCGATGCTCTAGAGCGCAAGACCCTCTAGCGTGCAGCTGATACCACACATCCTTTGCCGCTACATGTTCTTGTTCTGTAGTTATCAAAGCAAAAGATTAATGATGACCATGACTGCATATTACAATCAGAATCAGAATCTTTATTGTTCGTCAGTTGGACAAGGAATTCCTCTTGGTGCAGGTGTGAACACAAAGAGATATACAAGATAAAAGACAGACAAGAGATAATTAAAAACAAATCTGCCCCCCGATTCCAAATCCAGGCCTTGTTTTCATTTCTCCCAAGTTGTTAGTTTAGTTAGTTGGGGCAGCGTGTGGCTCAGTGGGCTGAGCCTGTGTGCCTGTAATCACAAGGCCACTGGTTCAAACCCCCCCTCAGCACATCTGTGGCTCCTTGAGCAAGGTCCTAAGCTCCCAGCGCCCTGGGTGCCCCAAGAGGTGGCTACCCTTCGCAGACAGCTTGCTCTGTGAAGAGCAAGTCGAGGGAAGTGTTAAAAACAATTTCAATAAAGGATTGATTCATAACTACTGATTACAAATGGCTGAAGGCTTCACAACCAGCTCTTGGGCAAAGGATGGCTAGAAAATCAGCCAGGACTTGGACCATGAATCCCAAGATTTCAACAGCCCTGGACTATACACATGCAAACTGCAAGTAGAAAGAATGTGCAGGGTAACAAGTTAAAGTGCATATGTGTAGTAGCTGCAATAGTGAACCTGGGAAGGCTCTTACGTGGAAGTATTACACCATGGGATAGGCTGTAGTTATATGCAACTGGAGAGTGACTGAGGCAATACTGCTTTTAATTTGTTCAGATTCTGATTAAGTAACTTGCTGACCGATATAAAGTAACCAGATGGCACAGATTCTGTATTTATCTATTTGTTTGTTTGTTTATTTACTTATGAATGATTTTCATACCACGACAGTCTGCAGATCATGGCATCTGCTGGACCCAGCCCCAGGATAGTACCCTTTGTAATTCTAATATCACAAATAGTAAATCTCATTCGCCAGCAGAAGTCAAATAGTTCTGAAAGACATTATATCTAAAGACATTAAATCATTATGTCTTCTGTCAGTGATACATCATGGAGCTTAATAACATTGACAGCTTCAACTCCTCAGGCACATAAGAGGCATTGCAGTTCTACAGCACGTGAGGATCCACTCAGAACAGCAGTTCATGGATGTCCAGGCTGAAAGAGAATATGTGCAGTCTTGTTCCATATCCAGCAATAGACAGACTGCTCCCCCTCTTCAAAGGCAAAAAGCAGCAACAACATTGACACTGAAACTGAGAAAACAGGTTGTCTTGGTTTTGGTGTGGATTTTGGAGTTCTTCCTGTTTTCTTCAAAGCCAAACAAATGAAGTAAGATATTCTATCGCAAGATTAAAAAGAGCCAAAGACACTCGATTTTAATCATATCTTTATTTTGATTAAATATGCAGTTACGGTGTTTGGCCATGATGGGGCAGTATTGTTCATCTCAAAAATGCTGCATGTTCAGGTCATGTTTTCGAGGTTCTTTAGGGGTATTAAGGTCTCCAGTTTCCCTTACTGGTCCCAATGATTCCTGTTCAGTTGACTATACTAATCTCTCTACATCTGACCCCGAAGTTGTGGTTGTGGCGCCGGTATGGTGCCTGTCCTGATTTCTGTAGAAATGGCTCCATTCAGCTCTGCATGGCCAAGCATAGAAATGAATCCTAACACATCTGCACACTGGTGATGCTGGCAAGGGGCATCACATGCAAGGGTCAATGAAGATCGGCGTGTTAATCAACTGCTTCTTACATAAGAGCTTGATCAGGAAAAATCTGTGGCAAACTGCAGTGCTCCTTAACCAAGTTGCTCTCCTGACGGTAATGTGTGCCATGGTGCCGAAAGAGACAAGATTCCATTTCCAGCTGTCATTTAAATAAACATAGTAACTGACTGAGTGGGTCTCACTGTCAAATTTATTGATTGCTAACTCACATGAAGCATTAATGATTTAAAATATGCCAAAATATCATATGGCTGAAATTTACCACTGGAATGAAACAACTTAATTTTTGCATGACACTGTCTTTTATGAATCTCTGCCCCCAATATCTAAATGAGAGAATACAAAAAAATGCTTCTTTTATTGAAAGCAAAATAAAAAAATGCAGGCAACATGACGATATTTGCCGTTTCTGACACGCAAAACCGTTTGCTAAGTTTTACAAATCATGCAAGCAGTTTACCTCAGACCCACAAGCAGACCTATAAGAAGTGATGGGACCTTTAAATCTTTTTTTTTTTTTTAAAAGATTGAAGTAAATCAGCCTTACTGCATGGCTCACTAGACACCTAATGATCTAATCATCTCACCATGGATTGAAGCAGCTGATGTGTGTGGGCGTGAATCATCTTAGTATCTTGTCCAGCATCTCAGAATGCTTACTAACAATGCTGTTTAGATTCAGCAGATGCAGTTTTTGACAGCCCGAGATAGAAATCGAATTGCTACAATTCCTACAATAAAACTGAAGAAAAAGAAACACTTCCTCAAAGCACTGTCCTGACTCTTTAGTGATGCTCAAGCAACAGGCCGCCAGTTACCCAAAACTGACACAAGTTGGCCCTATCTGTGTAAGAGAGGGTACCTCAACTCTATCTGCCATTAGTCTCCTTAGATCACAGTGTATCACCTACCCCCAGGTACTTGTGGAGGTGTGTAGAGAACGTCATGCTCAGTCCTATCCACACATTTTATACAGTCTCATTAAATCAACCACTCAAGTCTTGCTGTAATTTTTCAAACACAGTGCTTCAGTGAAAAAAACCTTGCATTATTAATAGATAAAGTGTACTGTTATAAATTATGCACATTTGTTTTGATGAAAGCCTGCACTAAGCAGCAGCACTAAGAAGAACACAATGCAATATCCAGTGGCCTCAGAGTAGAGAGACATCAAGCAGTTATCCAACAGCGCCTCCTTATGGTCACCATTGGCTTCACGGAAGCAGAATGACACTGTTCATTTGGCCTTCCATTGGTCAGTCCACCCACTCAGATAGACCCCACTGCTTTGTTCGTCTTACGGAAACACAATGCAGAGCAAATGAAGTGTGACGATCCAGGACATTTCTGGTAATTGCTGTTCCAACACAGTGCCAAGCAGTTACAAAGGTTCCAGTCTTGCCAACACTAACACTATCCACTCCTCCAAAGAGTCTTATACCCACAGAAACTGGACAGTATGAGGGGCATCACTGAATGCATCCATGTGACGCTGCTGCTCCTGGGCCAACTGGACGCCCAGGCGGACCCAACTGACCCCCTTGGGGACCGCAAACCGGGCAAAGCCATTCTGGAGATGCTGCACGTGGACAGGCTGTCGGGGCAGCGGAGCGAGCCGCACCCTTACATGATGCACATCTACCAGCTGCTGGATCCGCAGGAGGCCGCAGACCCGAGTGGCTCCGATGGGACGCTAGTGCAGAGTTTCCGGAGTCTTCAAGGTAGGAGTTCTGGTCCAGCCGCCACCCCCACAAAACAGGTCTCATTGCTGTAAAGCCGCTTGTTTCAGTGCAATTTAACAGCCAGGGCGGTGGGGATATTTTAGGAAGCATGTTGAAAGCAGATTTTTCCAGAGACAATCAGACATTTCAAGATAGGGGTTTCTGGTGTCGACTCTTTCACTTCAGACAGGACAAAGAGCTGGAGTGCTGAGCATTTAACTGCTGTGTGCACAAGTCTCATTGTCTCAGTGACACTACTGAAAATGCACCATTTGAACAATGTAACACAGGAAGCCAACAGCCAGGAAGCCTGGTGAATATATATATATAGATTAATGCAAGTATACAGTTCTGCATTCATTTAGTATATAGACTGATCTTTAAATATGAAAATGGTTTTGAATTTCCATGATGTAGCCCATGGTGATACATCACTGCTAATATTAAATATATTTACAATGAAGGTGTTACCTTGAAGTGAAGCTATTCATCCTATTCATATATTTTCTTTGGCAAACTGCAGCAGGTTCTTCCTTGTTTCTCATTAATGAAGGGCTTCTTCCTTGCATTATGGCACTTCTGTCATGCTTCTAGAAGCCTGATACATATACAGTGCACTTCACACCTGCACTTAATGTTTCCCATTCCTTTTGAAGGTCACTTGATGTCATCCTCCTATTCATGAGAAACTGTCGGATAAGTCAACGGTCATCTCTGGCATTAGAATGTTGCTTCTGCCCTCTACCTGGCTGGTTTCTGGTAGTTCCCAGCGTCTCCTGCTTTACCTTGTTCTTGTGTCCTGCTGTCTTAGAAATTTTCAACCTGGAAGCAGCCTGCCTCACAGCGTAGCATTCTGCCAGCAGGACCAAGATTAAACCAGGATTTAAAAATGCAGATGTTTAAAAATATAGAGGGGTCTCTTAATTTTTTCCAAGGCTGTATTTTTCCAACACTGCTCCCCCTGCTGCTGAAATGTTGCGCCTGATTTCTGACCACGCCTCCGTCGTAAACAGCATCCCAGTTTGGGCCACCAGGGTGGATCTGGTTCAACGTGTCGCACCTGATGCCGTCCATGTCGGCAGCGGAGCTGGTGTTGCTGAGGCGGACGCTACACCCCGAGCCCCTCAGCGTCAGCGTGGCCATTCATGCCGGCCCCGCCCTGGATGGGCGCCCCCTAGCCGTCGACCGACTGCCGCCATCGCCATGTTCGACGTCTCGGCGGCGCTGACGTGGGTGAAGGGGTTAGCTGGGGGGGCCGCTGGCTTCCGGCTGCGCTACGCGGATGAGAGCGGGAACCTGGAGCTCCACGAGGCCTTGACTCAGAGCCTGTACTGCCTGAACACCAGCGCTCAGAGCCAGCCGCTGCTGGTGGCCTACCGCCTGGGCCGGCCTCGGCAAGTGGCCCGACCCACAGCCCCCAGCTCTCAGTGCAGGCAGCAGCACCACCGCTGTGGCTCTGCCCTTAGGAGGCAGTCAGCACCACCTGCTCCCAGCTGCCGCCTCCACAAACACTATGTGGATTTTCAGGATCTGTCCGACTGGGTGCTGCAACCCCTGGGATTCAGCTTCAGTTTCTGCAGGTGGGTGCCTAGCAGTTTCTGCTACTTCCTGTCGGGGTTGTCTGACCATCTAACTGGCTTTGAATCATTAGGAACAACAACTTATACGATTGCAGCTACTGAGGTCCAGGGTTGTGCAGAGACTTTTCAAGGGGCAGGTGATCGACCAGCAGGTGGTGGGTGGGGGGTCAGAAAATTTTGTGAATTTTGAGGGCGGGGGCATGTTCAATCGTTAATGCAAAATGCCATTTATAATCTCAGGAAAGGTATTGCTGTGGTATCCCAAAGCAAAGTAATTAAGTTGCAAAACATGCACCTGTTAGAATGGATTAAAATTCTAAACTGTTTTGAAAAAGGAGGATATAAATTAAGTCATTTAAACGTAGCATCCCAATGTAGTGGCACCTGTAGCCCTGGAAGCCCAGGAGAAGACAGCAGGGAAAGCAGAGAAAGGGGCGTCGACCCAGACAACGGGTAGGTTTTGATGTGCTTTCTGGTGGGGAGGGGAGATACTGCTAATTACTGCTAATATTTTAATGACTAATTTTAGATATAATAACGATAACCATTTTAAAACTCGTGGGAGTTTTACACAAAAATGTTGGCAGAATGAAAAATAATTGGTTCAGACAGAAAATCAATCAGATTGTAGAGGCAGATCCAAGCAACTAAAGGAGGCATAACCAAGACATCTGACCAAGATCTGATTGGTTATCTCCCTGAACCAATTATTTTCCTTTCAACCCTCAAAACGTTTTTGTGTAAGTAATACTCCCATGGGCCATATTAAACTATTATTATTTGTAATTTAATGATCTGTAAAGGGTAGTGTATATCTAAAAAATAAAATCCAGTGCACGTTGACAGTACTAGATTTATTAAAATATAATAAATCTATAAATAAAACAAAAATTAAAATAGAAATGGACAGCCAGATTTACTATTGTTAATATGACTAAAATATGAGTAAAGTTTGCATGGGTGTAGATTTGGGTATGGACTGTAGGGACATGTCTCTACCAGTATTGTGGGGGTTCCATGTCTGTTTAGGGGGGCAGGGGGTTCGGGGCTGATGTGGTCTCTACCAATGTTGAAAGCAAACATACGCCCTTGAAAGTCTGAGTAACAGTTTAAATATGAAAACAAACAAACAATCGATAATGGTGCATTGATCTGCCGACTCCTATTTTCTGCCTGCTAATTACAGAAGCTTTTTGGCAATGTGACGTTTTCGTGAACCTTTCAGTTTCAGGTCAGAGTGCCTCCCTCAGCACATGTCGGCGATTACCGTGATGTACCGGAGCGACGCAGACGACATCGCGATCGGCCGGCTGGGAAACAGGTCGGCTGCGTGTGCCGGCGCTCAGCGTCCTAGACACATGGGCCTTCAGCATCCCTCATGGGCACAAATGCACTCTTCCAGCAACGGCAAAAAATTCCCCTACGCAAAACATTCAAAAACCGATGGGAAAAAAAACATGCCAAAACAGTGAGTTCAAGACAAATTGACTGATTTCAGCACTTAATAATAATAGTAATACTAATAACAATGACACTTTATTGATCTCACATGGGGAAATTCTCATCTTGGTTACACCATCTTGCTTTCCATGACACACAGACACATGAGAGCAATCTTGGCAGTGAATAGCATTTATCTGCAGTGGTGCCCATGGAGCTGGGGGGTTAAAGGCCTTTCTCAGGGGCCCATAGGTATGATTATTCTGCTGAGGCTGGGCTCACATCAGCAACCTTCCAATCACAGGCACAGAGGCTTAGCCCAATAACCTTGACAGACTCACTCTGTCACACATCTTATGTCTTACCATAGTGCAGTAATTACTGTTTTTCTCGATTGCTTTGGAGCATTTCTGAAATGATGATTAACATTTGTAAACCAACTAGCGTAACCCACACACCAAAATGTCACTCCATTTCTCATTGTTTCACATACATTTCTAAATGTTTTAGCTTATATGTGCAAATGGTTTCATACAATTGTCATCATTCGGCACAATTTTCAGTTACTTTAGCCTTATTGGTCAAAATACATATTTCCCATTGTAATAATTCTACATCCAATACAATATACAGTGGTACCTCAGAACTCGAATTTAATCCGTTCAGAACTCTGGATCAAATCTTAAAAATTCGAGTTGTGATCGAATTTTCCCCATAAGAAATAATGGAAAACCAATTAATTAGTTTAAGGATAATCTGAACGTAACCTTAAATATGTTTACCATTTCTAAATTGATAGTGTTTGGTCATGAATAACATGTTGGGTATTGTTCTTTAAAATGGCAATTAATTACACTGTGACAACATGCCCAAAAAATGTCTATGTGTAGCTATTGTGTAATTAAATCAAAATTAATTTAGGAATGAATATACAAAGCATATTAAACTGTAAATTGAACCATTGTCTTTCTTATGAACAAGGCTGCATTTTCTAGTGGTTTTGTGGAAAATGTTGTGTGCCAGCACGCCCCGTTCTCCCCGACTTACGGTGGTATTTGAAGGCCACAGCCCTGTACTCTTGTGCAGTTACATGCCCGCATGCGGGTCGTTAATGGGGCGGAGCTTTCGAGCTAACCCCTCGGCGGCTCCATGCTGGGACATCTTCGCGCTCAGAGGGGTGCTTTTGCCCTTCGGCACTATCTCGGCTCCGGCTGTAGCCTTTTCGCCTATACCCAAAATAACATAGTCTGGCTAGCGAACTATCCGAAAAAATGTCATCTTTTACAATTAATATATATTAATTTGGATGATTTTCCTAATTGGGAAAAAGCACCGTCCTGTTATAGGTTACTTTCCAGGCATATTTTTGCATCTCTTGCCAAAACCGTTTTTGAGTGACATTTACATGGAGATTTAAACATTCTAATATTGTTGCCGGCAGCAATTACTCGACTCCGTCTTGTTTGACACAGGTAACAGGCAAGACTTTGCTTTAATTAAGGGTGGCAGGGTAATAACGCTACTCAGTACACCTGCCTTCATGAAACAAACGGCGATCACTTTTTTACTGTTTTTCTCCACATGTTCACCAGTATACCTCGCATAAAGCCGAACATCGTTAGTTATAATTAAGCACTTAACATTCTGGCTCAAATGTATAATTTCTGAATAATACTATTAATGATAGCCAAGTATAGTACATGTAGTATCAACTCTACCTCGAGATACACCGCTAACCTACAGTGTTTCCAGCAGCGGAAGTTCCGCCCACTTCGCATCAGAAACTGATTGGTCGACAGTCTTGTCCGTCATAGAACAGCCATATCCGTGCCTGAAGTGAACCCAAATGATCGGTGACATGTAGGGGGATTTCGCTCGCCTATCCTAAGCTGCCGTATACTATTCGGAATAAGTGTGGTCACATTTTTTCATGTAAGAAACGCGTCGATTTTGTGGAGCTATCGATGATCATTTATCACGGTTTGGTGCAGTAAAAAGGCAATTATGGTTGTTTATTTAGATCTGAATATACACATCGGAGCTATTTAATTCTTTGTCGCTCATCTATGTAGGGAAAACCAACTGGATCAGCCAACCTGCAGCCCTTCTTTATATGAACAGATAGGCAGGTTTCTTTGGGAGAAACGTGTGCTAATGAAAATTCAGTATGTCAGGAAAGCATTTGAAAGGACATGAGGTCAGTTGCTGCATCAAATATTCCATATTCGGATTCAATATAATATTTTGGGTAAGTACATTTCTTTGTATTGCTGTTGGCGTCATAATTTCGCTTGAGCGTTTATTTTCTATGTGCTTTAAAGGTTCAGTCCAGCAATGTGTGGCAGAATTGAACAACCATTAATTTATTTGTGAATTAACTGGCGAATCAAACATTGTAAATGCATAACGTTGAAGGGCAACGGAGTTAAACCAGTATAGGTTTTCGTGAAAGATACTTCGAGGGATCCTAGAGACACACAGTATAACTGACATAATATACCGAGATAAATCCGCATTTTCATTCATCTGACCGGTCATTTGTGCCTTGCTGTTTGGATGCGATGCAGTCGTTTGCCAACGTTAAGTATTATGGACAGGCGTGTAATATTACCTGAAGGAGGTGTGCTGAACACCGGTAAGCCGCTTTCTCTTTGGCCTGGGCATTACCTACTGTTACTATGCGGCCGTTTAAATATGTCTAAGAGGAGAAGTGTACGATTGTTTTACTTAGTTCCTTAATGAGAGACATCGCCGTTACGTGAGGCTAAACGTACAGTATAACGGAAATGACATCTGCTCATATATAAACATACGTTTAGAGTGTAGGGCATACGATAATTTTCTATATTATTTTAATGTTTTAATTTTAATTATTTTAATGTTATTTTTCTTTGTGTTACATTTCTTGTTGAACTTTTTCAAGAAGGATTTCATGCTGAAAAAAAAATATCCAACTTTGAAACTGAAGGAGTGAATTCACACCTATATAATCGCATAACAAGAATGTCTATATGGAGTTCCCAACTCTCATACCTCTGACGTGACACTCACGCTTTCAAACTCTCACAAAAGAAATCTATATTAGTCCATTATAAACCTAAAATTAGTTACATCAAAAGCTTTGGTTGTATCAAACCCTACATACTATTTACAGGGTAATAAAACTCTTGCATACATGTAAATGAGTGCGCAGACTCGTCTCGAATTGAAAATCTGACGCCAGCCAGCTGGCCTAAGTTGGCAACCTTGTGTATGTAAGAATCAATTAGGCAATAAAGTCTTTATCATTGTAACTGAAATCATCAAATGTCAGCTCTGCATTGCACTGAATTCCGACTATCACAAAGAGGGTTGAATAAGGTGTCCGGCAAACCTGTTATTCCTTGCTTGTGGCACCAGCTACTGAGGAGATGCTCTCCGTTTTGGCTGTGTTATGCTCCGACTCACAGATGGATGAATTTAATAAGATGAGTGGACCATTTGGTGTCTTTTAGCTGCATTATGGGCAAAGCTGTGCTGAAACCAAAACGAAAGGAGTCATCGTGACTAGAAAAGCAGTGTGTTTCCAGAATGTTCTATTGGTTAGAAAAGGAGTGTTCCTGTGGGGGTGATTCCTGCCCGGTGCCTCTTTCTGGGAGAGGTGTTCGCCTCCTGTCTAATTTGAGAGCCCTGACTGAGTTGTAAGCACTGTCATGCCACCTCAGAAAGTGGACAAAGTTGACAGCGTCTAAATAAATATCGCCGCTGCTCCATGCTCAGGCTGACTGCTGGGAAATAGTGACCTTACCTCCACCCACTCCTGTCAGCCCGTTTCCCTGGCTTGCTGTTATTTTTGCTGCCTTTCTGCAAGTTTCCATGATAGGAGCTTCGTCAGCCTCAACTGACAGACAGCTGTCATCTGGGGGGGTGGAGTCCCTCTTCACGATGCGGTCTTCAACTGCTAATCGCCACCTTAATGGTGCATTATTGCTTTTGGCAGCAAGCGAAACCTTGAAAGGCTAAAAGGACTCAAAGTATTTATAAACGCATTCTAGGTGAAGGTTTATTGTCATAAAAAGTCACCCGTGAATTGGGATGAATGACCATTGATGTTGTTTATCTGAGTATGAGAAAACGAAGGAGCAAATCTACTGGGGGCGGTTTTTTATCCAAACCTACAGCATCATTTCAGGAGAAACCCTAATCCTGGCGTTTGGAAAAACAGATGGCTCTCAATGGCTTTTTAGACCGAGGTGACATAAGATGCTGTTGATCATCTGCAATTCTGTCCCCTTTTACTTTTCTACTTTTGCTTCCTGAATCATCTTCATCAACTCCAATATGCTGTAAGACGCTCCTGTTCAAAATCTGTGTCAATGTAAAAAAGGCTTCCTTGTGTAACTTCCCCTTTTTCACATTTGACTTTGAAATTAGTTTTTTCCTCTTTCTGTTTAAATGTGAAATGCATGTGTTTTTTTATTTTATAAGAGAGGATCTACTATATTTCCAACAGGAATACTGACATATGCACAACTTGGGTTGTTATACCATATACAGTATTACAATACTATGTGGCAAATATGAAAACTTTTCAAACATTGTAGCCGAGGGATTACGATTATTGGTAACCCTTTACTTGAGGGGCACAAATACTTAGTAGTAACTCAGTTACTACTGAAGTACAAATTATGAACAAATATAGTAGCTACTTAAAAGATGTATCATGATTTATTAATGATGAACAAACATGAGATCAGTATGTAACTAAGACTTAGTTTGTGGTTAATTCATAATATACTATTATGCTATTACTTATTTTTCTGTGCCCTGTCAAGTAAAGTGTTACCAGATGATGAATCTAAATAGAACTGAAAGTATATGCATTACTATGGGCTAAAGTAGAATCCTTTGTTGAAGAAGAGACAGTTTGACCATCACCTCTGTGAGGTTCCAGAGAAAGTACAATCACCAGGGGTCCATGTAACTGCGGCCCGTCAGAGGCTGGTACGGCAGTGCTAACTACATGCTGCTGGTGCTTCTCTGTATGTGTCGAGTGGTTGTGGTGCCTTTCTGGGCTACTTGCCACTGCAGTCATCTTATGGAGAAATACAGTCTACTACACACCATGAGGTTTCTCTGCCACAGCGCTGGAAGAGTTACCTCTGGCCTTGACTGGTACTTCACATTTATATATATATATATAGCCGAGATCAGTTATTCTCAGCTCCTTGTCGGTAATCCACTAGCAGAGCTGTGTTTCCTGGCAGACAGTGCCAGGGGGCACCAGCAGGGTTTTGCTGTGAAAGAACACTATAAAGAGATGGTTTGTGCTGGGCTGAGCCCAGGTGACTAACTGGAAGAAAAGGGTGGCTTTGCTGACACCAAGTTGAAGCTAGTTGTTCTAGCAGGACATGCTTACTTGTCGCGCATCTCCCACAGTGGCCTCTTGTGCTCCTGAGGCTTTGGTGTAATTCTGGGCCTCACTGTGGCTGTACACACAAGCACAGATGTTTCAGGCTAGCTCCATCTAATGGAGGGGGCATGCAGGAACCAAGCCGTACCAGAGCCGTACTGCGAAGAGAGACTAGTTGCTGTGCGGTTCCATCTCTCTCCGAATTTCCACTGCAGAAGGGCTCGGTAAAGGCGTTGCCGAGTTTGGAGAGCAACAGTGACGTAAAACTGAAGAGACTCTTGTTGACTGTTCACACGGTGTACATCATGATTTACTATGTGCAAATTTCTGCTAGCACATCTGTGAGAATCACCGTATTACGTTGCTGCAGAATTAGCATTAGCTTCTGTAAATTTGCTTTATGAATCCATTCCAGTCAGCTGTTCTATTGTACTGTTTTGTATTGTTCCCGTTGGCAGTAGAAGAGTACCATTAGTCTGCTTTGTGTTTTTCCTGTTTATTTCCTCAGATGTGAGGTAAGTATTATTTTATGAACACTGCCGCTGCATGCGTTTCAGCTTCCTGTATATTATCTTAAACCAGTGTGGACTTTTACTAAAGCTGAATCTTTGCAGAATGTTTGTTTCTTAAATGTCTCGTGTTGTTCAGTTGCTCTACTCGGCCGATGACAGCACCCCCTTCAGGCAGCTAGCTGTCATACCCTGAATGTCATCCCTGTGCACTTGTTTTTCAGGAAACTGAATTGAAGATTGTGGTTTTGAGTTAATAACGGTGCCTGTTTTTCGTTTCTCAGTATAAATATGAACTTGCTAATCTGACTTAATGTCATCAAAGTGAAGAGGTACCAGTGGTCTCTTGTCTTGCTGATGGTTTCTTTTTGTGTGGTCATAACCTGCACCCTTTACTGGGGAAATGGAAGAGTCCTCTAAGACAAGAAGCCCAGTCCCCAGTAGGGCTGTAGCTATCCATTCTTTTAGTAATCGACTATTCTGTTGATTATTCCATTGATTGAGTAATAAGATAAGAAATACTTTTGTCTTATTAAAGAGCAATAGTAACTATTCAAAAGAGAAAAAAGACAGGTCTGTTAAAATTAACAACCCATTGGTTTCCTTTTTAGATTTTAATGGTATCTTAAATCAAGCCACAATAACTGTAACTGTGCAGACTTTTATTTAATGCATCCTCCCCGAACACTAAGAACAGTTTCTAAACAAATTTAACTTTTGACATCTCACACACCGGTCCTTCAGCAAGCTAGAAGTTGCTATTTTCGCATGCAGCATGCTAGAACTTAATTCTTTCATTTTTATGGGGAAAAACATAATTTGAAAAATTAATATTTAACAATTTTTAACAATTTTCCAATCAAAGTAATGTACAAATAATATTTTGTAATGTTTCATAAAGGCTGCCAGGCAAAATATGCCTTCTGGTCTCAGAAGTGTCCAATGATCAAAATCCATTGTCATTTTTATTCCTCAAAACAAGCTAAATTGGGTGAATTGGGCAAACATGGCAAAAACTACTGCTGTATGTAATGTCCCACTCACATCTTACACTTTAGGGACAAAGAGTGGGGGTGGGAGTAATATGGGTAAAAAATATAGCTCAATATGGACAAACAGAAGTTTTTAATTTATTTAAATGATTTTCTAAGTAATTCAATATGAGGGAGATGTAATTGTGGAGAAAAAAAAAGCAATTTGTGTTCGACCGCTGTTTACAAACGCAGCACTTAAAAAGCACATGTAAAAATACAGACACTTTACCACAAATAAATTACCACAAAATAATTTAAGCTATTTTTCCCATAAATTTGGTAGTAAATTCACACTATTATTCTTATTATTTCTATTTACCTTCTATTTACACACACACTCACTCTTTTTTTGCTGTCTCTCACACACACACTCACTCTCACTCTTTCTTGCTTGCTGTCTCTCTCACACACACACTCACTCTCACTCTTTCTTGCTGTCTCNCACACACACACACACACACTCACTCACTCTTTCTTGCTGTCTCTCTCTCACACACACACACACTCACTCTTTCTTGCTGTCTCTCTCACACACACACACACTCACTCACTCTTTCTTGCTGTCTCTCTCACACACACACTCACTCTCACTCTTTCTTGCTGTCTCACACTCACTCTCACTCTTTCTTGCTGTCTCACACACACACTCACTCTCACTCTTTCTTGCTGTCTCTCTCACACACACACACTCACTCACTCTTTCTTGCTGTCTCTCTCTCTCTCACACACACACACACACACTCACTCTTTCTTGCTGTCTCTCTCACACACACTCTCTCACTCTTTCTTGCTGTCTCTCTCACACTCACACACACACACACACACACTCTTTCTTGCTGTCTCTCTCACACTCACTCTTTCTTGCTTTCTCTCTCTCTCTCTCTCTTTCTCCCTTACCGCCACCTTGTTTGCACCCCCCCCCCCCGCATACTTCTGTCTGACAGAAACAAGGCCGCTGTTCTTAGTTGTGCTTATGTAGCGGTATGTGAGAACAGCTTACAAGCACAAAAGAAAAGCATCATCCGCCCCGTCCACCCCCCCCCCATCTTTAAAATGTCAGCAGACAAGAGAAGACAGGCGTCACAGGCATTAAAGGAAGCTCGGTGGAGATAAGCCAATAAACCGTAATAAACAGCACTGTCAAATTGGTCATTCTTGCTCTGGCGTGAGCATTACTTATTATTATTATTTTATTGTTATTATTATTATTATTATTATTATTATTGTTACAGTTTATTTAATGGGCCTGTGCTTTGTTCGCTCGTTAACCTGCATAATTAAAACAGGTATTTTAAAATGGGTACTTCATTTGACATTGAAAGAGGGACCGAACACTTATTAATTTTGGTTGAGGCTGATCTGCCTGATCTGATTCGCTCATTCTTTGCCCACATGCTGTTGTATGAACCGACCCAGTGCCTTGCTGATGTGCAATTTCTGGGCGAGAGCAAGGCACGGTGGCACCGTTCCCAGCCTTCCGAAGAAATTCTCTCGATTTTCAGTTTAGAGCCAAGGAGGACGGATTGTGTTTTGGCAGAATAATGTTGTTTTAAGAGGTCTGTTTCTCATCTTAAGCATAACACAGGTTTGAGTCCTGGCCTTCCTTAACTGAGGCTGAAGTAGACTTGGTCAGGGGGTTACAGTTCATAAATGCCGCGAGGTCGACGCCGATACAGGTGTTTATCGTATCTTGAGACGTGCGATCCTAGTTAATAACTGGGGCTTTTCCTGATGCACACACTAAAGCCATGGCTTATTATCTCAAAAGCGATTGAGAGGAACTGACTGTAGTGAATACAGAAACTCAATACTGAAAGATAACAAGGCATAAATTAATTGTACACAGCCCCACCTTATGCATGTAGAGAAAAAAATGTATCCGGTGGCATGTCATGGGGGAAAGTGACAACGCCCATTTGTGGAAACCTGAATTTTCAAAGCTTTTTATGTTTTAAGGAATTCTTGGTTAAAGAATTGCATCTTTCCCCTTTTGCTAGTTTTGATGGGAGGGTTAAGTGTGGGGTCTCTCTGGAGTCATGTGTTCTTGTGCTTACGGAGGCTAAAGCTGTGAAAGATCGGTCTTTATTTCTAGTAATGACAAAAACAATGATTTTTACAGTGGGTGGAATTGTCAGAGGCTGTTGATCCCTGATTGGTTCAGGCAACTGCCCATCGATTGGTTTGTTGCTTCTTGTTGGCTTACTGTATAGATGGTGGTTGATGGCACCTAGTATTTCCCAGCCCGTGTGCATTGTGGGCACCAGTCAGCTGCTATGGCCTCCGCTCAGTTTCTCTCCTGAGAGGGGTTCTGAAGTTTGCCACTCCTGCTGCCAGACAGGAAGTGGCCATAACGCAGGCTTCCCCGTCCCTTCCGACAATCCTACCCACCACCTTTCTTTCATTTTTGGCTATCTATGGTAGGGTCATCCAGTAATGCAGCGTGAGGTCTGCAATGCGACCTGAATCTCCTCTAGTGCATGTCATTGTTTCATTGAGAATTATAGCACTGGACTTATGCGGGTATGAATAATTTAATAACTGGGTCACTTACCTCTCAGCAGATTTTTTTTTTTTCCTTTATGAAAAAGGTGATGTTATTTTCTGCCCATCTCTAGAATAGAAGCTTATGATTCCCAGTCTAAACAGTTATCTTCCATGCCTGTGTATATAGTATTGCTCTTTGAAATTTGTATTAATTCTACACAGATTACTCTAATTTTATCGAACAAGCCTTTTGGTTCAACCTCCAACATTCATAGATCCTTTGATATGACATGCACAGCTTTGAAACCGTTACTAGGGCAACTTTTTTTTTTTTTTTTTTTTTGAACATCATGTTTTTTATTTAGAACTGAGAAATGTAATCAGCTGTATCTTATTTCTTGTCCTCCTACAAGGCTCTGAAAATAACCAAAAAGTCAAAACGACGCCCACCTTGGACAGCTTCTCACTCAAACAGGATGCTAGATAAACATGCGGTTATTTCTGTCATTTATGACATATTGGGCCGTGTGTATACAATAACTATATGTATTACTGACATTTGAGTGTCAGAATATTTTTTTTTAAATATGCTTGATTGATCAAAATTGCAGAATATGCTGATATTCAGCTAACCCGGATTCCTCTATGCATTGCTACCCAAGGACTGTCTGGTATTTTAGCGCCTGGTGTTTTTAACATGGCAGTGTACGTGCTGTGAACGTCGGAGGTGCCTTCAGAGGAATGTGGAAGTGGAGGGTGAAGCGTGTTTGGTGTTTACCCTAGAGGACAATGGCATTGTGACCTCGCAGCCAGGTTTCGCTGCAGATTCCGGTTGGGCCTCAGTTGCCAGAAGTAACATATCTGTCTGTGTCTGCTGTCTTCCAGTTGCTGGGTGTGGCCTTCTTGGGGATCGGCTTGTGGGCATGGAGCGAGAAGGTGAGTCTGATGCATGTTCTTGTGTTTATAGGTAATGTTGAATGTCTTTTTTTTTTTTTTTAAGCGCCACTGATAATTCGTTGTAATAGAAGACGTGGAGTGGGTGGTGAATGAAAGAAGGTTTGTAACTTTTATATACCACTTTTTCAAACACCCAAATCGCTTTACAGAAGCAATGGGGAGCCACTTCAACCAGCATCACTGTGTAGCCCCCACCTGGATGACGGCAGTCACTCTGTGCCAGTACGCTCACCACACAGTAGCTAAGGTGGTGAAGGGGCAGGAGAGAAATCACCAGTTAGATGCAGGGGATCGTTAAGAGGGCAGATTTGAAAAGGCCACAGTGAGTAATTTTAGCCAGGATATCATGGGTACCACCTCTACTCTTTCGAAAGATGCCCAGGGATCTGGCCTCAGAGAGTCAGGATCTCTGCTTTGTAGAGATGTTGTTTGGTTGTCTCATGCAGATTTGTGTATTTGGTTGTGCATACATCTATTTGTGCATATGTGTCACCTGACCACAGCGAAGAATTCCATGCCTGTCAAACAATGAGAGGCATCTTTAACAGCTACTGTACCTGCTGCTATGGCTACGGTTCTGCCGCCATACGGCGATGCCGGTACGGAGGAGAGTCACATTAACGGCCCAGGCTGGATCTCTCTTCGTCCCACTGCCGTCAGTGTCCGTGTTGGCGCTCACGGCAAAGCAGAGAGCTGAGAGACAGAAGTAGACTGTTAATAGAATGAACAGACCCTGATAAAATATTAACATTGTCTATTAATAGCTGGACTATGACTATATACACTCTGATTAAATGTCTTTGTGCATTAAGGTTCATATTAAAACAGCAGGCATTCAATAGATGGATGAAATGGAATTCCATTGCCCCTTTGTGTATTTCAAATTTATATTTTATCCATAGTGTATGTTTGGCCCCTATGATGGACTGGAATTTCGGCCAGGGTATACAGTACCCCAGTCTGGTGCCCTCTGCTGCCTGGGATAAGCTCCAGGTGTCCTTGGAGCTCTGCCTGAGCCCTGTCTGACATAAACAGTTGTATTAGATGCATTTGATAGCATTGAACTTCAGTTTTCTTGATTTTTTTCCCCTGTCATTTATTTCTAATTCAGTTCAATTCAGTTTATTTTTATATAGCGCCTTTCACAACAGAGTCGTCCCAAAGCGCTTTACATGGGTGTGTTGTGATACATTACACCATCTTTAGAGACAGTAATACAGAATGGGAAAAAGGAAGGAAAGAAATTAAGTAAAGAAAGCCAGATGACAACGGAGGAGAGGAACCAAAAACTCCCAAATAAGGAGAGAAAAACCTCTGAGTATCTAAGGTCAACTGGCTGCCCGACCCCCCTGGGCATACTAACATTACTGAAAACAGAAAAGAGTGGCCTTGCTTACTAAAAGCTAGATGTGAAGAGTTTAAACCAAGGCATTTTTTATATGTTTACATTTTAGTTTTTTTGCCGTCAGTTCGTCCGTCACGATTTACGTTCAAATGACGATCCTGCTTATGTGGTGGATTGATGGATTTTTATTGCTGCTGTTTTGGTCATAAGGGTCTCTGGCCATTTCGCATTTCTTGAAGTTGTGTCTCGGGGGATATGTTCTTCCAAAATAAAAAAATCAGTACCAAAAAGGGCGCATTTCTTTCCTTAATTCTGTTTTCCTGTTGATGCCAGTGATCTGGATCCATTGTGGCCACTTCAGTGTTTTAGGTTTTGTCTGCCAACCAAAATAATTGCATATTTTGTACGCATTTTCCTGCATTCTGGGCTGATGCTTTGGGGGGGATCGTGTTGGAAAACACACGCATAGCTGCTCAGGAAGGCTGACTGTGAGAGAGTTTCACATTCTGATGAGCTCACACAAACTGTTGTTTTGAGGTTTGATGCCGGGCCCAGAGGCACCTGCTGCATGCTGCTTTGAGAAGTTTGATTTGTTGTCATAAGCGTCAATGACATGACGTGCATATTTTTCCCAATCCATTATTTTTTTTTAAATCTGTTAAACACAGAGCATGCCTAACATCATTGTTTGAAACCTCTTTAATGTGAATATACTTTCACTACATTCAAATAAAACAGTCGATTATGTATCTCAAAGTCCAAAAATGTCAGGTGGTGCAACAGTTGGAACATACAGGCAGAGTAAAAAAGCTATTGAAATTTGATCTTTAAATAACTAAAAAAATTAAATTGTTTACTTTGCTAAACTTCTATGTCTGAAACCTTTAAGCTCACAAATAGTTGCAAAACACTGTTTTAAAACTATTAAGATAATTTATAATTATTTGTCTGCAAATTTACATTACCTCAAATGTCAGTCGGCACAAATCGGGAATGGGGGTTTGTTATTTAAAAGTCATTTCAGAAAACATTGGACTGGATGTTGCATCAAAAAGAAGAACCTAAATGATCTTCATGGTGCAATGATCTAACTATTGACAAAAATTACCATTTTCAAATAGTTAGGTTAACAGTATTTCCATGTCATGTGGTACAACCCATGAAAAAACACAGACATACTGTTATATGATAAAACTCTTTATTTATTATTAAAATCGTATCAAATTAATTTGATATCAGGGACAAACGTTTGTGCAGGTGTCCCAAATGTGGAAAACAAATTGCAGTATAGACACTTCCATGGCTACTTTATGAAGGTTTCAAAAATAATTATAAAATAAATTTTTTTGGTTGTGCCACCTGACGTTTGTCATTTTGTGACGCCTTATTTCTCATTGTCCCCTATAACTCCCTTCCTAACATACTTGCTAGAAAGTAAAGCATCAGGGTTGGATATCAGCAGTTAATTTTATTGCTGAAACATTAATATGAAAAGAAACTGAGGAAAAATATCAAGGACAAAGTCTGAGGGGAAAAGGAAACCCCATTTATTCAGAGTGAATGTCAGCAATGTCTGGAATGTTCCCTGTATACAGGACAGACTGAAAGCATCAGATTGCAATACTGCTTCTGGGAAAGGGCACCATGATGGATTTCCAAAACAATTACTTGGAGAGCCTTTACATTGGAACTTGATTTTGCACGGTTAGTTGTTGTGCTGCAGGGAGTACAGCAATCCTGGTCATCAGGATATTTATCAGTTTTTCGGCTATGGTAATCTGCTGTAATATTGTGACGTAATCATCGCGTCCCGTCATTCTCAAATGACACCGCTCTTTGTGCCTTTTCTCTCTGTAGGGTGTGCTCTCCAACCTCTCCTCCATCACAGACCTGGGGGGCTTCGACCCAGTCTGGCTCTTCCTCGTGGTTGGGGGGGTTATGTTCATCCTGGGCTTCGCTGGTTGCATCGGTGCACTGAGGGAGAACACCTTTCTACTTAAGTTTGTGCGTCCACCACCTCACACTGCCTCTTATGCACTCACCCATGCTGTGTGTGTGTGTGTGTGTATGTGTGTGTTACAATGCAGACTGAGAGACATGGGAACTAAGAATATCATGTCATCATGTCAAATTCCCCTACAGATTTCAGTTCAACTTTACGGAAGGTTGTCAAGGAGATTCTTTTTTTTCAGCTTAATTTTGTTCTAAGTGGGGAAATTTACTGAAGTGAAAGCACGAGTTTAATTTAGGAATAAACAGGATATAATCTGAATGTCCTGCTAGAAGTATTTTTGGGAGCTTGTTTTGACCTTGGATGTTTTAAGATAATGATACAGCTTCCTGTAATTTGGTGATAATTTTGATGGACTGAAGAAGGCCCGCCCACATTCCTGATACTTTGCAGGCTCACCATGGACCTGAACAGGGTTTCAACTTAAAATTATCTGCATGTTATGGGACGGATGGTGCTGTGCACTGGCAGAACTATAGCTGCACCAGCCGCACTGGGCCCAGTTTAAATAACCGACGCACATTACATTGCATTATGAACCCCCAAATGATATATGTGCCCTTTACCTGGCTGGCAAATCTGTCTTGCTCAGCGTGTCCAATTCTTAACTTTTCTATAAAAGCTATAAGAAGTTTATATTGTGAGGATGTTTCACAAAGATACATGGTACATCTGTAACATTTAACCATTAAGGGTCAGAGGCTTCATTTCCGCACATGGACATGTGTGCGAGGAGGCGGGTCTCCCAAAAAAAAAAAAATTGGTATGGGGACAATTATAAGAAGCTTATGCCACTGGTTGTGGGTTCTTGATGTATAACAGCCATAACATTTCTACCTAGAAAACTTCTAACCTGATATTGGGTAAATGCTTTCAAAATAAATGTAATCAGAGACAGACAGAATGCAGAAAACTGACTATTTTAAATGGTTACGAATTTGTTGTAACCACATATCTGTTTATATAAGGTACAGTGTGAGCCGGTCATTGAATGCAAACTACTTGAAGTGTGATCTGAAAGTTACATTTACCCACCCCACACCCCCTACCCTTTCCTGTGCAGTTCTCCGTGTTTCTGGGGATTATCTTCTTCCTGGAGCTTACAGCTGGAATCCTGGCCTTCGTTTTCAAGGACTGGATCAAGGACCAGCTCAACTTCTTCATCAACAACAACATCCGAGCATACCGAGATGACATCGACCTGCAGAACATGATCGACTTCACCCAGGACTATGTAAGAGCACAGGGGCCCTGTACCACAACGGCTGTTCTGAGAATGCTGTTTCCATGGCAACCAGTGGGCCACACAGCTCGTAGATGTGTTTTTGGTTAACGTCTCTCTAAAATTCCAGCTTATCTGCAAAGCGTTGCATAAAACTTGTTCTGGGAGGAAATGGACCGAACCACATGAATGGGAAGGATGGACACGAGTGTAACACAAAAGACGAATGAAAATGAATGATAGCCATTTTGGATTTGGCACAATGGGAGACACAAAAGGAAACAAAATGGCTTTCAGAAAGGGCTATGGGACTGGGCATTGGAGTCATGTGTTCTGGGCCTGAGAGATGAAATAGAAGAATCCTTTTTATAATATTAGTAAGTAAGTAAGTACGAGTCTAAGTACATATAATATTAGTAATTAGGGTCAGTTGAATGACTTGCTGTATCACCTGAATGTCTTCAGCCTTGGGATATTCACACCTACCCATTATACATGGTATGCTTAAAAATTTAAAAACACTCAGGATAACTGATACAATTGGTTTTAAATCTGAGTATTGAAATATCTGCATACATTGTAGAGTTATTCAGCTGATATCGAACATCAAACCTGAGTTTGGCAATGTGGTTAAGAAAAGAATCATTTATTGTTCCTCCCCTGTCCAGGACACTGAAGAAGTGCAGTGGGAGGGGGGGCTCACATATTTTAATGATGCCAAAAGAACCTGATTGTGCTTCTGACGTGTTTTTGGTGGCTCTCTACTTGGGTACATTTCTGGGTGATCGGATCAGACATTTAATTAAGCTGGAAATCGGAGAACAAGAGTTTTGTTTTTGCAGTAGATCCCTTGCCTGGCCGTGTCTCAGGGTTGGAGACAGAGGAACAGTGTAGCTTTCATGCGGATAATGTCCCGCTTTGTTTGCCGTGGAGCTCCACATTGGAGGAGCGTCAGCGATGTGTGCTGAATGCTGGGAAGGCACTCTGGTTTTGGCTGAATGGCTCCACCTTGTGTCTGCGCAGTGGGAGTGCTGCGGCGCATTTGGAGCTGACGACTGGAACCTCAACATCTACTTCAACTGCACGGAGTCGAATCCCAGCCGGGAAAAGTGTGGGGTCCCCTTCTCGTGCTGCACCAAGGATCCAGCGGTATCTGACACCACCTCTGAAACTGACCCAAAAACAGTTTAATCGATCAAATCAGTCTCTGAGGTCTAACACTATTGAGTAACTATAGATCAGTCCAGATCTAAAAGTTCTGCAAATACAATAACAAGAGGTTGCACATAGTCTTTCATAGTCTGAGGATTTTACAGATAAGCTTACTAAGTACAAATCATTTTCTATGTCTCTGTGCCCCTGCCCATGATCTCTCTAGTCTTGCTTTTCTAATTATGGTGTGTTTTCTGGGGTGTGAACCGAACTTGTCATACTGTAGAGAGGGGTGTAAAATGGGTACCAGGCCTTTGGGGGACATGCTGCTGACACGTGATCTCGTGTCTGTTTTTTTCTTCTCTTTCTTACAGGAGGATGTGATCAACACGCAGTGTGGTTATGATGTGCGAGCCAAAGATGTAAGTCAGGCCTTTCCATCTGTCCTGTGGGGTCTGGCTGCCTGACAGGGCGAGCTGGAGCTTGGCATTAATCGATAACCCCAATAACCCCCCATTTCCTGAGACCCTTTTGAATTTTTTCAGTCTTCGGTTTGCATTCTTGCATGTCTTTGTAGATATAGTTACGAAAATGTGTCTATTTGTATACTACATTAGCATTTAAATGTTAGTGTTGGCTCTCAAACCTCTAACGTGCATCCAAATGAGGCTGCTTGGGACACTCAGAATGGGCCGCTCCACTGGCACTCGCCCCATCCTTTGGAGGGCTTTTTACAGCTCCGTCTTTTGGCACTGATGGTTCCATAGGTTTGTCTTCCTGTTGACATGAACCACCAGCCAGACGTGGAAATTTCAGGTCCAGAAAATAAAAATCCAGACCAAAATGTTTTTCCAACCAACCAGCTGAGTACTCTGTGACCATGACTGTTAATATTCAACTAGTTGGTTGGAACAAAATCTCTGGCTCCAGTGATGGCAGTAGGACAAGCCATGACCCGCAGCCCTACACAGAGAGGCCCTATGAGCAAAGAAATACTCTGATGGTGGGCAGTTACACCATCATTACCTACAATCACAAATACTGGTTATGAATGGGGCAGAGGTGGCCCTTTGGGGACAAGGCATGCATTATGTATCAGAATACAGAATTACTGTATATCAGAGTCATCTGAATGCAGTCTCTTCCCCATTAACTCTCTCATTCTGATCGTTTGTAGATTACTGCCTTTGGGTACTTATTGTAATACGTTAACAAAAGGCATCATTGAGCACAGTGATTTTAGGGAAACAAATCTTCATAAATACCGCAGACGACTAACCAGTGCGACTGCATCCCTGTCGCGTGCTGGGTGCAGGACGAAGAGCAGAAGGCTTTCATCCATGTTAAGGGCTGCGTTCCGCAGTTTGAGAAATGGCTTCAGGACAACCTGACCGTGGTGGCGGGAATCTTCATCGGCATCGCCCTGCTGCAGGTGAGGCTCAGCTTGTTACCAGAGCGTTTTAGGTTTGAATTCCCACTGAGTAGCTGCAGTGCTGCTGATCGGTAATATTTGAGGTGAATTTTTTTAAATTTTTTTTTTAAACTTACTTTACTTACTTTAAGTTTAAAAACTTACTTAACTTACCTACTTGCCTTACTTAACTTTAAAATTTTTGCACAGTCTGAAAAGGTCAGTTCAGGATGCATTTCATTACGTGGATGACTATGCATGTGACGAATGAAGAATCTTGAATCTTGACCTTTTCCGGGGCCAAAGACCAAAACGGGTCCTTGGCTAATTTGCTACTAACATTTTATCATGAGCGCATTCCTGGGAAAACTCACTAATAACACAGTAACTGGCACGTTTCCTACCAGTAGGTAGGAGGAATAACTGCAAGAAACTGCTTTAAAAAAAAAAGGTGACAGATTTGGATGGCAGTGAAAAGCTCTGAGTTGCTACCAGCAGTCGTGGTCTGACAGTTTTACTGGGAAGGGGAGGCTTGATTGCTTGATGTTTATAATAAATCTTTCTATATTTTCAGATTTTCGGGATCTGTTTGGCGCAGAACCTAGTGAGCGACATCGAAGCTGTCAGGGCAACGTGGTGAGAAAATAATTACGACGCCACAATCAAACACTAACATGATATTTTCTAAAACGTGTGTGTTGCCTTGTGTCCCCGCTGGAAGTCCGCTAACATGCCACCTGCGTTTTCCTTTTTATTGTACCTCTGACAGGTCAACATTAAAAATCGTGAGAATCTTTATGAAATTTATTCCAGTGAGGCTATTTCGTGTAGCGAAGGGAAAAAATCTACCCCCCGTTGGACAATGTGTGTCACCTATCAAGGGATGGGAACCTCACCTTTAAGGCAGAAAGTATTAGTAGTTCGTGATGAATATATGCTGAATTATAATGAAATAGTGAAATTCCTAACAGGGGGCTAGCCTTTTTGGCAGAGGTGCAGTTTTTTATGCAGAGAGAGAGGGAGTCCAGCATTCAGGTCATCTGGGCTCCTCCAGCCAGATGCAACCATCTCTCAGCCGTGCAAGAATGGGGGGGGGGGGGGGTCACCAATGGCATGCTTCTCACCTCACGCTTCACTCTTCCTCCTCATGCCTTGTCAGGGTGCCCTCCTCCCTCTCCATGCGCCGGCCCCTACCGCCATTGTCGCTCCCCAGCAGGAAAGCCAGCATGTACTCGTGAGGATGTGTGTGTGTGTGTGTGTGTGTGTGTACACCCCCCACCCTTTGATTTGGTATCTTCCTTTGAGTGACTGTCAGTGTAGGTCTGCATTGACCTGGAAATGGTTCTCACTTCTCTTGGTCTCATGCACATGACAGCAGCAGACTGTCTTGGTCAAATGTACCAGATGTACAAATACTGTCAGTGCTAAACATATATTAAGCTGCAAGCTATGTAAACGTGTGAGCACTGGGCATAGTTCAGTAAACGTCTACAAAAGCATATGTGTAAATACTGTTCATACCCAAGTACATGAACATGGAAATACTTTCTGTACTGTAAATATTTGTGTTAATGCTTCCTGTTCTTCGGTAAATGTATCGATTTTGAAATACCATTTAATCCAATATTGCTCTTCTTAGTGGTAAATTAATGATGATAATGTATTAATATATTGATAAAGGTAGTTGGCTGTTTAAGACAGTCTGTGTGATACGATGCTGTTGCCGATTAGCTGTCCAAAGGCAGTGCCTGTGAAAGAACAGATATGGGTTATACTGGGAAAATTGATAGGGAAATGGCAGTAGGAATACTGGAAATGCTCATTTCCCAGGCCCAGTGACAACCCACTGTCCTTTTATCGAGATGCAACACATTTAAATCCCGGTCACGCCCATAGTACCATATTATTATGACATACCACATTCATACTGTTCATGAAAAGTAATGGACCGTGTCACTGATTTAGTAATATCTGCATTCCTGTAATAAGCAAAGGGAGCCCCTTGAAATCAGGACTGTAATGTCGATAAAATATGCCCCTTTGATTACATCACATGGATTTTAATTTTGACCAGTCTAACTACACTTCATCTATTATTCTCAACTTAATGTAAGTCTGTAAGTTTGGCCACCCCCCTTCCCAGTCTCAATGGTTTTGCCCGGTCCTGGGTCCCCCACCACTGCCGCTGTGCTTTGAGCCAACGTCAGAAACCTCCTCTCTCTCTCCTCTCTCTCTCCTCTCTCAGTCTCTTCACCTGAGGCCATGACTGAAGGTCGCATCCGGAGGATCAGGTACCACCGCTAATATGTGTTGAGGGCTCCTTGCTGGGGGGGGGGGTGGGTTTCTGGTGTCACAGAAGCTATGATGGGCTTTGTCCCTCCCCACCCAGGTCTAAGCCCATGGCCAAGGCAAGGTGCAGAAGCAAGACCTTAGAGCACCACCTTCAGGACACGGGCTGTACGACATTTGTCCGCACCGTTTGTTTCATGGTCTGTACATAATTATTCTTTTGTAGGATTGGGGGGGGGGGCTCTCTGTGGGTTTTTCAAGATTTGCTGTAGTGTCAGACACTTTGTGTAACAAATGTACAGAGGGCACATTTAAACAGTGCATGCCTACCGATGGGGGGGTGCGGTGGATTTTTTTTATTTCTGCATTCATCGTATAAAAATGCAGTTTTCATCCCCTCACTTCAGCAAAAGGGCAGCAGTGAGACAGCAGTAACGCCCCAGTGCTCAGTCATCACCTGCGGACAGGAGCGATTTAGAATTTCGAATCGTCTCCTGTGTATAGCAGCAAGTACAGTGACTGCTGTCACATAGTCAGATTGGGGATCCAGTTATGATCCTCTGCTATCAGGAGAAACAACATCCATTCTGCTCAATGTGCTAAATGATGGAGGAGCTCAGGAGTAGGCAGACGTTGTAAATAGAGCAGTTTTTTCTGTAGTTCTTGGATTTTGATTTAATTCCGTTTTTTTTTTTTTTTAGTCCTGACTTGTGGTAGTTTTGTTAAGGTTCAGAAACATCTTTGTACACTGTATGTTATTATCTTATTGGGCCACTGGCCCATACAACTGATTTTGTCACATTATTATCAACAGGGTTGTAATACAAGTACTGTAATCTAATAAGCAAGGAATTCTAAGCAAATAGATGATGGTGTGTGTGTGTGTGTGTGTGTGTGTGTGTGTGTGTGTGGGGAAAAAGCCTTTTTTATTTCTCTGTGATGTACGGCCCACTTTCTTACGTCTTTCCCTGCTGAAACTCTCCAGGATGATGATGATGATGATGATGATGAAAATAAAAATGGTAAAGTGAGCATGTTGTTGTTCTTAACACCAACTTGGGTCGCATACTAGGTTATTTTTTTAATAATTCAGTTTTTGAATAATAAGCTCATCAGCTTCTGACAATGGAATCGTCTTGCCCAATTTTGGAGTGGAATACACTAGATCAGTGGTCCTTGGACTAGTCCAGATCTTTGTTCTGCTGCACCACCGTATCAATTAATTGGAAAGCCTTTCATTGCCTGGTTTTAGGCATGGCGGTGGTGGGTGAGAACAGAAATGTGGACTGGCTGGGTGGCTGAGGATAGGATTGTGAGCTACTGCACGTAGATTCTGTAATATGATCATAATTTTCCTGGTTATTTTATATTACGTAAAACCATCCAGGCTAGGTGTGGAAAAGAAACGGTAATTTTGGTTGCAAAATATAAAGAAAATAAGGGCTGATACAATGCTTAACCCCCCACATGTTTGTACTCATATGTTTTTGGGGACCATCCATTCATTTCTATGGGAAAAATTCTAATCCCAACAATGACAACTTTAACCCCTACCCAGCCCTAACCTAACCTTAACCATAAGTAGCCAAACAAAATACATTTTTAGATTTATATAAAATTGTTTCCCCTTGTGGGGACCAAAAATGTGGTCCCTACATCGAAGTTAAAGGTTTTTATCACATTATGGGGACAGTTTGGTCCCCACGATGTAATATATACATATCCTACCCACACACAAAATAGCCTAGTCCCAGTGGGAGGGGTAGTTTGCCTCAGCTGCCCACTTCAGGTGACTTAATTAGTCTGGGTGCTAGCTAGCTACCGCTGGGAAGGAAGACTGTCTAGACTCTAGACACTCCTCTAATCAGGGATTAGGGCTCATGCATGGCTTCAGTTGAGTTTGTGGAGTTCACATCAATTCCTCTCTGAATTATATTGGGGTGAAAACTCAAAAGAGGTACCAGTCCCTTACTGGAAGGGTTGATGATTAAGCTGGTGTTCAATGTTTAAACTGTTTGCCTGCAGAGAAAAGATTGCACCACGTTCTCCTATTTAATGAAAATGAAAAACACTACATGTACTGCTTAGACTGCTGAATCATGCCTGTGTTGGGTGAAGGTTCAGTGTTATTTTGGGTTTATGCCAGAAAAAAATGCAAGGATCTGGTAAAATAAAAATCAGCCCATTTCCCATTAAATGGGACACTGTTTACCCGCAGCGGTGTCTGTCAGGTAGGAACAGTGTTGGCAGTGGTGTTAAATAGCAGTGTTCAATACTGCGTAATCATGGAAAATCAGTTTAAAATGGAATATCCCTACAGGCAATGTCAATGCAGCAGTCTGCCTACAGTTTGAATTTCACTTCTGAACATTTCATTGCAAAATAAGTAAAAATATATAGCAGTTAGTTCCGACCAAATCTGATTGGACGAGGCGTTCTGTGAATGCTGTGATCAGAGTATAACTGCACTCGGACATTTCACATCAGGTGTATCAATGCTTTACAGGTGTATCTAAAAACGTTAGTCAAATTTAAAGGATGTAAAGTAGTTGGGAGCAAGTGAGCTGTTGCACTGTAATGTTTATGTTGCTTGGCAACAGTTAAGTTGGCTGGTGGGAACTATTTTTTTTTTTTTTGAGGAGGCCGTAAATGTTTAAATAAACAATCAATCAAAGTATTATCTGTTGTGGCTTATTACTTTACCTTAAATGCTACTTGAACTGTTGTATAAAAGCAATAACATACTAAAATTATGTGGTTGTACTCCAATATATCACACGCCTGTGATTTGGTCATAGGCACGAAGCCGCAGTCTACAACCAAATCACAGCCATGATATTTTGGAGTACAACTGTACGACTTCAAGTATGTTATTGCTTTGCACATCCCCCGCTAGTGACAGATTAGTTATGTTAAAGGTAACAGTTCTCTGTGGAGACGTTTTAGCTGATAAATCAGAAACAAATCTTATAGCCAGCAACCATTTTAATTTTCTCATGAGTTTCAGTTCTTGAAATTTACAATTCAGCAACAGACATTTACAACAAATGCTTTATATATAATCTTATGAAATAATGGTGTTTTTTTCCTGATAGGTTTTTGTAGTAATTAGCCAGGGTACAAATCTAATAAATTACAATAAATAAGACAGATGAGGTCTTTTGAAAATATGGCTAACCTACATCATTGGGTTTACCAGCATTCAGCCAGCTGGAATATCACCCATCAAAGTTGCCCTTTAACCAGGAGGAAAAAACATGCACAATGTTGGTCTAGCTAAAACCAGTAACATACCACTGGCAAATACCTACATGGTCACATTACTCGCAGAGGGTGGGGGTAACACCACATACCAGGCAGCCTTCCTGACACAAATGCTATGCAATTATTTTTTTTTGCCCCAAACTACTCCTAAATGTTACCAAGTCTGATGCCACCAACCATTATGCATCTTATTTCCTGGGTAACTGCTTTGCTTTGTTCTGGTGTGTGTCATATTAGACCTTCCACGAGCCAGCACCATTTCCCACCATTAGCCCCACCTCTACACTCACCTTTGCCTGATCAGTGAAAAACTCCTACCCCCAAGCTGCAGGCTAGGCCTGTATGCGCCCAACATGGCCCCAAACATACAGATCCACAACACCGCAGACCATGTGGGAATCTTTATTACACAAGCGTGATCATGTTTGACCTCTTACCCTTCCACCCAAGGTTTTGGTGTCAAATACCAGTGAGCATATAGCAGTACTGACCAACGTCTTTCTACGAGACCTGATGCCGGAGCGGGATGCTAATGGCAGAGGGCGTAGCATCTGCCCCTGATCTGTTCTTCCTAGTTACAGTGTTGACATGCTCAGTCTTTCGCATGGAGAGGGGACAAGGGGTGTGTTTCGGGGGAACGGAGAGGTATACGTGACTGGCAGGACTGGTTAGGCAGGTTAGAAAATGGTTACACCATCGACTGGACTACAACATGTACGTCTCAACTACACTGGTATTCAAGCTACACAGAATACGTCAGATGCTTCATGAATGAATTAAGGATTTGCCCCTCCCCCCACGATCCCTTTTTATTTGTTTTTTTTTATTCCCCAACTGGCAGACTTCACAGCTATGGTCTTAAAAACATTGTTCTCTTCTTGATTTGTTCTCTATTGCAAAGGGATGCCTGTGGTGCCTTCTGGGGACATCGCAGGGCATGGCATGCATGTGTGTAATTGAAAGGAGGAGGGGCTGGGCTTCGTTATTAGGACAGCGAGCGGCTGACTGGTTGGGAGACCTCGGGGAGTAACAACAGGACACATGGAAGTGAGACCAGACAGTAGGCGGGGCGAGTAGGAGTGACTTTAGAGTCCTTCAGCTCTGCACTGTTAACCTCTGCTCCGTCAGCGAGGCCTGGTGGGACACCGTCTTGTTCTCGTGTGTCCTAAGCTGGGATACCACGTCCAGGAAGGCCAAGCCCTGCACCTCTTTGTGGAGAGGCTCTGTGGAGACAGGTGGGGAAATATGGGCCACATCAAACAGGTTCTGCAGATCAATGTGAGTCAAGCAGTTCACACCACTTGAAAGAAGAGTATCTAGACCAAAGAGAGTAATGCACTGCATTCTGCCATTGGAGTTCTGTGGACCTGAAAGCTAATTCCATCTATGGGTCTTATGAAACCATGATGGTATTCTTCATGCCTTCTGGACACCAATGACCAAGATTAAAGGAAAACAAATCTATATGTGACAAATTTCTTTGTGTTGTACGGTCCTGGTCTTCCACCCACAACCACACCCTTGGCTGTGCCCTCACCTGAACCCATGACTGCACACACAAGGATCATGGAGTTGTACTTGATCTCCGGTGCGCTCTTCTCGTCTGACAGAAGCTTATGGAGCACCTGCACCAGGCCGGCACTCATGAAGTCCTTCTCTGCAGAACCTGGGAAGGGCAGACCGCTGTATCATGGTTTCCATACGCAAACCCATAAATATACAAATTTCTGGACAGACACAGTGAATCAAACCAAGAAACACAATGAAGTCTCCTCCACAGAAACTCCAGTATTACAGGGATTTTTTGGGGAAGTGTGGGCCTGGGTTTTAGGAATCACGACTCTCACCCAAGTCCAGAGCTGCAATGAGGCCCAGAGCAACCAAGGCTTCATTCTGCATGATCATGTGCTCGCTGGTTGCCATGGTGACCAGGTGCTTCACTCCACCTCCTTGGATAACTGTCCTGACTACATCCTGCAGTCGATAAAGTAAAAATGATCTGAAATGAATATGAAGAGTACACCAGCACTGCAAAGACTGCTCAGGGTGCCACACCTTGGGGTTGACACCCTTTCTTCAAATAAACTGCGTACTAGGCAAGTGAGCTCCAGAAAATCCTCAAAATGACCTATAAATCTCCAACAGCCTTGAGCCCAGTCTTGTCCATGACTCTGGTGTGAAATGAGCACCTGCATCTGACCTGAAACTTTCTTGCGGCAGGTAGAACTGAAGCACAGCTACTCTGGTTCTTCCGAAAACCGACACGGAGTTTTATCATTTTCCGCGGAGCAGCTCTTCCCAGAAGGCAATCAGCTGTCAGGACGTGGCCGCAAGCTGCTCGCTGATGTAAAGCCAGCGGCCGCTTCACAGACGCGTCTTGTTACGCCTCATGTTCCTGCCAGGCGTGACAGAGTGCCCGTGCCACACTCTGTGATGGCCGAGGATGGCACAAAAATGTGGGGGGACGCAATTCCATAAATCAAGTCCTGTCCAAAAGTCCCACGAAGGCTGAGTCAGTGTCCCCCAGGACTTCACAGTCACCACAGGAGAACGAGAAATGATGAAAATAAAAGCCACAAGGGTCGGCACCCAGTGGGACCAGTGACAGGATGGTGCCACAGCACAGCTCAAACACAGCATCATGTAGGCCTGGCCTGTGATTCTACTAGATAACAGTATTTATCAGATGATTTTATCCAAAGCTACACATTTTTTTTTGGAGAAAACAGGGTCAGACCGTCCCTAGAGCAACTTTGGGTTGAGAGTCTAGCTCAGGTGCCCTGTGGTGAAATAACTCTGCTGACCACAGGATTAGAATCAGCAACCTTCCGATCATGGCACTGTCCCCTAATGCACTGAGCCCCACACACCAACCCCATGCCGTTACATGATTTCTCACAAATCAAGAGAATACACATAATGAAAGATGCTTCACTGACCACGTGCAGCCAGAGCATTAGGAAGTTTACTCAGAATCGGAAACAAAATTTAGTTTAATGCCAAGTAGGTTGACGTTACAAGGAATTTTCTTTGGTATGGTGGTGCTGCATACAAAAACAACAATAAGTACAATGAGTAATAAAAGCAACAATTGCTAAGTACTACTCATTCGGCCAGGTGAAAAATAATGGACGTCGTACAACAATAGTTGATAATTCAGGAATTATTCCTAATGGTCAACCAAAACTGGAAGTACTTTTGAAGTTAGATAATTTGCTGTTATTCTTCAATCCAACTCCCAAACCACCTTTACAGATTTAGGTCGGGGGTGGTGGGGGCCAGGTCATCGGTCACAGCCCTCCATCTCTCTCCTTGTTCACAACATAACACTCACTACATAACCCTGAGGTGTGCTTAGGATCATTATCTTGTTGATTAACAAATGATTATCAGTCGCCGTGTCCAGACTTTTGACTAGTACACTAAGGGGCGACTATATTAGTTATACCTGCTTCTCCATCGTGTGGCTGGAACTGACTAATTTTCAGTGTGGTATGATTGTATTTTTAACAGTAACCCTGGGAAATAGCAGGGACTAAATAAGGTCAATGAACGGGTACTAGGCTTTCAGGAATAATCCTATGAAGAATCTGAATGTGTGCTTATCTAGCGGGATGCTAATACTAAGATGAATGTGTGTATCTTGGGTGATGGAATCGCTCACACCCGCCAGGCCAAACTGACCTTCGACTTGCTGTGCCGGATGAGGGCGGAAAGCAGCCGGTTGGACTCTCCCATCACTCCTGCGTGGTCCTTGGCTTGGCACCACTCCACCAGCCGCTCCACCAGCTTGGCATTGGTCCCCAACTGTTCGGCCGCATCCACTGGAGTGCGACACAGATGAAGGGAGCATAAGGGAATGCAGGGGGAAAAGGCAAAGGGTAGGATATAGGGGCCGACGTTCTACTGCGATCTCATAATGAGAGTGACGTCAAAGCATAACAGTCTTGAGGAACGGTGATGTAATAATGGAGCCCGGTGTGATACAACAATGGAATTACATCATAGTCAAGTCAGACAATATTGGAGACTGCGGTATGAGAATAATGGATTCACACATTAATGGAGAGGAGTGATGTAATAATGGAGCCAGCTCATTATGGAATTACATCATTATGTAGTCTGGAGTGACACAATGATGGGATCATATAATGTAGACAGGTGTATGTAATGTATCACAGTCTAGAGTGATGCAATAATGGAATCACATTATAATGAGGTCACATTCTGGAGTCTGCAGTGTCAGAATAATGGAGTCACATCATAATGGAACCTGGAGAGTTCCTGAGTAACACTACTACGCACACGTTTCCAGTTAACACCCCAGCACATGCGATTTAATACATTTTTAGAACCTATTTGTTCAGCCCACTTGATGGTGACTGTCCAGACGGGTAACCTTGCGTCCCTGCTCCCTCAGCTAAGCCCAGTGAGATGTCAGTATTACAGCCTCCTTAAGTCCCATTGCTTACTACAGCTTTCACTGCAATGGCTAAAATCTGCATTCAGTAATTAAGCTGTAAGTAAACAGCGTAAGACTCATTCCAGCAAGTGACAGCGAGGGAAGAGATGCATACTGTACACGCATTACCCCGTTACTATTACCCCTGCAAGACCAAAATAAAACAATAAGGAAGATGGATGGGTACTGCTCTGCAGACAGTTTTATTCAAAGTGACTTTTTACCCATTTATGCAGCTGGATATTATACTGGAAGAATTCAGGTTAATTAACTCAACTCGCCGCCTCGATAGCATGGCCTCTCCCGGGACGTGAGCCGATACCCTTCAGCATATCAGCCCATATCCTTAACCACCTGCTGCCATGACATGGTTCCTCAGACACCACGGAACGTGTAAATTCCCCTTCTCCCTTAACCTGGGGTGGAAAGCATTTCCCTTTGTCACCGCTCACAACAGAGAGAGATTTATCAAGTGCCTGTTTACTGTTAATGAAATGCCTTCAGCAGAATAAAAAGTGCTTAATCCTCAACAGTAAAATTAAGAAGAGCTGACACAGCTCACTGGACAGCTGGGCATGCGGAACAGGACACGGGGTGGGGAGGGCTGGGAATGTGCTTCAATAACAACACTTAAGAGAGGGCAGCGGCGTTTAGTCTGTGGCTCCTGCCAGCGATCACGGCTGCCTTAAACGCCTTATTAATTTTACCTGACATTACTATTATTAATAATGATAAAAGCGCTCATGCAGATTTGCTTTAAAAAGCAAACACTGTGTATTCCTTCCCACACAGAAGATTTATACGCCAGTGTTTTTTTCAAGTCTGCCATATCATGACTCTGATGGTCACCAAACAAACTAATTTATCAAATTACACATTTATTAAATATATGTAATTGACATTTGAGTACGATTACAGGTACACTGGAATGCTTCTTCTTACAGAAATATACAGAGGCTGGGGTTTGACTACAGTGTCAGGTCATTTATCCAGCGTCCCTCTGACTTTTTGTTGTTGTGTGTTAAGAATCCAAAAGACTTTTTGGGGGTGAGGGCAGCACGGGGTTAATTTCTGGATGGAGATTTTACGGGTGCAAATTGGAAAGTACACATACAAGTATATACGGCACTATTCTGACTCCATATTTTAGCCTAATTCTCAAGAGATGATACAGCAAAGAAAAAAGATCATGTATCAAAGGATGATGAAGCTATAAAAATCATGCTTTTTATACCCGTTTCTGGAATTTTAAAACTTTTTTTATGGACTGCAGTTAGACATGGGGGTCCCGCTGTATAAGGGTTGGGTAAATCCGTTTAGGCTAAAGCCAGGCAAACGCTGTGCATCCACAGTGTCTGGTCTTGCCCAGTTCATGTGGATTTGATTAATTTAAGTCACACAAGGGCACCTTAAATATGTGAATTTCTACAGCCATCTGCAGAGGGGGCCAGGCGTGACCCGGTGACAGCCACTGATAACTCTGGCACTGCTTTGCCCTCTCCATCATCCCCAAAGACACGTCTGAGATGTCACACTGCTCTGTTCCACGATGGTGACACCATATTGGCAAACAGACATTTTTCCCTCTGGGCTCTGTGACAGACATCTCAAATGATCTGAGTTCTGGTGTAACATTAAAACATCTCCATAACTGTTATGACTCCTGGATTAGGTATCTGAGACAGAAATAAAAAGTAAAAGAAAATAAATAAAAAATAAATAAATAAAAATCAATTTTATGCCATAAGACCCTGACAGATTGTACACACACACACACACACACACACACACACACACACACACACAGAGAGATTTGTATTCATATCTTTGTTGGGATTCTCTATTCATTTCTATGGGCATAACCCTAATCCCAACAATGACAACCTTAACCCCTACCCAGCCCTAACCTTAACCATAAGTAACCAAACAAAATACATGACATTTGGCATTTTTACTTTTTTGTTTGCAGTTACAGATTTTTATAAAGTTGAGGTTATCCTTGTGGGTACTGAAAAAATCCTCACAACTTACAGGTTATCATGTTTTGGGGAAATCTGTTCCCCACAATGTAATAATTACAAAAACACAAGTGTGTGCACACACACATAAACAGAATTGTATTCTTATTATTGTGGGGACCATCCATTTGTTTCTATGGACATAACCATAATCCTAAGTATTACAATCTAAACCCTTGACCAGCCCTACCCCTAACCATAAGTAACCAAACAAAATACTAGACTTTTGTCATTTTTAGTTTTCTGATTGCAGTCATATATTTTTATAAGATTGAGATTCTCTTTGCAGGGACCAAAAACAATGTTCCGCACAACCTCAAAGCAACAAGTTTTTATCACAATGTAATCTATACGTCACACCTACACCTACACCCACACACACACACATTCATGAAATGAATCAAGCATCCCTGGACGCCTTCTTGCCCCAAGGCACCATGGGAGCCTCACATACCCTGCGTGTCCACAAGCATCCGCAGCGTGCCCAGGAGCTTGAACTGCACGGGGGGCATTTCCGAAGGGAGGAACTTCAGCACCACATCTGCCACACCAGCTGCCAGCATCTTGGACTTGTTTACCACTGCGGGGGGGGGGGTGATGTAACAGGTCAGCCATATTGATTGCACTGTTTACACTTCTCGCTGATATCCAGCCTCAAGGTTAAGGGGTGCTCACCCGGGATGGCGAGGTTCCGCAACGCGCTGAGGGCGGCGTGCTGCACCGTGACGTTGCCCTCCTCCACGTGACGTTCCAGCAGCTCCAGCAGCCTCTGTACAATGCCAGTGTCCACCATGTGGATGCAGTTACCGTCTGGAGGAGGCACAGATAGCATCGTACACTGCATCATACTGGAGGCCTACGGCGTGCTACCACAGTATTTGCTGTGCGGTGTTACAGCCACACCCTTTACACATGCCTTTATGGCCACACAGCCAATGGCACGCCCACTTTTAGTCATGCAGCCAATGACATGTCCCCTTATAGCTACATAGCCAATGACACACCCCCTTATAGCCACACAGCCAATGACATGTCCCGTTATAACTATACAGCCAACGACAGGTCCCCTTATAGAGTGATGACAGTCTTCCCGACTTCGAGTCGTCATCACAGCTTGACTGCTTCTCTTCACTAAAGCTGCACTTTGAGGTCAGATTTGAAATTAAACTAAAGGCACCTGGCACCACTGAAAGGTTGAGACATGATTAATGACACCACTGCAGGCTCATTTCCAGCATAAAGTGATCCCAAATGCAGCTGGGGCACCGCCAAAACAGAGGGATGCCTTAATAAATGACATAACTATCTTCTGGCAAAACGGCTTCAGTAACACACAGCAAATATCCTACATAAAAATTGATAAAATGCGAATATAAAAAGCACTACTAAAAATAATAATTTCAAAATACGAATCACAAAATAAGCAAAATACAATTTATTTGGTATAATGCTACTCCCTGGCCATAAACATGCAGTGTGCACCATGTCCACCAGGGGGTGTCTTGCATTGATAGGATGGGTTGACAGGGAGGGGGAAAAAAAAAAGAGTGACACAGACATGGAAATTTGACATACATCTTATGTGAATTTAGCTCTTTATGCCTTACATCTAAAAAACGATTTTGGCTCATATATCAACTGTGGATTAACCAGTAATTAAGCCAATTAAGACAGAAGAATTGTGCTATGTTGGTATGAAATCCCAGGTACACATGGTAGATAACTCAGATCTGTAGCACTCTAGTTCTCAGGTATATCAGGGGAAATTAGGCAGGACAGGGCAGGCTCAGACAGGGCAGAATATGGCAGGACATGGCGGGATAGGGCGGGACACGGCGGGACAAGGCGGGATATGGCGGGACAAGGCGGGACATGGCGGGACATGGCTGAACAAGGCGGGACAAGGCGGGACATGGCTGAACAAGGCGGGACAAGGCGGGACAAGGTGGGACATGGCGCGACAGGCCTCTTACCATTACGGGCAAAGTTGGCAACAGCTAGTGCCCCAGCTAACTGCAGCTGGTGGTTGTGGGATGGGACCCAGGACAGGACCCGCTGGAACACGCTGCCTTTGCCTCCCTCAAAGAGCTTCTGCATGGACTCATCTGAAATGGTTTATTGAAAGGAAACAAGCACACAGTCAATCAGTAACTCTTACTACCTCTAAAACACTGTAGGCAGCTTTCTTGGCCAATCTGTCACATGCACATGTGGCGCGGGTGCGAGACCATTACCTACAGGAGACAAGCTTATTTTCTAAGCACACGTACATCTTACAACAGTTCCCGTTTAACGACAGGCAACATTCTCCGACAGGGTCCCTACTCGGGGGTGAGGCCGCAGCCCAGGGATTCCGCTCACCAATCCAGGCTCTGTGAGCATTCAGCGGGTCTCAGCAATCAAATCAGAATTACGGTCATCTTTGGGTAGAAAAATGGAGCACTTCGCTTTTAAAGCTGCCGTCAATTTATCGATTGGGCCATTTCCCACTCCGCGGCTCATTTTTTTTCTTGGAAAGTACCGTCACTCTCTACCTAAAGAAAGGCTTTAATTAATAAAGTGGACTGCAGGGACGTAGTACATTCCAGCAGAGCCAGTATCCTTATACGGCATAACTTTCATTTTCATTTTAATTCATCACCCAAAGCAAGGGACAATTGATTAAACAGGGTGTCAGTCAGTCTCTGGAGCAATCGGGGGTTAAGGGCCTTGCTCAAGGGTCCAACAGCAAAATTGCTTTGCTGACCACGAGATTTGACCAAGTGACCTCCTAATCACGGGCATGGCGTCCTAATGCACGGAGCCACGCGCCACCCCAAAGCAAAGCAGTCCTCCAACCCAAGTGTGAAGCAATATCCTAGTGAGGTCATCCAGAGCACACATGACATCACAGGCGACTCAGACATGTGGAGATGGATGCAGGTTCCAGCCTGTCCACAGAGGGGACTTCGCTCCTCCTCACCCCCCAGCAGCAGCAGCACCATGAGGTCCGAGGCCGTCTTCAGCTCGGCCACATCTTCCTCTCGCTCCCCGTCCACAGCCTGATCCACCAGCTCCAGCAGAAACTCCACCAGCCCTGCTTCCACCAGCTGCAACTTGATCACATCTTGGGTGCGGGGCGGGGGTGGTGGGGACAGGGAGGAGGAGGACGGAAGAGAGGAAGACAGAGCGACAGTAACAGTAAATCTAGTGATGCCACCATAGTGACCCCATCAGGCCTGAGCAAACAGCAGGCTGAGACACAGAGAGCCAGCTGGCTCAGGGCCAGTGCGTGCGGATCACAGGCAGACAACATAAACCTGAAAAGCTAATCAAACAGCCACCCTGCTCTCACTCAATCTCCCATAATTCTATGGGTCAGTCACCTGACCGACTGACCTGCTGGTAGGATCAGGCCAGTGTGAGATCTCGTGTTTGGATAAAGGCGGCACGGGCGTGGCTGACCACCCGGAGCAGTGCTGGCAGTGTGGAGCCTCTGGTCCGAACAGCACCTGTCACACCGCAATCCCACATTTCCCTAAGTGACTGCGACGGGACACGGGCAGCTCACCAGGCTGAGGGGACTGGCAGACAACCAGGGAAGATTCATGCTGGCTGGTGTGGGGAGAGAGAGAGCTTCCACAAAGCCGCATGCAAAGGAGGCTCTAAGAATGCTTTCTATTGGGGGGGGGGGGCATTATATGAACTGCTGAGAGCCTGACAGAAACCAGAATGCTGACACATCGGTTTAAACAGAACTAATAATTCTCTTCTAATGACAGATCCAGAGTCAGTAGGACTATTTAAAATAATCTACAGAAAAAATGAGACCTGATCACCAAAAATAAACTGGCAGAATAGCTGGCGGAATATAGGTTTAAGGGAAAAAAATCCAATTCAGTTTATCTGTTCTTTTATGCATTTTTTTCTTTTCCCACTGTGCAATGGTACAGTATACATAATATTTGCCTCATTGCCACAAAACCCATTTTCTATAGCCGCTTATCCTAGTCAGGGTCATGGGGGTATGGAGTCTATCCTGGATGCAATGGGTGTAAGGCAGGGAACAGCCCAGGATGGGGCACCAACCCATCGCAGGGCACAGTCACGCGCCAGTCACTCACACGCCAGTCACTCACACGCCAGTCACTCACACGCCAGTCACTCACACGCCAGTCACTCACACGCCAGTCACTCACACTCCATTCACTCACACTCCATTCACTCACACGCCAGTCACTCACACGCCAGTCACTCACACTCCATTCACTCACACTCCATTCACTCACACGCCATTCACTCACACGCCATTCACTCACACGCCATTCACTCACACGCCAGTCACTCACACGCCAGTCACTCACACGCCAGTCACTCACACGCCAGTCACTCACACTTCATTCACTCACACGCCGTTCACTCACACAGGCACACCTACGGGCAATCTGGTAGCTCCAATTAGCCTCAGCATGTTTTTTGGACTGTGAAGGGAAACCTGAGTACTTAGAGGAAACCCCACGACGACACGGAGCAAACTCCACACACATGGAACCATAGTGGAGACTTGAATAAAGGTCCCAGATGCCCCCAGTGACCCCCTGGTGCCACATGGCACCCCCCCCCCGGCACCAGGCGCCTTTCTTTGAGGAACAGAGGCTGCCTGTGGATTATGAGGTCCCTGATTTACTCTAGGGGGCCAAGAGAGATGAGCTAAACTTAGAGCTGATGACCCAGGATCCATCAGCTGGGGCGTGGAGTCAGAGAGGCTACAAGGACGTCTGGTGCGTAACGTTCCCTGGGCCGCCGCGGCACGGGAACCCAGGGGAGAGCTGCAGGAGGTAGTAAATGTGTCCGTCAAGGTGAGCTATAGCTGCCGGAGAGGTTTGCGGCGTGGTATCAAGGCGAACAAAAGGTCAATGTCTCCCAGGGCTGATGTGAAGGGCTTTTAAAACCAAAGCGAGAGTGAGTGCGTTCCTGAGAGCAGCCGACACGGCCGTGCAACTTTCACAGTCATTTACACGTCTATCCAGAACCTGCTCCTTATCCCACATCTTCATTTAGCAAACACACTTACAAAGACTACTTGCAAACCACAGCATGCAAGAATACTAAGTGTACATGATGACTGAAATTTTAAAGACAGGAACCTTGAGCTAGACTATATTTATACATGTGCATATCACATTTTTTTTGCTGGACAGTCTCGGTTTGGGAGTCTGCTGACCACAGACAGATGACCCAGTTATTGGAGAGATGGCCACCCCCGACTCTGGGACCCTGACTCACCATTCTCTGCCAAGGGGGCAAGAACCTCAAAGATCATCTCCTTCTTCTCGTGCTCCGCCTGTTTGCGGAACAGCTTGACCAACTCCTGAGCTATGTTGGTGGCCGCAAACTGTTCCTTGCTGGACTCTGCCATGGGACACAGCCAACAAGTTGTAAGTGCCAACCACGCTGATGTGTTATAGACAGGAATTAAAAACATGTTGAGTATACTGCCCCCCAAAGGCTAAACACAGTAGCTACACAGATGCTGAAACTGACAAGGGGGTCTTCTGAGTTTTTGAATGCCCATCCATATGTGCATTAAGTAGGTAAATGATAGTTTATCTTCAAAATCAAGCATAGCTGAACTAAGATTCTCTCATGAGATAAAATTAGAGACCTGATTATGGCCTAAGAGACCCCAATCAAGGTGATAACTCAAATTTGATTGAATATGCAATTACGGTGTTTTGCCTTTGTGGGGCAGTATAGCTTGAACTTTATTGCAGTTATGTTTGGGTTACAAAAATAATGTTGCTGCTCCTGGCCCGGTCTCGTAGACAGATAAAGGGGCAGGAGTATGGACATGCCCATCTGCAGGACCCACCCAGCTCTGCCAGGTTCCCGAAGGCGATCAGGCACATCTCAGTCAATGCTGTGTTCTGCGAGTGGATGCCCAGCAGCTTCACCAGCGTGGGAATCACGCCCATGTTGATCAGCTGGGCCTGCAGGGAATCTGAAACAAGACGGGCAAAAGCGGTGGGTCTGGCGCCCACGTTGCCGGGCTGCACTGAGAAGCAGACGGAGGGTTCTGCCAAACCACTGACAACCCGCCTACTGTGTCGAAAACAACAGGGATCACAGGTGTTAGCATGTGCAGACGCACACAAGGAAATGGGGGTGAATCCCATGTTAGCGTTTGACAATCTACACACAAGGACACTTGGAAGGCTTCCCCAACCTCTTACTTCCCAGTTACGATCAGCAGAAAGCCGAACAAAGAGCAGAGGATGGCAGGGTAATGAACGGGAAGGGCAGAAAGATGCAGATACTTCAGCAAACAGAAGCAGGGACTCATTGAATACTGAATCAAATGGCTGACTGATTAGTGAAGTAATATAAAGAATGAAGCCACGGGAGGAGCTATATACAAGCATGCTAGCCAGTTAAGACGATTCGCAAACTAAAGACCCCCGAGTATGCAAACTGGGCTGTGAAGGCTTGGGAACAGAGTCTAGACGGCTCACTTCGATGCACACGACGCATCCGGCTGGGTGCGGTTGATGTATCCCGCCTTATCCCCATAATTTGTCAAGCAATCTGTTGAGCTATTTTACCCGAATAGTGAATAAAGCAGCGTTGCATGCTGCTATCGCCATAAATGCGTAGCTAAAGAGCTCTCTCTACACCCTACAGAGAGGTTGACTGTGCTGAAGTCTTTGCGGGTCATTTTTGTGTCCTGGATCTCTGCCGGCAGCCAGGGCAGCCTATGCTCTCCTTATACTTCAGAAAACATTTAAATTTAACAGGGTGATGAACGAGGCCCCTGCAGAAAACGGTGCCTGCACAAGCAGCCATTGCCCCAGCTGAAACACCCTGCCGTTAAAGACGGATGGGATATCACAGGCGAGATGCTCCACCTCCCCCCATGAAAATGGCCGGGTTTTTCCACCAAGCAGTGAGGGGAAACGCTCTGGCGTCTTGTGCCAGTGTCAAGGAAATCAGGGTACCTTCAATGGACAATCTCATCCAGAGGAGTGGCCAACAGGGAAATCGCAATGACAAGTCAGAGTGAGCTTCAAAGACGAGTGCAAAGAAAGAGGTCACATCCTATCCTTTTCTTAATGCCAAGCCACATTGTCCCAGGATAATTCAACATATCTCAGGGATTAAGACATCAGCAAGGGGCAAAAGGAAGATCCTGAAGTGGAGAGAGAAGGAAGAAATAGTTAGTTTGACTCAGACAGGAAAAGATACAGGAAGGGAGGGGAGAGAAAGCCAAATCTAAAACTAAAAGGAACAACCATTCCAGAAAACAATTTTTTTCCACACTTCACTGCTTTCAAAACCTGCTACCATACATGCTATATAAGACACCGTATTTCATGTAGTAATGTGACCAGCTATCAGTGTAAGCAAAATCAGCAGAGCTCCTCAGTGTAGGAACGGGCATGCTGCTGGCCAACACTCCTCCAGACCCCACAGAACAGGACGTAGATCTTTCTGCAGCAAGTCCATCCATTTGCTCTCAGGCCTACAGAACACCGACTCAGCTAATGCTATGCTGTCAGGCCTGGAAACCAGCCCAGTGCACTTAAATTTAAGGATGACAGGGCATCGTTTTCTTTCCATATAATCCCAGATCCAATAAGAACGAAGAGAGCGTTTACCATCTTTGTTCTTCTTTCGTGTGTTTCACTGATTTAATTGCTCTCTTTCTCTTGTTCTGAATTAGCTACTTCTGCTATTTAAATGTGTCCTATGCCAATGGTGCAGGCTTGATCCCAGTCATTCTGCGAGCAACCGCTGCACTGTTAACTCGGGCGACGGGCTGTATTTACAGACCTAAATCAATAACGCAGTCAGAAGAAGACGGAGAGCGAGAGCATAGAGTGAATCTCAGAGGAGAGCCAGAGACCAGCTGGCGGAGGGAGGGGGGATCAGTGCAGTGTAGTATTGCGTTGTTAGCAGGCATCGTTACTCAAGGTGACACATGCGGCTTACAACTGAACACATCTTGCCATCAACGCAGCTGGATGCCGGACTTATGCAGCAGGAAAGCGGATTTCATACCTGGAAAGTACAGTGACTTTTACTCACTCAGAGGTTGAACGTTTAATCACGGATACAACTTCTTTACGGCCTGTACTTCACTCTAACCTCTGCGGCCGGTGTCTAAATTAAACCGGCGGGCATGCAGGGTCTCAAGGTGTACTTGCACGTCAGACCTTGGAGAAAGCCATCCCTGCTCATTTATGGGCGGCCTGACTGCATGACTGTACAGAACTGAGAAACGAGAGCCTGAGAACATGACACCCAGGAGATGGGGTGGGTGAGCAGCCAGCGGACGAGGCAGCTTTGACGCCACATACTAATGGCTCACTTTCTGTCCTCTAGCCACATTTAGGGTACTGCAGAAGCATTTCGACTACACTATTGTGTATACTGAAGGTTATCAGCTAAGCTGGAGTAACCATCAAAGATAACATGACTGGCTGTGTACATACTTCTATTGACTGGCCACTTCTCCCTTCAGGATCTTCATACCAAACTCTTTATAGGTGCCCTGTTTTCTCCCACAATCGTCAAACCCCCAGCTGTGAAAACAATGGCCTCTTTGCCCAGCCTCTGATTATTAGTAAATGTTGCAGAAGCGCTCCAATGAGGCCTAGATGGCTAGCTATTGCTATCAAAAGCTGCTACTATCACACATGGACTTGCCTCTTTTTCAGAGGAAAATCCCCTCTTAAGCTGCAGAAATGGAAAGAACACAGAATTGTTATTCACAGAAATGTGACTCGTGAGATTTTTAATCTGTATCTTTAATTGGTAACAGTCTAATCAAGCCTCATTAGGGAGGATGCTGACCGGAAGTAGAATCAGCACTTGGTGAGAACTACAAGAAACTCATCCCTGTGCATGAATGGATTGCTGAATTTGCTCTGCCACACCAATCACAAGTGAATGGGTTGAGGGGGTTTCATAATGTACATTTTACTGTTGTGCATCTTAGGTCTCTCAGAAAAACATATTTAAACACAAACCTAAACCCAATTTAAACTGGATCATTCAGGGCATGATTAAGCCCAGTTGAGCTTCACAAACTGAACAGTTTCACTTGTAAAACAACAGCATTTAATGTTTTGAATGAAATATTTGATTTAATACTGGGGCACAGTCCCCAGCATCTTCAACCTATGTCTTGTTTGCAGCTCTGGAAATATTTAAGAGATCACTCTATATTTTTAAAAATCTGCATTTTAAATCCTAGTTTAATCCCGGTCTTGCAGGCAGAAGGCTACACTGTGAGGAAGGCTGCTTCCAGGCTCAAAGTTTCTAAAACAGCAGGACACAAGAACAAGGTGAAGCAGGAGACACTGGCAATGACCAAAAACCAGCCAGGTAGAGGGCAGAAGCGACTTTCTAATGGCAGAGATGACAGTCAACTTATCCAGCAGTGCCTCATAAATTGCAGGATGACATCAAGTGACCTTCAAAAGGATTGGGAAACATTAAGTGCAGGTGTGAAGTGCACTGTCCTAGAAGCAGGACTGAAGTCCCAGAAAGCAAGGAAGAAGCCCTTCATTAATGAGAAACTGCAGGTTGCAGTTTGCAAAAAATATATATTATGCATAGACACATAAATTGAGAAATGAGTGAAACCAAAAATGGTGCTGTGGTCTCTTAATTTTTTCCAGAGCTGTATATGTATTTTTAACGGAAAAGCAAACATGACCTTCCTCAGCTTCTTGAATACAGTAGCGGCCTGAAATCACTTTCAGATTCCCTACAGACTCCTGGACGATGCGATGGAGCCACTCACACATTCCCCCACAGCGATCCCACAAGCTTGGGGTTTAACAGGAACGCAGAGAATGATAACTCCGCACGCAAGGCCCACGGACATTAAACTGGGCAGCGGCTGGCCATAAATAATCCAGAAAAGCTCAATTAAAAAAAAAACAGCCCGAAGGCCGCGGAATTATTTAAGACGAGAGCTGCTGCTGACTCTATGAAAGCCCGGCACTGAATTTCATCCATCACAATGGACGTGTTCGCAGATGCCGATAAATGGTCCTCCTCAGAAATCAAACCGAGATGGCAGAACGTATTCCAGAATGAATCAGCCGCCTGAAGCACAATAATACTTCTTATGTAACCCTTATTATGCATTCAAACAATGGCCGCGGGTTCGCGGTATCACTGAGCACAGAGCTCTTAATGCCTTAACACCTTGTGGGCTCCGGTTTGTTATTTTGGGGAGGTGTGGGATGGGGGAGGGGGGTCAAATATGAAAATGAAAGACAACTGGAGAGAGATACATAAATTATAACCACTGTGGTAACTCCTCACTGCAAACGCATGGAATTACTGGGCTGGGTGTAAATTAGGGCCGAAACCACGAGACATCCACCCCCCAGCCATGTGTGACATGAAACCTCACTGCAGACCACTCAGGATAAATATGAGCACAGACTGCCGTCGTGTGAAGTGGTCCTAATAGTTCACACTATCATATACAGCAGCAGATGACGCAAGCAACAATAAGCCTTTCCCTGCTTTTGCAGGCATTTGTATCACAGACATTCGCACATCTAGACAGCAGACGATCTTTGTGCAGAGTGGCATGATCCGTGTCAGAACCTGTCTCATTGTGCAGTTAATGTCAGTCATGACCTTTGCGTTTTGGCCGCATCAACACTGCATGAGTAGTACTGCGTAGTGAATGTCCTAACACTGGTCTCGGCTTGAGGACTCAGGCACAATATTAAATGCTTGGCATTCAATTCTCATTTATTAAATTTTTAGCAGGCAGAAAGCCTTGGACACCTCAGGAACAGATTTACGAGGACCCGAGCGCAGCAGGCTGCCGGGAGGGAGTGTTGGCAACACTGCTATAATGCACAACGCTTTGAGTGACAGGAAGGTGCAAGTGCAGGCTTGAGATAGACACACAGTAGGCCGCACAAGAAGCAGCAAGCGCCCACTGTGCTTTAAGACCAGAACGCAGTTACGAAGCACGGAGAGCTGGGAAGCAGACCGTTAGTAACCGACCACAGGTGTTGACCTGCCAGCCATTTGCCTCACATTCTCATCAGCACTGATACTTCAGTCCCCACTCCAATACGTATCGACATACACATTCAAACGAAAAGAGAGGGCTCAATGCTGCCCCCTGTGGCAATTTCATCACAATACATTCATCCAACAGACCTCCATCTGACAGACTGACAATACCACAATCCTATACAAGGTTAAAGCATCTAAGATTGTTTTGTTTCTTGTTCGTTCGATTGATTTTGCGGGGTTGTTTATTACCATTATCATTGCTATAGTTCATCAGCATGCCACAAAAGACAGTCAACAGCTTCCCATTGGCCGGCTCAGTATTTTGGGACAGTGACTGTAAGTGTTCAGCTACTAGCTTTGCACCACCCGCCAGGTCAACTGCATTCCTGCCCTCATCTGCAAAACAAAGAGTTCAGGTACAAAACAAGACAAAAAAACAGGCACCTGCAAATCAGAACAGAAAACAGGAGCATTAATAAATCAAAGGCAAAAAGTATCTTCACAACAAATAAATGAATGGAGCAGCCAGAACAGAATACAGTAATAACGATCTTCGTTGTTACTATTTTGCTCAATAAAAAGTAATAATATTCAAATCAGTTAAAGCAACATAATCAAAGTGAATGGAGTAGAACCTCAATTAGAGCTCAAGCGAATTAATCACGGCTAACTGGACCATCGCTCCATCTTCGCTTTTACTGAAATTGTACAACCTTCACCTGTAGCAGTGGTGACTGATGAGTAAAAAAAGCTGAAGATAATATACAGTGGTACCTCAGAACTCGAAATTAATCCGTTCAGAACTCCGGACCGAATCCTAAAAAGTTTGAGTTCTGATCGAATTTTCCCCATAAGAAATAATGGAAAACCAATTAAGTGGTTCCCGGCACCAAAAAATTACACCGAAATATGTTTTTTTTTTTTTTTTAGCATTTAAACACAAAATGAACCGGACAAAACAAGAAAAGCATATACTGTATTAAGACATTTAAGCACATTTATCAAAACAGTAATTTTTTAAGTAAGAAAATAAATGTATCCAAACAATGTGTGAAGTTAAAAAAAAAAATGTCATGCCCCGATCATCCGTTCCTTCTGTGTGCCACGCCCCCTCGTTAACCCCGAGTGGAATCCCCGTGTGATCAGCTGTTTCTGGTTGTTGCCATTAGTCTGTATTTAGTCCGCGTTTCAGTTTGTTTTCCCAGTCGGCTCATTGTATTGTCCGTCTGCGTTTTGCCTGCCTTACCTGTAATTAAACCCGTATTCCCCGATACCCTGACGTCTGCGCCTTTGTCTCCGTTCCGTCCCCGCTCGGCACAACAATGTTATAATTAAATGTATTAATGGTTTATTATTAATATTAAAATAATTCATAAGAAATCTTTATTTTGAAATGTATTTTATTAAGTAATAATAATTACTGTTACTGTCTATCATTGTCTAAATGTATTTTTACTGTCTAAATATATGTATTCAGTTAGTGTAAACATGCACGATGCTATCACAGCGAATGCGAGGCTGAGACTGAAGCTTTATCCTATGTTTCCGCTGAGAGACGTGCTGCGTGACTCACTTCCCTGCGCGTATTGTACAAGTTATCTTAGGTCTGCCTTCACAGTTTGACTTCTGAGATTCAGATCGAGTTCTAGGTACTTTTTTTTTTTTCAAACTTCGACTTAAGAAATTCGAGTTCTAATGAGTTTGAGAACTGAGGTACCACTGTATTTTACAGAATTACAGTAGCAAAATTTTCCCAAGAAGAGAGATATTTTTGACTAGTAATGAAATTTTAGCAATGAGTTGTTTCAAAGTTGCTTGCTTCATAACTTAATCTCAGAAACAGATAAGGCACTAGCTTCTCTGCTTCTATGGACCAGCCCACTCTGATCTGTAGTCTGTGGTACTGGGAATCTGCTCAGTTATAGCGCTTGGGGCCAGAATCTCTGTATAAAGAAAAAGACAAAAATTGCTCAACCTAGGCTGCCTTAGACCACTGCCAAGTTTAGAAGTCAATGAATGGACCAAACAGTAGTATCCAATGTGGCGCATTATATTATGTTATATCTATTAACTGTACTTATTAAATCAATAATTGAGGTTCTACAAATAATAAAATGGTATTCAAAAATAAAAACAATCAAAAACACAAGAAAAGCATAAAACAAAATTTACCTAAACACTCCCAACTGTTGCATAACATTATGCAACACAGTGAGAAATATTGTCACTTTCTATGTAAAATAAGACATTGTTCCATCATAAATAGCACCTCCGAAGTTCAGTATGCAGGTAACAGAGGTAGATACATCAGGTCCAGAAAGTAAAAATCCAGATATATTCAACTGGTTGGTTGAAACAAATTCTTGGTCTGGATTTTTACTTTCTGGACCTAAACTATCCAGAACTGGTGGGTAAGCAATTCTGCTGCTTCCCATGCTGAACTTCACAACTGGCATGAATAAAATATATATGCATTTATATGTATCTACCTATTTGACTTTTCTGTTGCATAGCTTGACAGGTGTCATCATCCACAATGATTCGGACACCTAGCAATACCATAGTTAAATATCAGTTTGACCTGTTTTAGGGAAGGACTTTGGGATAACTGCCACACTCAGGGTAACACTGCAAAATCTGCTCCTGGATTTTAACGACTCTTCGGTAAAGCGTCGTTTTACGAGCTCGGCTCCTCCGTATTTCCTCCATCTGACCACAGAGAATGAGCGGGTCTGTGGCGAGCAGGTGGACTGCAGAATACCCACCAGCGCCCAGCCTGTCCTCCTGGCCCACTTTGGGCCCGTACACCTGACCACCTCCTGGCAGCGTGTGATGGCGCCGTAATCCTTGCCCAGCGTGGGCAGACAGCTATCGGGACCTGGGCTCCCGTCTCAGACAGCTGTTGTCCCGACACGCTCGCCCCCGGTGCCGTGGCGTGTGGCCAGCGGCTGCTGTTGCCACGGGAACATCTTGACAGCTCAGGGCCAGACGGTAGCCCAGCTTCACCTATCCACACTGCCCGGCCGTGCACTGGATTAGCTCATCGGCGCTAACGGGAGGCCGGGCGCTAACGGTGCCCTTCAAACTGTACCGATTCACAGCAGCCTGCTTCTCTGTGGTCCTGTGGAGCTCAGCACCAGCAAGGTCTGCAGGGTCACCTCTGACGCCACTGTGGCTTCTTTGCCACTTTCCCTGCTTGCTTCCCCTGCCTGACCCTCTCCTGTATCCACGACAACTCCTGCATTTTCATTCATTTATTCAACTGGAAATTTACCGGCACCGAGAATCGACTGCCACAGGGTCACTCGCCCACACCCTGACCCCAGCCCTACTCACCTCCCGCCAGGCGCCCCCCTGCTGTCTGACTCCTCCCTGCTTCTTCAGCTTCAGATTTAACAAAAAAAATCCCCATCTGGCAGTGGGCAGAGTAACTCAATCACCCAAAAAAAAACAATGTCCTTGGGGCAATACTCCATTTTGTCAATTTATGGCAGGCCTTAAACAAACCACGGATCAGCCTGAATCATCATCGGGCTTTTGTGTCGTATCATTACCTGTAATGAAAGCTAATAGTGGAACAAAGACATTTAACTATAGCCACTGATTATAAGTAGTTTCCTTAAATATACAAGAACGGATCCAGCTTCAAGGATTCAAAATGACCACCGTATGGTCACAAGTCTAGCTGCCTAACCACTCACAGCCATCAACAGTAAACCATCTGCTTACTGGCCTGGAGCCTTCGGTGGTTGTCATGATGGGGAGGGGGGGGGAGGTTTCAGGAAAGGGGGGTTCTGGGGGTGTCACTTACGGCTGTCATAGCAGATGTTGCCCAGGGCCCGGCCCGTCTGGAGCAGGACTTCCTGGTCTTTGCAGTGCAGCAGCTCCACCAGCGGGGGCACTAGTCCAGCGTCCACACACGGGCCCCGCATGAACTCTGTGGATGAATGTATTGTCAGCCGGCCCGTCAGAAAAAGAGAAAAGCACCGTACTAATAAGAGAACATCGGTCAGACAGAGGACACAATAAGTGATACGCAGAGAGGCTGGCCACCCGACCTACAGCGGCAGCATGCAGAATAGGTAGGTGCCGCCGCAGTTTTATTTTATATCGACTGCGTCTCTCAGGATATTACACACACTGAAAGCAAGTGAAAGAACCGCAGTTCAACAGAGGACGCATCAATCCAGAGAAAGCCAATACGAAACCTGCTTCTTCATAAATCAGGCTTTCTGCAATAAATGGTAATGCTGTGATACTGCTCGCAGTTGGATGCCTTTATTATAATACCACTTTGTTCTTAATAAATCCTGTTCTTAAAAAAAAAAAGCATAAATGATCTTATACTAACATTCCATAGGAACGTGGCTTCAAGAATGTACAATCGAAATTCTGGGATATGAAACTGATGGGCAGCTTTGTAAATTAACACTGATTTAGACCAGCTATTTACATGGTTTTATTGTGGGCCAGCACCTAGCATCAGTACATACCCTACCACTGCTCTTATTCGAACCAGGCCAACTCAAATGCATTGTTCATCTTTCATTTAGTCCATAAACACAAATGCATGTGAATAGACAGAGACAGAATTTTCAGAAAACACCCAGAAAACACAATTGGCTGGTGTATGATTGATCCATTAATTATTCATCCCAGAAGATCATTATTGAGTCAGAGCGAAATGGACTCAAAAAGTTGAGGCTGGTTCAGCCACCTGGCCACCTCCCCACTGCTTCTCCATTTTACACGGTGACTGGAATGGAGTCCTGGAATGGAACGTTTCCCCTTGATTTTCTGCCTGATATGGTCACTTTGCAATTGCAGAGCAGATCTGGCTGCTATCTGAACCCACACCAGAAGCAGCAAGAACAGCAGAAATCAGGGAAAAAAAAGAAAAAAAAACATCTCTATGCATCTGTAGGAGGCGCTAATGTGCCATCAGCATCTCTCATAAGGGAACCTGCAACGCAGCTTTGCTCAGTGGGAGTGCAAATGAGTGAAGGTCAGCGGTGTGTGACTCAGCAGATTAGGATCTCCGCCCAAGACTGGAAGGTCGCCGGTTCAAATCCCATGGTCACCAGAGAGACTTCATTGTTGGGCCTTTAACACCAACTGCTCCAGGGACTGGCTGGTCCATCGCTTTCCTGTCCCCATCAGCCCTCCATCCAGGTCCCCTGTTTAGTATGCTGCCCTCCATGAGTCTCATGAACCTCTGTGTGTGGTCTGTAGTGCCCCTTCCGAAGGGGACAAACACTGACCAAGAGGCACCAAGGCGTACTTGAAGGTGCCTTGAATGACACGGCCAGCCTGCCTTTGCTAGATGACGTCCTCCTCATGCTGCCTGACACACACACATTACGCTGCCTGGCAGCTGTGTCCAATTTATTGACGCTACAGCTGTCCAGTCACCAGCCTTAATCACCCACCTTCACGCTTCTAAGACAATCGCATCAAACATCTGTAAATATCCCTGGCTCACCAAAACGACGCTCGATGCTTAGAGGCTGAGCTTTTCGTGTCTGTCTGCCAGCTTTCAGGTATCAGAACGTCCCGGCCCACTTTCAGCCTGGTTAATGTCGCCACACGCCGGGCAAAAGCCATCGATGCGGCCAGCTCTGGGCATCGAAACGGCACTGATCCCGGCTCAACCCGACCAGGCAGGACGCCAGCGGGAGACCGGATCAGGAGACCATGTATGTGTGGCGGAACGGCGAGTTAGCACAGACAGACGAGCCCCAGCTGTGTTCAGATGAGCTAAAAGACCACACTGGCCACAGTGCATGAAGAACTGCTTTAATGTTCAGCTGCTATCTGCCACAATCACTGCAAAATCCAGACCACAGAGTCTCCCCTTCATCCCCTGTGCACAATGTAGAAATTATATAAAAAATTATAATTCTTATTACCACCAGTACTGACTGATGGATGCCTTTACTGAACAAAGTAAATCACATAAATTACTATTTTTTACCCAATCTTACAGCCAGATATTTTACTGACGAGAAAGAAACTGATTGTGACTACAGGTCAATATACGTTGCTTCATTCTCACATGTCATTTACGTAGCAGACACTTTTATCTAAAGTGACACATATTTTAGGGAAAGCAGAATCAGCTGCTCCCTGGAGCAACTGGGGGTTAAGGGCCTTGCTCAGAGCCTAATGGTCACATCACTCAGCCAAACCTGGGATTTGAACCAATGACCTTCCTATACTTAAAATAAATAAATAAATAACGTGGGGATTCAGAGTTTAATTTCCTCGCCTTCTACACAGAGACGATTATTAAGTCACAAATATAACATTCCTATAGGTTTTGCTATCTTGTCAGGTAAACAACAGGGTGTCTCGCCTACACCTGAAGCCGCCTGTAGGGGGCACCGTCGTCATGACAGTACATGACACCTTAGGCAGATGCATGCTCTGATCTCCAGCACGGGCTGACAGGCGATGGCGCAGCTTCGACACATTTCTTCATGCGCTACAGACAGAGGGAGCAAGTCTGCCACGATCAGTGAGTGGTGGGCAGTATAGCTCTCATGCTGTACCGTCTGTGCGCAAAGCCCCTTCCCATCTGGCGTCAGAAAATCTCGAGGGGGCCACATCAACTCTCCACCAAAATGGCAGAAGTGAAGAGAGTAAAAAAAAAAAAAGAGTGAAATGCAGACGGGCAACGGATCTCGAGATAAGCCTGTGTTGGCATGTGACATGAGGAGGGCTCTCATCCACTGTCAAACCTCTCACTGTATGGTGACACAAAAAGGCCCATTCTGCACCAGAAAGCACTATATCCACAAACTCAAGACACAGACATAGCAAGCAGCACTGCCACAGCGACTGCCGAGGTCACTCCGGGAAACCTACCGTTTTTCGCCACCTCGGCTATGACGTTGGCGACTTTCGGGGCACAGGGACATGTGGGTTCCAGCAGGGGGGGCAATAGAGGGAGCACCCCCATCTCCTGTATCTTCTCGCTGGTCTCCACACCTGCGGAGTGGGGTGGGGGTATATAAGAGTGTGTGTACCACGCCACATCCAGGATGTATTTGCTCATGCACCCATGTAGGGCAAGGAGAGGAAGGAAATGAGTTAAACATAACTGGAAGCTCACAAACGTAAACAAACAAACCCAAATTTCTCCAACCACAGAACCCCCATATCAAAAAACTAAAACAGATTCACAGCTACATACACAGGAATGGCCTGTTAGCCACACACACACACGCGCGCGCACACGCACACACACACACACACACACACAAACACACACACAGACGCACGCATCAATCTGCAAAATCCAGCTCAGAGATCCCGGACTCGGTGAGTAAAGCCGTTCGCTCTTCGCGATAATGCCGATCTTCCAGCCTATTTTCTTTCCCATCCATCCTCAGTGCTGACACTGGGATCCAGAGGGAATCCTCACGTTCCGCTGGGAGAGGATTTATCGGCGTGCGTACGATCAGCCATTGGGGACGCCCATCAGCCCGCAAAAAGCCCACCGCTATCTGCCCATCCCAATCTCGGCCCAGAGGCAACTCAGTATCACGCGCCATGCTCTAAGCGGGTGCTTTCGTTCGTTAACATATTTTACAGCTGTAAATGTTACCATCTATACGACTATTTCTACATTTAAATAGCTAGCTAATTCACTGAAAAAAACCTTAGCACCTTTATAAACGGTGCCAGCAACACAGAACCTCGAAGGACCAGGAAGCATAACATCTCAGCCAGCGGCCTGACGCCCTGACGATGATGTCACCCCACCTCCAACGAGGCGGGGGGATGGCAGCACAGGCGGGAACGCAGTCGGCGGCCCCGCGCCGTTTGGCCGGGAACCGACCTCATGTACCACTCTGCCTGCCAGAGCCGCCAGGACCATCCCGGAGCAGTCCTCCAGGGGCCCAGCAGGACCTGGCCCGTCCTTCTGCCGCTCGGGAAAAGGGATGGCGGGGGAGGGCCTCTCCTCACTCTAAGCGGGCGTCATAGCCGTTTGTGAGCTCGGCGTACGCAGACCCGTGTTCCTGCTTAGTTCTGGACACGGACCGAGATTCCAGACAAATCAGGGGCTATTACAGTCACCCCAGCGGTACCATCTGCACTAACACCCATTCTCAGAACTCTTCAAGGTACAGATACATGGAACCCCACCCCCCGCGCCCCCACAAAGCACACTCTTCTGGCCTGGCACAAATATTATTTCACTGACGCAGGTTCCCAAAACAGATTACACAACCCATCATCGTTTTCAGTTGTATTTTAGTAAACACATTTTTAATCAAACTGCTCCATGTGTAGGTGCTGTGTTGCCCTCTAAACAGAAAAGCTAAAGAGACCACTGCTGTACGTGGCAGGAGCCAATAACAGGCTGCAATGAAGCAAAGCTGCTGTAGATTTAACCAATAGCTAACGATCTTACAGGAAGAGCAGTTCATGATTAATATGATATTAATATTTGGCTAGAGTGAGTGATATTTTCCTTTTTCCAGCATTGTTGGGGGGGGGGGTTGTATCTGGAGAGGCGGTGGCCTCTGGTGACCTGTTTGAATGAGAATTTACAAGGATTGGCACCAAATTAATTCAAGAAGTTGTTGACGTAAAACTCAATTCTACTGCAGCCACTAATCTAAACCGGACAAGCTAATTTCCTAATGGTACTGCATTAAATAAATAAGAGGAGTTAAGCTGTATATCACGTAGAAACGTGGGAGTATTATGGGCTAAATGTCACCTAGCGATATTTCCATACTAAAGCACAGTTAATCCCAATGAAGCTCTTCAGACTAAACAAACAGTAAATGCAGCACTACCATAGTGAATACTGGGGCGGGGCTCTGTAATCACCATTATCTAATCACTAATCACCGTTATTTATGATGATACTGTATTTACAGTTTACATACTGTGGCTTGTCACCCTGACTTCACTATTGATTACATTGAGCCGTACAGTTTTTCTTCCCGTACAGTTCCGTGTAATTTCCGACGGGGGGGTGTTTTATTACCATAAATGGCTCCCTATCTAACACTAAGCAGCCAAGAAATACTTCACTAATGAATGCTTAGCATTTTAAAACATTATGCAAAGGAAGAAGCAGGGAGGAACTGCACAGAGAAAGCCTTGGTATTGCACGCCTCCCACATGAGTGGTGCACAGAAGCTGAGCAGACGGAATCTTCCGGACTCCCGCGGGTGGGGGTCGCGACACAGCCCCGGTGCAGAGCCAGGGGTCGCACTTACTGTTGTGAGCCAGGGCTTTCAGCAGGCAGTCCAGGCAGCCTTCCACGCTCTCGCCGGCGCCACTGGACGAAGATGCCAGCTTCAGCTGCTTGAGGGCTTCGCACAGGTTGTCCGCTGCGGAGGCACAATGAGGAGACTGATAAGTAGAGGGGTCAGAGGTCAGAGGCAAAGGGATGTAAACACAGAGAAGAGGCTGAACAGCTACATGATGAATGACAGTGGGTGTAGAAACATAAACGGAACTATATAGCCCTGCAAGTCGTACAGACGCACAGTGAAATTCACAGAATTTCGATGATTCAAGTGGCTCTCAAGGAGTATGTTACCTGGGTAAAAACCAGGGGTTTGTATCACAAAGCAGGACTTCTAGCTTAACTGGATTTAAGATCCCCCAATTTAAATGGACTTTTTCTTTATTCCCTTACATCTCACCCAGACTACCTTAAATCCGACGAGTTATCCAGCTAAGCAAGAAATCCTGCTTTGGCATACAGGCCCCGGTAATATCAAAACTAGTACAAAGTATACTCACTCATTATATTTTACTCTGAGGCATACACTTAAAAAATGACATAACAAATTAGAAAACTAACTGCAGTGAATCATTTCTACAGGTCATAAGTAACTATACCTGTGGGGGTGGGGACTAATTAATTTCTGGAAACTTAACTTGTTTGGGAAAAACACTGAAGTATCACTGGGAATAATACTGTTAAAAATAGAGGGACTACCGAGCAAACAGCAATTAACACCCGGCCAACGCTCCCTTGACCCTGGGGCCGTCGGGCCCCGTGGCGACGGCAGCCAGTGGTCAGAGCAAACCCGAGGACACGGCAAGGCGCCCCAGCACCAGGACAGCCGGGCCGGCTCAGCTAAAAGCTCTGATCTCCGGCAGAACGCATTAAAGAAAGCGTGGAGCGGGGAGACAAGACCGGCTCCTTCAACAGCGGCGTGCAAATAACACGGCCAGGGTGAAGTGAGCAGCAGGAAGGAGATCGAAACGAGTCCTGCAGACTCTTCAAGTAATAAATCCCGCCCACAGGATGATAGCCTTGCCATAGACACCCAACCCCTCTGCGGTCACATCACCCCTCGGTGGCTGCAGGGCTGGGCCTCCGCCGCCACCCCATGAACCCCGGGAGCGTAACCAAGCGAGCGGCACCGTCGCTGTCTGGCCACGTCTGCTGCCAGACGGAAGGAACGGCCACCGGCAGCAAACAGCCAAGCATATTTCCATCATCCATCCATCTATTAGCAGGGAGGCAGGTTCGTTTGTTCAGAGAGGCACAGAGGATTCCGGAAAGAGCTGGATATCCACGTCACGTCTGGGGTAATCAGGAGACATACTGCCACCTGGATGGCGTGTCCTCGGACTGGGGAAAGGAAACAGGACCTGGAGGAACCCGACCGGAAGATGGGGACAGCGAGCCTGAGAAGAGTCGGAACTGGATTCACTGACACACACCATGGAAACAGGGGACATAAAAGCAGCATGCAGCTACTGTAATGTATCTAATAGCAGATATCTTAAAAACTACAATTATCCCGAGACAGGGGGTGGGAGGGACGATCACTGTCACCCGTTTGATTAGAGCGTGTAGGCCACATTCTGTCCCCCATGTGCTCTGCTTCATTCGTTTACGATTCTGGCGTCCATATCATTCGGCGCAAAAAGCAGAGGAGTGAGCAACATGAGCAGCTATACAGCATTTACGTTATGCTGGCATATTTCAGGAAATGGGCCTGTGAGTAGCAGGCTGCTGTTACACCGCATTTTGGGCTGCAACTCAGCTTATATCCCAGGAGGGGGGGGGGGGTCTAGTCACTCACCCCAAAGCAGGCTGTCTCATTCCACGGGGCTGCTGGCTGAGGCTGCATGGGGGCCCCGTGTGACGCAGAGCAGCTGCCTGCGGCTGACTAACCATTTAGTCACCTGACCCAGAAGGTTACCCCATTACACACAAACCATCGCAGCAAAAAAAAAAAAAAAAAAAAAAATTTTAAATCCCAGTTCCCCCAATAAGCTGGTGCATGTCTGACAGAGCAACCGTGAATAGGAGTGTGATCCCCGGATCAGAACAATTGCCTGGGGCGGGGGGCTATGCTTGTGAATAAAGAGACAATTATCTTTAAAGGCTACCCCATGCCTCAGCCTGCTTAAAAGACACCACCCACCAACTCCCCGGTAGTCAGAGTAGGGGAATGAGAGACGAGTAATATGCTATACTTGTATTACACAAGGCATTGCTCTGACACACTGTATATGGAACCAGCCCAACAGAACTTTCTAGAACAGAGAAAGGACTGCTTCATTTCACGCATGCAGTCACCCCCCTCCCACCAACCCCAATTTAAGCCTAAAACAGACTATAAATGTAACATTGCACGCAGTCATCATATGACCCATTTACCAAATAAGATCTTTCTAATTATCAGCCCTGTTGAAATATATATATATATATATATATATATACCACCAGTTAAGGCTAATGACCAGATTGGGTGAGGGTCTGGTGGGCCGTAAGCCTCGGCCAATCCCGTCGGGCTGTGTGAGGTCACGAGACACAGGATTGGGTCAGTGAGGCTCGACACGTAGAGGTGGCGGCCGCAGAGCGGGCGTGCAGGGCAGGACCAAGACCACCGTAAAAGAAGGCCGTGGGGTGAGCACACCCAGCCGCTCCTTACAAGGTGTCGGCAAAGCCAGGCAGAGCCCGGCGCCTGTCTGTTTGTTTTAACCCCCCCCACACCCCCGACCCCACGAGACCCAGCGAGTTTTCTCCAAACAAAAGAATGCCGTTTGGCGCGAGCGCACACCCACGGGCGGCTCATCCCAAAGGCGACAGCTGGTACCTCTGGCCTGCAGTGCCGTTCTGCTCCATGCTACCCAGGGGTTCGGTGCGGCCCGGTGACGGTATGCAATGAATCACGGCAGACACCGAGGCGCGTGTGTCTGTGTGTGAGAGACAAAAGCTGCCGAATCTGCAAACACATCATTCCTTAAAAGTACATCAACGCATGACCCAGACACACAGGGCCACCAAACGAACCCTATCATCGATGAGTGCCCAGCTGTCCCCGACATATGACAGCCAGCGGATTGACCGCTTGTTCTCCGGTTTCCCACTACTTCTCCGGTAATCACGGCTTCTACAGTACGTGACCTTTGACCCTGCCCAGCGAGTTCTCTCGCCGTGGCGGGTGGCAAGGGCGTCACGCACATACAAACACGCAAGCTGCAGATTCCACGTGTGAACATGTGTGAAGAAACACAAGTACCTATATCCAGAGATGCTCATTGAGCATGAAGAGGAGCCGCAGAACATACAGGAGAGCACACAGATTGCAGAAGAGCAAGACCCTGTATGAAGGCTGTTCAGGACTGTACAGAAAAGGCCCTGAAATATTCATGTTCGCCACAGCACGCAGTCCAGCCCCGGCGAGCCACGGCAGCTGACATCTGAAGCTCGCGGCAGGAAAGGGGGGGAGGGGGGGGAGCTGCCATGAAACCTGCTATCGTCCTGAAAAAGCTCCCAGACCCTGAGCTGCTCATGAACACATGGTGAAATGAAGCTGACCTGAAGATGGAACAGGCACAAACCTTCAACCAGGAGAAGCTTTTTAAATACCAACCAACATCATCATTTCTTCACGGAGGTCAACCTCAGGGAAACGCCAAGTGTGATCTGATGCCTTAATCACAGCTCCACCTGCTGTCTCACACAGTGCAACTTGAAATATTCCCCTATCTACCCATTCCAGCACAGACAGTGAGGCCTTGAGGGAGGGAATGAATCCCCTGGGGGTGGGTGACAACTCATCTCATCCAGTCAGTACAGGCCTTACTCTCAGGAGACAAAACTATAACTATATCATTTATATTACAGCTTGACATATATACCAGTAAGTGAATCTGACGACTTCACCATCCGATCAGGCCTAATGGCTAAAAAATACAGCGCCACCCAAAGCCAACTTCATCTCCCATTCATTCCGCCCACCAGTGGATGGAATCAAGAGTCAAGCTAGGGGGTGGGTGGGGGGTCTGGGAATTTAGACCAAAATGATGACAAAGCAGAGGACAGAGCTGTCTGGAACTTCAGCATGCTAAAAAAACTGCCCACGTTTTGGAAGATCACACTAGTGATACAGCAAAAATCAGAAATTTACAAGACGCCCATTCAAAATGAGTCATTATTTAACAGAACCCGCATTCCTGTAATCTGCAGATAATTACTAGGTCTAAATGAAATACATCCATGGACATATGCAGGGTGGTGGTCTCCTTGTGCGCTTCCGTTCATTCAGACAGAGAAATTACCCATGCCTTAGGGTTACTGTAAGCCATGCTTCCAAAGCCCTGTGAAATTCAAGCTTAAAATGGCTTTATTCTGTCACAGACACAAGCCAGCTCTCAGAGAGGTGCCACCGTTCAGGCAGGGAAACTAAAGCAAGAGCCAACTCATCCTTAGGCGGAGGTCCTTTAAACGAGCGTCTGTAGATGACAACGAGGCGAGAGCCCGAAGGCACATCCCAAGCTCTGACACAGACAGTAACAAACGATGCAAGACCATCCCGGACATTCTTTGAATGCTATGGGGTCTTAGAGGATTTTATAGGGGCTGATGACTGAGCCCACTGCTGTCTGGTCACCCAATGTCACTCATTACTTCAGTTATGGCGGCCCTATTTTAAAAGACTGTTGTCGACGCAACTGAGAAGACAGTCTTGGACTGTATGCGTGTGTGTTTGCATGTATACAGAGTGTGTGACTTGTCTGACCTCCTTTCTGGAAATGCCCTGCCTTTCTTCAACTGCCTGGTGGCCACCATGTGTGACATTATCTTGCTTTGGGAAGCCTTCTACAGTTGACACAAGACTGGGGAGTTCACCTCCTAGTCACCAAGCATGTGCCAATGCCAGTCAAACGGCTCCAGTGAGCACCATACTCTGACACCACCTAGCAAAATCATACCACTCTGGCTAAAAAAAAAATAAAAACTAAGGCATTTTTAAAAACATCAAACAATGCATTAGTCATTCAGGATGAATACACCAACTATTTACATCTTCGGCATGTTAAAAAAGATCAGTACTATCACCACTTTGCAAATAAATATATTATAATTCATCCCATTATCTACCTATAAGATCATGATGTTATATGAAGTTAACTGGTCAATTAATTACGGCTGATGTCAGTTCAAGGGCTGCATTTAACCGTTGGCATAAGTCTCTGCTTTCAGGGAGGGGTTGGGAAAAATGATTACACGTGGATTGCATAAGAGCCGTATGAGACAGCACAGGGCGCCTCCTTCATGGGGGACAGGTTAATGTTATCATCAAAGACTTTTAAAAATCGCGTCGACATTCAGCTTCTTAGTGGACACTCGCAGCTAGAAGGGCGACAGGTCTGTAAAATATGAAACCCTACACAAATACACGCCTGGCGTCTATCTTTCAGGAAATACAGTCAATTACAATAAATGCAAGTCCGGTGTTTTTTTCAGCGGCAGCGATCGTGCAAACGCTTCAGTAACACCAGTCTGGTTACATAATAGGATGCTGCGAGCAAGAAAACACGAATAGATACTGTGGCACCCCACCTACTCGGGGGGAGCTCGCTACCTCCATCATCTAAGCTTGTTTAGCTAGGGAATGGTGCTGAAGGACCGGCTGGCAGGGCGAAATCTAGTTTGTGACAAACACTGATAGTAACTCGCCACCAGCTGAATAAATGCCTTATGACAGTACGACTGCTACTCACCCATTTAGGCTGAGGAAGTGCGTGACAGTGTTAAAAGTCTTATTCGGATGCACCAGGTTAAAGAAGACGGCTGGCTTTTTTTTTTGGTTTTGCTTCGTCCTTTTCTTGATTCTTGCCCTAATAAATCTTGTTTTTTTTTACTCGGCCGTCAAATATCCGGGCAAGGCCCACCTTAACCCGCACCACACTGGACCGGCAATATTAGCGAGCTCGATAAAGGCGGCACCGCAGCACTTCCACTGCTTTGAGCGACGGTTGCGCCTGCTGGCTCTCGCGGCGTCCCGCGCGCACACCTGAGCAAGCCGCTGCGTTAACGGACACCGGTTACGTAATAAAACGGTACCGAGAGAGTCTCATAAACACCGAAGTTACATCAATCCCACAAATAATTCACTTCCTTCCACTACAGCCCGGTTGCTGCACTGACTCCTCACGAAACGAAGGCCCTCCTTCTCCTGACCACTGATTGGTTGGTAGCCCGCAAGGAAGAGTCGGACTTCGCTGCTGATTGGATGAATTAGACGTCGTATAACGAGAGCCACGCCCCAACTCTGAACCTCGCCCCCGACTCTGGCCCTTCAGGGGCTGCACACCATCATCAGTGAAGTCAGGTCGCCTTGCCTGTAAAATGCCGCTTGATACAGTAGCTTTTGATTTTGATTCGGCGTGTTTTATTTTTGACTTGTTCCTGCCATTATCGACCTAAAAAAAATCATACCATTTTAAACACTGGAAACGCATACGTGGAAAATCACCACTGGAAAAAAGAATAGTACACACACACATGTGACACCATGGACCAGTTTCAGTTTAAGAATAGGTGTAAATCAATAGAAGTGGCTTTATAGAAAATGCTGTTAATCTACATAAACTGGAAAATGGACCGCTTTGTTGTTACACTGTGGGTATAAGTACATTTACGCTAATTAGGTAGGCTACCACAATAATATTTGTGATAATACGGAAGGTAAATTTAAACTCATTGCCATGGTGTAAAAAGTACATGACTAATGGTAGGTGTCTTCACATCATCGTAGACTGTTAATCACAAATTGCTTTGATCCAATTGCAAGCAATAATGACGTTATTCGTCAAATCTCATAGACGCTATTGATTTTTTTGAAAATATTTTCTAAGAATGAAATTGAAGGTGAAGCCTGCCATCTACTGGAGGGTCAGAAACAAAGTTTTCCAGTTTATTATTCTAATATAATAATATAATTGGTGGTAATATTTTCTTATTGCGTTATACATTATATATTTTCCGTTAATGCATAATCTATATTAAATAGAACCTATTCTAGATACAGAAAAGGGAAAGCTCACAAATATTTACCTATAAAAGTAGGGCGAGGTGTTTCTTAAAGGAAGAGAAATCGCAAATAGTATAGCGTGAGTATATGGTGAGAGCACATTTATAGTCTTACGAATGCAGTGCTGGGTGAACCGTAAATAAGAGGTGCCTCTACGTGCATGAATTCGGCATTACATCAGTGCTTCGCCATAAACGCTGTCTTTTTTAATCCTTTACCCAGTTTTGTGTTTTGGAATTTTCATGTTGTCCTTATGCCATTTAAGCTTCCTCTCGCTACTCTACTTTCCCTCCGAAGTCCTCGTTTTACGCCCTCCCCGAAGTATGAATGTTTCAATCAATGACTACTTGATTCCCCTGCATCACTATTGGCTACAATTTTTGACCAGGGCATTTGATAATTTGTGATAAACTTAATTTTAGTCACTTTGAAACAACTATGTTAGGATAAAGAGTGACCACTACCTTTCCTAGTTCCATGTTTTTCAATTGACGGTGGTTGATTTTGTTACATGTCTAACACTAGGTCATTAACTGGAACAATTTATTTTTGATCCATCCATCAGCTTCCAGTCATTTATCCAGGTAAGGGTCCTGGGGTGACCTTCAGCCTGTCCTGCTCAGCGTACAGCACCAAACAGTGGTCTACCCTGAACAGGATGCTAATCACACAGCACATGCATGCATAACCTCATATATTCCCTGCAGTTTAGAGAATTAGATAAGCTATAAGTTAACTACGGATCTTTGGTTCTGTTTGAGAAACCCAGAGGAAGTACAATTCTCCACCCACACAATGCAAAGGTGGGATTAAATCCACGACCTGAAGGCGTGTGCCACTCTGCCACCAGATTGACACCATCTGCTAATAAATATGTGCAGCTGTTGTCCCACTTAAAAAGTGTGCAGGCAGGGAAGGACTGTTCTTACCTAAATAATCTGTCTTTATAATGATAATGATTGCTTTCCTTGTGCCTGGCTAGGCAATGTGAGCTTGTACTAAATAATCAATTGGAAGATAGAGGGATGAATGGATGGATGGATGATATTTAAAAAATCCTAAAGTTCAACTAAGTGTAAAAAGTCCTTGTTGTCCATGTTTATCAAAATCAGAACATTCTTCACTACATTTCACTTAAAATGTGTGATGGTATTTTGCTACTTGATATGCATCTGGAATTTGTTGATTTTACTCTATTTTGGCTTAATAGAGAAATCAAAGTTTTCCCAAACAAATACATCTGACGCAGCGAGAGGTCCTAAAAACGATGCACCTCACTTAGGAACAGAATTATAGCTTAGATGAAAGCATTTCTGGCACTTAAAATATTTTTTAGGCAACACAAAGACCAATTAAATGTTTCTGAAAAAAGATCTGCATCTATTAGCCTATGCTTACATTTTCTTTTCGCTAAGATCAGAAAAGTATTTTCGAGTTCTTTGTGTGTTATATCAGTTATATGAGTTTAAAGTGCAGGTTTGCTTTATCTGCAATTTTTAAGACTGAAAACGATTCCTAAGCAGTACAATAGATGGCACCGTTTAGTAGGTAAAGAAAGACATTCTTTTTCTGGACGTAGTGAGAATGGGAACGTGTTTCGTGTAATTCAGTATTGAGAATAAAATCACGTTTTATACTCACAACCTCAACAGAAACGTAATTCGCGAATCACCTTTGTATTACTCCGAATAGAGCGACAGATATAATTAAATGGTAACACTTCACTTGATGGGCTCGACTAATATTAATACTATTACGTATTAACTAATTAACCACAAAACACTTAATTAACAACAAACTGTTACTTACATAGGCTACTGATCTCATGATAATTGATCATTAATGAATCGTTTCATCACAATCAATTATCATATTTGTTACTAGGCCTATACCTATTAATTCTGTAAACCTTTGTGAACTATAGAGGGAAGTCCTGAAGGAACAAGTCATGAACAGCACAAGCGAAATAGTGATCTCGTGTTTGTTCATCATTATAATGAATCGTGACGCATCCCAAGCAGTTACTATACTGTAACTAAATTTAATTCTGTTAACCTTTGTGAACTATTGAAGAAACTGCTAATGAATTACTAAAGTACTACTGAAGGAACTACTAATGAAAAACACAAGTGAGATACTGATCTCATATTTCTTCATCATTAATGAATCGTGATGCATCTTTTATCTCAAGCAGCACTATATTTCTTCATGTTTTGTTAATGATTTGTACTTCAGTAGTAACTTTGTTATCAGAAAATTAAGCAAAATGCACTCAGTGGCTACATTCTTTGGTACCCCTACTTAGCACCAAGTGGTACCATCTTTTGTCTTCAGATCCAAGACCAAGGTTAGAATTTCTGACCTCCCTTACAAAGGCTGGTCTTAGGTCCCCAGACTGTTGGCTTATTCCAGGGCCCCTGTCCACATCTGGAGCCTTTGATCGTTCAGGGTTCATCATTTACAGCACCCCCCGTGCAGACCAGCATCATGGGTTGATGAGGTGAAATTCGAGATGTGTGTTCATGGTGCACACCACTGTTATATTCAGCTGTAATTTTTGCACCGGGGTCCTTCCTGCTAACAAGTTTGAGTATTCCATTATCTCAAGCATTAGCAAATTGTTTTCTGCCATTGGCTGAATGTTTTTGTTCATCGTACCATATCAGCATACTGTATTGCGATGCGGCCACGTGATTCTCTGTTTGGAGGAGTAGTCTGTTTGCATCACTATGAAGGTGTACCCTACGACTGTACGCACACATTTCTAAATATAAAATTTTAAAATGCGATTAGAAACTTTAGACAAGTTAAACAGGAAACTCGATTTCTTTTACTGAACACAACATGAGGTATCAAATTAACTTCAAGGTACATTTCCGCATGTTAAAAGACGGAGAAGTGGTGTGATGAATCAGTTCGTCACCTGCTAATAATTAAACAGGGTTATACTGTAGCTTATTGTGAGTCACAAACTTCCATGTTAAAATCTAGCATTCAAATTCAATCGTAAAGTCATGTTTGTAACTATAAGTCATCCGTATGTAATTGATGCTACAAATGATATTGGTATTTATGTAATTCATTGAGGAAGAGCAACACCAATCCGATTCAATTAAAGCGGTGATTACGTGCACTGTAAGTAAAGAATAATTATACATGTAGACCTATGTGTTTGTTGGTGTTCATTAATATAATGATATACTGGTTATGTATTCCAGAAAACATTTTGTGACACGGTGTAACGCAATAGTTTGTAACACATCGGACAAAGTGTGCGTATTTGTGTGTTTAAGGGGCGGGTGGATGGAGGGAGGGAGGTAGTCCAGACGAGGTAAGACAAGGATATAAGCCTCAGTTGAGGCTTCCCTCCGCCCGCACTCCGGCTTACGCGCACAAGGGACACATCTAAGCCGGACTCCTTACTCTGGACAGAGGGCAACGGCTTCCCGCACCTTCGCCGCATCAGCAGGAAGACGGGGCTCGCTCTTCGGCAGAAAGCCGAGTCCTGCCGAACACTCCGAGGAGCAGCGCCGAACGCTCCCGCCGCCGCCTCGCCGGGCGTCCTACTCGGTTACCTGCACGAAGGTTTGATGAGGGAATCATGATGGGGAACAAAACGAGAAGGGGCTTTGATTTCAAGGGCTTCCTGAAGAGGAACTGGCTCCTGATAGCGACCATTATCTCGGTGGTATTAGGTAAGACGTTTTGTCTATGATGTAAAAAGCAGTATTATTTAGCTGCCGGCGCATTTTCATGGCTTTGTCTGTTTATCTTATGCCATGTTATTTAACCTTGCGATTTTTTACTGCGATTCCTCGGTGCGATTTGGAATAGATTAATTACTATGCATCCCCACGGCTCCCCCTGCCTCAGCACCACACTGGGCTCTTAGAGGTCGGAAACGGTGGTCGCTGGTGGGCGATGCGATTATTATTCCGGTGCTCCGACTGCTGTAAATCGACACAGCCTCTCCGACATCCACAGATGGCTTCTCATGGGGTCTTCGCGTTTCGTGGGCTGGAGAAAAGTGCTGAACTGTACCCCGGCTTATAAGGCGGCAGAATAAAGGGACGTGCCAGACATGCTTCGATGCTTCGCCGAGAGCACTATTCATGCTGAGCACAACGTGTGGACTGATTAGGCGCCTGCTGCACAGGAGCGATGCTGTTATACTGATGTCTACAGCTAAGACGCGCTTCCCAGTGAGCCCCGCACAATGTTGTGGGATGCCGTTTGATGCGAAGGTCCAAGAGTCATTCTCTTTCCCTTTCCCACAGTTTTATTTCGCCATTCATGGTGAGAAGAACGGGAGAACTGGCCCAGTAGAACTGCAGTTCTCAAAAACGCAAAAATCCATTATTCGCCAATATATTGGCTGCTCTGTGATTGAAATACTCTTTGTGCTGTAGGTTAGAAGCAGCTGTGGCAGTTCTGTTACTGGAGAGAAAAAAAAACGGTTAAGCTTTCCAAAAACCAATGTAAAACAAAACTAAGATTAAAACTAATCTAGAATATTATTTTGAAATTATTTTCATGGTAACTAAACCACTATCGGCACTGTAAACCTGTAGGGGACAAGTAGCTGGGGGCTGGGTGTATGGATCACCACACATCCTAGATGAGTAACATGAATATATTATACATAAGGGTGGCTGTTATCGTGACTGTTGTAATGATTGTCCCCAAAGGCTTGTTCTTGTTTTGACCACATGCATTTGTTGAGAGTGTAGGACAACACAGTTGCTGTGCTTTGAGTGTTCTCAGGACATTCTAATATGACCCCCCCACCCTAATCACTCCCTCTTCCAAGAAGGTGCTCAAAGACACCACCGCCCCGGGATCTCATGTGGGTCCTTGCTTGGTGGGTGGGTGGGGGGGGGGGCTGTATGTGATTGTACCAAGAAGCCTTCTGTCTCCATCAACGGCCAACGCTAGACTGCTGAACTGACCGTCTGCAAAACAGCCGATGGTTTTATCCACCTGCTAGTCTGACTCATTTTCAAGGCACAACTATCATAAAACTGACATTTGCCGTTTTACTAATTATCTGGGAACCTTTGGTAGCTGAATAATCATGTGACTGGGTGTTTATTTTTAGTTCTAAATTAGATAAATGTCTCTGAAGGTACGCACTCTCTGTTTAGATGGATTACTGATGAACTTGTGGTGCAACAGAGGAGCCACATGGTTATTATATTGAAAAAGAGAGCATCTGTGTAGAAAAGACAGCAGCATTCATCATCATTATGAGAGGCATAAACGAAGAAGTGTGAGATGAGCTAGCTGTGAATCTCCAAAGGAGAATTATTTGAATATAAATAAACTTCAAGGATAAAGGAATTGTGCTTCTGTACACAGACAATACTGCTGTATGGGGTCGTACTTTGGAGTAGTAGCTGTTCAATTTTACAGGTATTGCACAGTTGTACTGGAGTAGTAATGTGGTATAGTGAAAGTACTCTTATACGGGGGTCATACTGCTTTACAGGAGTGGCACTGTAGTACTGGGGTAGTAATGTGGTATAGTTGAAATATCCTTCCTCAGGGGTCATCCTGCTTTACAGGAGTGGCACTGTAGTACTGAGGTAGTAATGTGGTATAGTTGAAGTACTCTTCCTTAGGGGTCGTACTNGTACTGAGGTAGTAATGTGGTATAGTTGAAGTACTCTTCCTTAGGGGTCGTACTGTTTTACAGGAGTAGCACTGTAGTACTGGGGTAGTAATGTGATATAGTGATAGACGGCTGAAAAATGATAATTGTATGTAGGGGGATTCCACCCAGTTGTTGTTGCTTAAGCTCAGATGGCCATATTTTTATGAAAATTGCAAATTTTCACTAACTTTTGTGTGAAATTTACCTTCTGTGACCAGTGAGGTACAGAATACCAGGTAATATACAGTCATACTGGGCATGTTTCTGGGCGGCATGGTGGTGCACTGGTGAGCACTGTTACCCCCCCCCCCCCCTCTCTGGGACCAGGTTTCAACACTCTGCCAGGGCTCCAAGTGTATGGAGTTTGCATGTTCTCCCTGTGTTGTTGTGGGGTTTCCTGTGGGTACGCTGGTTTGTTGAGTTTAATTGGAGACCCCTTGCGACCCTGAATAGGACAAGTGGTTTTGGAAAATGGAGGGATGGCCTTCATTTCTACTATAGATACCTGCTGATTTTTTACCAAAATAATTTACTGTGAACTTGCCTCTACTGCATTAAAAAGTAATAATAATAATAATAATAATAAATTTTATTTATATAGCACTTTTCATACACTTCTTTGTAACTCAAAGTGCTTTACAGGGAGCAGACAAACAAATAAAAAAAGAACAGTAAAAACTAGCAATAAAGACATAATAATACTAATCTAAAAAATGACAGCAATTTAAAAATCAATAGTAATAGAAAATAATAAAAATAAT